AATATATATATATATATATATATATATATATATATATATATATATTAAAGAAAATAGATATAAAATCTAAAATTATTAATAGATATTTTATAAAAAGATTAATTTGATCATAGATTATTTTAATAGAATAAACTAAAAAAAAGTATAATTTCTATATATATATATATATATATATATAAATTAATATTTATCATTATAAAAGCTAAAAATTATAATTTTTGATGATATTGAAGTCTATAAAAATAAAATTAATATTAACATAATGAAATCCTAGAGTTTATCCAAGAGTCCAAAACTTCCAAAGATTATAATAACACTTAGTTTTCAAAGAAAAATCTTCTATTTTCTTAATAAAAAACTTAATAATTATTTGTTTTTTTTCAAATTTCTATAATTTATAAAAAATTATAACATACCATAAATATTATTATTTAAATTTAAAAGAAATTCTCATTTTTTATAATGTTTTGATAAAATAAAATAAAAAAATATATAAATAATAATATTTATTTTAAATTATTTCTTTAAAATATTGTATATATTTAATATTTATAATAAATATATTAATAATAATAAAAATCATAGTATATACCAAAAATACTTAATATAAAATTTTATATATAATAAATATATATTTTAATAATATTTTAAAATAGTAAATAAATAATTTTTTCAACAAGAAATAAAATATTTAGACTTGATGTTATGCTTAAAATTTCTTTGATTTAAATATTAAATAGAGAATATTATACACCATTTAAATTTTATTGGTAGATAATGCAAAAATTAAACTTTATATGATTTAAAAGAACCTAATGAAAATAAAATTTTAAATTATTCTAAATTTATAAATAAAATTTTTCGTTTATAACTTAGCTATATATAAGATTCATGATACAAGAAAAATAATAAAATTAAGATATAATAGATTTTTATGATTTTAATATAAGAAGTTCTTATAAATAAAAATTATTTATAATTTTTGAATAATATTTCTTAATTATATTTGATGCAAAAATATATATTATATTTTTAAATATATATTATATTTTTAAATATATATTATATTTTTAAATATATATATATATTATAAATAATTTAAAAGAATTTTTTATTTCTAATTTAGATTACAAATATAAGATAAATATAATTATTTTTTATTATTCATGTCTTTATATGCAAAATGAATTTCTTTAATTTTTCTTTAAAAAAATTATTAATAAATAAATTTTTATATATTATTTATTCTAAATTTCAATATGATTCTATATTTTAATAATAATAATAAGTTATGTACGATTTTAAAATTGGTTGTTTTATATAAATAATAGTATTAATTTATTTTTTAAAAAATAAATTATTAAATAACTAATATTTTTATTGAAGCATTTTAATTTTTTAAATTATTATCTTTTAATAGAATTTTTTTTTATATAGCTTTTATTGTATATATGTCATAAAAAATAAAATAATAATATTTAATTATCTAACATATTTTTACTTACTTCTTCTTATTTCTACTTACTTTAATAATATAGATATCTATTGCATTATTTTCTTTTAAAACAAAGAATACATAAGAAACAATAAAGTTGTTTTATAAGTTGAATTTATAAGAACTATTGAATGGTGTAAGCAACAAATTCTAATCTATTTTCTACACAAAGGTAGTTCATAGGTCTTTTGAGCCATTAGTAATCTACATTAAGGCAAAAAAGGCACCCACTTATTTTATCATTGTTTAAGTTTTTATAAATATTTTTAAATAATGTATTTTAAATACCATTGAATAAATTATATATTTCTAATAGTAATATTAAGTATCAATAGTCTTTCTCAAGGTTTTATTACTATACATGTTTTATCTTGCCATCTATTTAAGAAAAAATTATTTTTTTCTTGAGAATATCCATTTTAATTCTAACCTTGTGAAGATTTTTTAAAATTAGTATTTTATGTTAGATATTATGTAAATACATCTTATTAAAAGCTAGAGTTTGTTTTTAAGCAATTTTAGACTCTATCTTAGATTATTTTAGATTCTACCATAATATCAAATACATTTTTGAATTTAAAAAATATATAAATATTTTTAAGAATAAAAGAGGTAAGAAAATTAAAATAGATTTGATCCTATTTGTGTTAAGTTCAGAAAAACATCAATTATTTAAAACTAAAAAAATAACCAAGAAGTCAAGCACAAGACAAAAAAAATCAAAAAAGATAATAAAGAAGTAGAGTCCAAAACTATCCTTTAATAGTATGCATTCTAATCTTTTCTTCCAACTCATACATGCCTATTTCATATAGGCAATCCAAACTTTTTTCTTATTTAATCTTTAAATTATAATAGGAAGTAAAAATCCACAAATAAAACTTTATAAATTCTACTATCAAATTAGTCACAAATAGATCCTTTAAACTACAACCTATTCTTACTCAGAGTAAAATTATAATGTATATTTTCTTTCAATATAGTATGTATATATTTGATTTTTAAAAATATAATACAAATTTTAAAAACATTTATCATTATTAAACTATAAATTTAGGAGAATGTTAAATAGATCCATGCTTTTACTAAATCAACCCCCCTCCATGATGAAAAATATCATAATCATGATGAACGTGGTTGATTTTCATTGGTCACAAATCTAATAGTAGAGAAATGAATTTAGAGGTCATTTTTTCTTTTCTTTTCTTTTCTTTTCTCTTCTTCTCATGATGGTTAGGATGGGTGAGCCAATTTAGTTAAAGATTGGGTCTATTTAACATTCCCCTAAATTTATCTAGGGATTTTTATTAGAAAATTATGTAAACAAAAAAACAAAGAAATCATTATATATATATATATATATAGGAACTTTGCCCATACTGAGGTATAGTGTAGATTAAAGATAATTTCTCCCTCGAAGTGTACTGCGAATTGCTGGGGCTCCACAACGCAAAAGAGCCTGTGTTACCAGGAACGACAAAAGTAACGTGGACCAGGATGCGCAGCTGACGAGCAGCGCCGAGTCGACGTCATGAACTGGAGGCATTCAGAAAATATCATCAATCTGAAAGGAAGGTCCAGCCTCACATAACAAAACAGAGAGAGAGAGAGAGAGAAAGCGCGAGGAGGGGTGAGGAGGATGAGTTAGTTCCAGGAGCTCACCCCTGTTGCACAGCCAGCTAGTCAATGATTCTCTTCCTACTTTGTGCAGATGCTTCGACCTCATTTACAGACAATGACGCTGCAAACCGTACCTGTGACGTGAAACTGCGGTCCCACTGCAGGTCCCCCATGTGATTCTTAGTACCTAACCGATGGATGCTTCAATCCAAGAGATAGAATGAGAGTTATAAATGTTGATGCCGCTTTGAGATGTGGAGACACGTTCAGTCGGATCGCCGATATGCTTTGACTTGCTGAGATATTCCTGCTATCGATTTGCTCCCTAGTTGTGAGAATGATGAAGGCTCTAGCTGTGTTGATGTTGGTTGCGGCTCTGGTGGACGTCGCAGCCGGCCAGAGCATCGCGGATCAGTACTTGAACGCCCACAATCAAGCTCGCCAGGAGGTGGGAGCCGGGATCCCTAACTTGGGATGGAACGACCAGCTTACGGCTTTTGCCACCAACTGGGCGAACGACCGAGCCACGAATGCGCGGTGTGCGTTGTCTCACTCGGGTGGACCTTACGGGGAGAATATCTACTGGTCGAGTGGGTCGTCCTCTCCAGAAGACGCCGTGAAATTGTGGGTCGAAGAGAAGCGATATTATAACTATGACAGCAACTCGTGCCAATCTGGAAAAGTCTGCGGGCATTACACTCAGGTAAGTGAAGGTCCACATGAAGTCCGCAATCGTTAAAATTTAGGAAACTGTAGAGGAATTGCTTCATGGTCAACTGGAGAATTTCTGTCAGCCTTTATAGACTGGTTCGGCGTTATGGCCTTGTGCAGGTCGTTTGGAGGAACACCCAGCTGGTGGGGTGTGGATCAGCGAAATGCCCTGGTGGTGGAACTTTTGTGGTGTGTAGCTACTACCCTCCTGGCAATTACAACGGCCAAAGGCCGTGGCTGCAATCTGATTCTCTCACTTCGACTCCTGTCCAGGGAAGTCGTGAGGAAGCGTAACTGTATTGCAAGCTTTCAAAAATGCTTAGATGAGTATATGTAACTTGTCTTGCAATTCTGTTGCCGCCACTGCATCCTCCGAAGTGTGCAGCCTTACGTTAAGACGTCGAAGCATGGCTGTACCAATCCCCTTGTACATTCGTCGTGGAATGCATAGTGAAGCAGACAGAACAGTACAAACCATGTATGAGGATCTCACAATAAAGCTGGTGGCAAGAATATTCACCAAACACTTATTCGCTCGCCCATAAAAAAGCAATTTTGAGTTACTGCATGTCCTGTCACACCTGCGGACCTCAGCTGCAAAAAACTCTTGAAAGTCGTCCATACGGAAATCAGATTTAAAAAAAAAAAAAAAAAAAAAAAAAAAAAACTTATATCCGTCTAGATAGGAAAAAGAGACACTTGCATAACTTCACGTAAGTAGAGCACTTTTGAGAACTAAAACTCCGACAAAAAATCACTTACTGATATGTTATACGTAAGGCCAATTTCTCTTGTTTTTAGCATTGACAAACTGTTCTCATATCAGTAACTTGTTCTTCACAACCACCTTGTCTCGAGTAAACAAAGCAATACAAGCAATGGAGCTATTTACCGAGTTTCAAACTGCTATAGAATTCTCTCGCAAAGCAGCAATACGATACTCAACAGATACTGCATCAATTAAGAAAACTAGTATCAAGTTTTGGAGTTGGTGATGACGAGGCGCCGAAAACCTGTCAATTCTCTGATATTTCTTCACAAGTCGCAGTCACTGCGAAACTCACCGCATCTTTTTTCATCGAAGTGCGTCATCGAAACATTAAAATACTACTTCGACATTGATCTCATGAGTCGTTTGTTGCTGAAAGTACGAAAAAATTGGAAAACTTTGTGAATGGTGAAGACCAAAGATCTTATCGTAAACTTGAATCTTTAGATTAGTGCTTTAGATTAAAAAAGAAGGTGATGGTGTGAACATTTCAGATTCAAGAGTGATATCCTTCTGGAATAATGGGAATTATCCACTTGTAGTAGTTTGACCAAAGAGAAGTGATTAAGGGATACTTTGTAAAATTTACGATGTGCTGAATGTGTATTGTAGCAAGAATAAAAGTAGTGATTTGTTGACTATACTAAATATTTTTGTTCAACTTGAGTTTAAAAAGTTAATTTTATTTTATTTTGAATAAAATATTTATTAAACAAATTATAAAAGAAATATATGAATTTTTAATTTCAATGTTATGCTAATTAGAAGAACATTCTATCAGCTATATCATCCCAATTAGAAATGTACAAAACCAAAAAAGAGAAGATGCAAAAATATTATATTTTCAACTAAAATTTTAGAATCTATTTAAATTAAACCTTTTGTCTAAATTTTGGCACTTCAAATGTATGTTAGTCCACAGCTTGACAATTTGGAGCTCAATTAAACATGTTGCAAACTTAATTAAGACTAAGTGACTGCTTTTAAATGTTACCAGATTATACTACCTTGTGATTATTGCCAATTTGGAATACTAACTCAATAGAATTATTTTTGCCAAAGTTAATAAATTGTCGGTAAAATTTATGTTAAGAGATATTCTCTGTTGTCTACAATTTTGAGGCAAATTGTATGCAACTTAATTTCAATAAAAATATAAAAGATAAAAATATGATGAAATATAATACAAATGATATGTTGTACAAATAGCTTGGACTAAACTTTGATTTAATAAAATAACAGTAATAATAAAAAAATAAAAAAAAATAGATTATTTCAGCACTATCTTGCAATACACTTACACTACTCTGCATTATTGTTTACAACTAATAATCTGAAAAGAAAAATAATTGAATAATTATTATCTTCATATAAGCATATTTATTTTTTAAAGTTATTCTCTTTTAATAGAAATTATTTTTACATAGCTTCTATTATATATGTATAACAAAAAAAATGTTATAAAAAAAATATTATTAATATTGAGTTATTTGACATATTTTACTTATTTCTAGTCACTTCTATTACCTCAAATAATATAGGTATCCATGAAATTATCTTTCTTTTAAGCAAGTGTTTTTATAAAAAAACAATAAAGTTATTGCATAAGTTGGTGTAGTCTAAGAATAATTGAATGGTACTAGCAATAAATTCTACTATATATTTTATATAAAGGTAGTTGATAGGAATTTTGAGCCATAAATGATCCATATTTAGACAAAAAAATATCCACTTAATTAATCATCGTTGAAATTTTTATAATTATTTTTGAATAATATATTTTAAATGCTATTAAATATTACACATATAACTAATACTAATAATGATGTAAATAAAAAGAATTTAATAGAAATAAATAAAAATAAGTGAATTATATAATATCTTGTGAAAAAGCCACTTAGAAGCTTTATAGATGGAAATTTGACTTTATACGTATTTGTAGGTGATTGATGGATTAAAAATTTAGCCAAAAAATTAGCTATGTGGCACACATATAGAAAATTGGCATTGCAAGTTAGTCACAAGTTACTCAAGTTAGACACATGTTGGACATCCTATGGAACATTATTAAGTAGCTTCTAAATAAATAGTATATATATAAATAAGAGTGAGGCTTTCTTCAGTCTTATCAACTTCTTTCTTGATTCTAATTTAGTTTTAAGAGTGTCCATTTTTTTAGTCATTAATAATTACTATTCTAGTTTTTTTATAATATACATAGTTTTTTATTTTATTTTTGTCATATCTTTTTTTATATAAGTCTTTCTTATTTATTTATAATCTTTAAAAAAAAAATCTTAAAACATTAAAAAAAATATACTTATAATATCAAAGATTTGTCTTTTCTTGATAAAAAGTAGATTATCCCTTTATCTTAATGAAGAGTGGATTTTTTTTTCTTGATAAAGAGTAGATTATCCCTTTTTCTTGATAAGACGTAATCATATTAGAAGTTATAAAATACCCACTTCTAAATTGATATTGTTTTTAAAATTTCTTTATTCTTAAAACTTCTCTTTTAGTAATCTTGAGTAATATTAGACATTTTCTTTTCTAATGTGTTATTATAGCAAAAATTGTTGAAAGAAAAAATGCAATGGCACAAATACTAGAGCAATTGAGATAATTAATGCTTGCAATGCATTAATTTAATAAAAAGTTATAAGATTGGTTGAAAGCAAAAATATAGAAATATTTAAATTTGTTTCAACATCTATACTAAATTATATTACTTTCTTTATAATAAAATATTATTTAAGTATTAGAGAACTAAGAATTGCATTGTCTAAGAAGTTTAACAATGCAAGTTCAAAATTTCAAGGATTTATCAATCAAGTAAAATTGGTGTTTGAGATTCTATCAAGGACACAAACTCGACGAAGATACATAAATTTATGGAATCTATGTCAAAAGAAAAGTGACAAAATAGAAGAAAATATGTATATTCAAGGAAGAACTGGAATGGCTATTGTCAAAGACTAGAAAACATAAGACTCTTGAAACTAGACTAAAAACAAGAAACGAATTGACAAGAGTGAGAAAGACCTTATTCTTAACTCTATATATATTACTTAACTAAAAACTATGTGGCGACATGCTATAGGACCTCTAATACGTGTCCAACTTACATGATACATGTCTAATTTGCAAAGCAAGTTTCCTAGGTATCCACCATATGTCCAACTTATACTACAAGTGGTCAACATATCAACACATGGCTTCCTTATTGGCCAAGTTTTCAACCTACCAATCACCTATCGACATGTATAAAGGCAAAACAGCATCTATGAAGCTTCTAGGAAGCTTTCCATAAGATATTATCATATTTATTTAATTTGATTTACTTCTACCTATTCTTATTATTTAGATAATTATCAGGGTAAATATGTATGTCCGTGACAGCTTCAACCTTAAAGTTATCCAATTTAAAATCACAAGTCAAATTTATTAAAATACTATTTTTAAATTTTACTTTATTATAATTTTTATTTTTTCTCAAAATAATGTAATCTAATATTGGATAATTTTGATGCTTTCTTAGCCAAGTTTTGATCCATATATGAAAAATATAATATTATTTGTACTACAACCAAAAATATTTATATTTTATGTTAAGACAATTGATTAATATTATTATATGTTTTACAATTCTAACAACTTATAATTAATATTAAGTAGAGTAATGTTGTGCTCATCAACCAATTTTTCTATAAATTATATCATCATGAAGTAAAAAAATTGATATTGAATTTATTTGATTTTTAGACATTAAGTCCAACAATTGACTTTGTTGAGGAATATAATAATTGGCTTTTTAAATTTCAATCTTAGAGCTGAATAAGTGAGCCTCAAAGTTTTTATAATCTAATGATAATACCAATGTCTTTTCAATACATATACTCAAAAGTTAAAGACATACATATTAACATGGTACATTTTAAATTTCTTATTAAGCAAGAAAAGATTCAACATCGTCAAAAAAGATTGTGCTTATATTATGGAGAATCTAAGCACACTAGTCAAGATTGCCTAATGAAGCGATGTAACTACAAAATAAAGAGCATAATTGTAAAAAAAATACATATCAAAAAATAAATTTATCCAGCTATTATAAAAATTATATAGCTAAAATCTTATATAATATTTAATAAAGGTTATATTTTTTCTTTAAAATATTTTTTTTTATAATAATTTTCTTTTATAATAAATTTTCGTTTAGAATCTAAAAATAATAAAACTTCTATCTTATTAGATTTAAGAACCATAATCTTTTTTAGATGAAGACTTTGTTAAAAAAACATAAAATATTTTTAGTAAAAAAACTAAACTTATGCATGTAAAAATCATTGATGGTTGTTTTTTGTCTTTTAAAGCTTTTATTTATAAAACTATTCTTATAAAAGTAAAGAAAAATAATTATGATAGTTCAATAATATTTCTTTTTAATCCAATTATTTTAGATTCATCATAATTAGAAAAATATAATATTTCTATAGATTAGATTTCTTATAATCTTGATTTTTTTATAGCATGATTAAGATTTTTGCTAACCAAGCTGAAAGTCATAAGTCTAGTTCTAAGCTAAAATAAACCTCTACTATTTAGAAGTTTATTTTAGTTCACAGTAAGTGAATCAACTATGTGAATTTAGAAGATATAGCTATTATTTAGATCCTAATCAAATCACTCTTTATTCTTCTTAAATAATCCAAGCAATCTAAATAAAATTTCATTATTAATTCATATTCATAATAATAAATTATTCTACAATTTAATACCAATTTTTTTTAATTCTTAATTTATTATTTTTATTATTTTATTTAATTAAAATTCATCCATTAATAAAAAAATCATCTAAATATAAATTATTATTTACAAATAATTTTCAGCTATACTTTAAAATTTATCTATACTTTAAAATTCATCTTTGATTAAAATCTTCATCCAACATCCATTCTTGCAAAATTTTGACTTAATTTTATTTTAACCTAACTTCATTTCAATCTAATTTAGGTTTATCTGACTATTAATTTATTTTCTAAAAATTACTTTTACTTTGAAGATGTTACCTTGATTGTTTATGCAAAAATTTGGCATATTGAAAGCATTGGAGGTATTGTTCCTCCAATATTAATCTTCTTTGGCTACAATCTATTCTTCATTGAATTATCTTTAAAATGATAGCATCATCTTCAAGCTACCGCTTTTTTATAATTCAATTCTCAACTGTACTTTGCTTCTGCTTCTAATCTTATCAAATTGCAAGTAGCAACTAGCACACTTAAGTAATGTAGATAGTTTGCAACATGAAGAACATGATTAAAGATGAGCTTTTCTAGCCCTCTTGCACCAAGACCATGACATAGATTTCTAATTCAATGTGTGAAATCAAGGACTTTAAGAATACCAAAATGAGAAAAAATTTAGGGCAAGTTGTAATGAGTTTGGTGCACTATTATATATGTAAGTTATAGTCATCAATGATGTTTGCTATAAAGTCCAATGAAGTGATGCACCTTCTTAGAATAAACACAAAGAAATTTTGAATTCAAATGTGGGCAAACTTAATGTAGATGTAGACATTGTCATGACCAAATGCAGCTTGAGTTTATTCTTTAGACACTTTAAATTGAATCCTTATTTCACATGAAGTGCTTCTTTCCATGCACACGACTCTGAAGGTGCAATGTAAGAGAAGAATTATCTTCTAAAAACAATGATGAACATAGATTGTAATATTCACCTTGAAGCATTAAAGATTGTCAATAGCTCTTATTCTACTAACAATGATTACTAGTTGAGTCCAAATCAAGTCTCACACAGTACTTCTACCTCAAGCTACAAATGAAGAGAAAAATTTCAAAAAAATTCAAAGCAAGTTTTTCCATCCCATAATCAATTGCAACTGAATTGCATAATGAACTTCATATGCACATCCATAACTCTTCAAAGTAGCAATTATGTGCTACACCTTGATTTTCACGACCACCTATTGCAACAACCTAAATCTTTTAACTACACATCTAATCACCACAAACAAGATTAAATCTCACCTTACAATGGCTGCAAATATCACTACAAGATTTATGCAGTGTGGCATTATTAAGAAGGCAAGCTTCTTTAGGAAAACATGAGATCTTTGATTGCAAGTGGATTGCAAGAAAACACAATGTTGTTCCAAATAAATTCAAATATAAAAAGATAGTCCAAAGGCTTAATACAATTTTTAGATTAATTCCTTTTTTGTGCCAAGATATATCCATCTCCTGATTCTAATCTCAAATTCAAACCTCCTCTCACTAAAATGTCTATAAACCACTTGGTACTAATTCAATCTAAGCAAAGTTTAGCTCATTGAGCTTAACTCAAGCTATAAACTTCAAAATATCAAAGTCAATAAATAAATTTAAAAAAAAAATAATAGTCAAACGAAGGAAAAACTTTGTACAGTAAATGGCATGGAATAACCCAAACCGGTCAAGAATCTCATCACTTCAAAATTCTAGTGATCCTTCCTTCCACAAATTAAAAAGAAATTAAAAAATTAAAATAAAACTCTTTTCTAACTTAAATCTGAAATCCTTCATCTTAAGCCTTTTATAATGATGTAAAGCTTAAGTATTTTTTTATATGAAATATGGCAAAGATTAAAGGTTTTTTAAAATCTTATATTTGAATATAGACTTAAATATGGCATTACATTGAATAAGCTAAAAAAATGTGAGATTACATAGTCTATTTAGTATTGATGTTAAGCTTGAACATCCACTTATATTAAGAGTAGTCAAAGATATGATATTGTATAATTCACTTGTCAATAATGTTAAGCTTGAGCATCCACTTATATTAAGAATAGTCAAAGATATGATATTATATAATTCACTTGACAATAATGTTAAGCTTGAATACTTGCTTATATCAAAGGTAGTTAAAGATGTGAAGTTGCCAATTCATTTGGTAATATTATCAAGTTATAATACCTATACAAAATAAGATTTTTTAAAGACAAAAGACTTTGTAGCAATGTTGGTAATAATGTCAAACTTTTAGAAACCTTCAAATCAAGTTTTTCTGACAAAGTCATATACTTCATTTTTTTGGTAGCATGATCAAGTTTGAGCATTTTTTAAAATCAAGTTCTAATAGTGTAGTACATTTTTAAAATTAATTTAGACATTTTTCTATAAAACTATAATTTTTCAATTATAAGACATCAAAATCTTATGTTTTTTTCAAACATCTTTGTTATGTAGCAAAGACAATACTTGGTTTTTGGATTCTTCTTTTAAGTTGTTTTAGATTGATAAGTCTAGTAAAAAAAAAAATAATAATAAATAGAATTTTTTTATCAATATAAAAAATTCATTTAATATCTTTATAAAATATTTTGTTGCAAACACAATACTATTACAACTTAAAAATCAAAGTGATAAAAAAATCAATTTTTATTTCACTAAATATGTTTTTATTTAAATTATTGTAAAATAATCCCTCTAACTATAAATCAATACAATTTAATAAAAAAATAAAAAAAAATAAAAAATAAATAAATAATAATAAATAAATAATAAATAATAAAATATCAGAAGTACATTTAAGATTCAGATGAATTTAATATCAATAAAAATAAATTAATTAAATAAAAATTTAACTTCAAATTATATATATATATATATATATATATAGATATAGATATATATATATAGATATAGATATATATATATAGATATAGATATATATATATAGATATAGATATATATATATAGATATAGATATATATATATATAAACTAGATAATATAAAAATACTATATTTGAACTCTTAAATATTTATACTTTTTTCTATTATTATTATTTTATATATTCTATTTATATAAAATTTAAATAAATTATATTTTTTTGATAATCCATAAATTTTTTCAATATTTAAGTATACTTTTACTTTATTTTAATTTTAACAATACTTATATTTATTTTTTATAATTAATTATGAATTTATATAATACCATCTTTACATATTTTTATCAATGATTGATAAATAAATATACCTAATATAAATTCTACATCTTATTTCAATATATATATATATATATATATATATATATTAATGGTCCATAAGGACAATTTTCTTTTTTTAACATGCCTTGTGGACATACATTATTACAAAAGAAAGAACATATGTTTAAAAATATATTCTTTTCCTCAACTTTCAAATTATCAAAGCTTACTCTTAAAATATTTTAAGCCTAATAGTCACTATTATTTTCATCTCTATCTAACTTTCTTTCTTTTTTAACCTTTGCAAAGCTTACTTCCAACACATCAATTTCATTTTCTATATTAAAAATGTATCCACAACTTTTAAACTCAATTGTAGGTCATTTCAAGCTTTTACAATTTTTTTCTAATCTCAAAAAGTTCAAGTCAAATCTTGAACTTGCCTTAATAAAGTATTAGAAAAATCACCCTTTATAAAGAACCAATCTCATGTTTCTTAAAACTTAAGAAAATCATCTTTTGCAAAAAACCAATCTTGTATTTATTAAAGTTTTAGAAACTCATCCTTTGCAAAGAACTAATCTTGTGTTTGTTGAATTTTCAGAAAATTACCCTTTGCAAAGGCCCAATCTCATGTTATTTTTATTTAAGCATACTAATATTCTATACAATTATAAGACTCACGTAATGGAAACAAAGCACTAGAAATTTATTTCAAACTTTTAATTTAGTTAGTAAAACTTGTAGCATATCAACAATACCTCCACATTATTTTCAATAGTTTTGTTTCATGCATGGAATGTAGTCCATCTCATTTCATTCTTTGTCACCGAGTCTTCATGCTTGGTTTCAGATGAACGTCTTTCACCATCCAAAATTGGATGAAGGATGAATGAACATATACTAAAGAATAATCGAACGAAAAAGGAGGGGAACAGATGAACGAAAACTTCGAGAACCAGCAGCACGGAGCTGTTTCAGACGTTCCCGAACTTGAGACCAGCATTTGGAGATTAGGGTTTTGCGGGCAGCGTTATGGTTCATTGCCATTAGGTTGCTGTCAAAGGAGGAAGCAGGGGACGTGGTGTTGGGTTGTTAGTTTCCTCTGCTTCTGTGGCCGTCGTAGAGAGCACTAAGCCGAGGGAGAGAGAGAGAGAGAGGTTTTGTACAAAATTTTCAGCTTTCGCTGATTCTTGTGGCTTGTTCAGTGGAGAGGTTTGCCAGGTTTGTGTTGAGGTTTTTGTTTTTCGGTACTGATGGCGGTGCACGAGGGGCAGTTGGAAGCGACCGAGCAGAATGGAGGCAATCAGCAGAGGGGAGCAGAGGAAGAAGAGGAGGATATTGAAGAGTATGTGCCGGTGAAGAAGCGACGTCTCATGGCAGCCCAGCAACTGCTCAACAAGAAAGCGGTGAAGGGTGCTAATGGTGCCAATATGACATCCACGTTGGATGAACAAGAGGGGCTGAAATCATCAGAGATCAAGCCCAGTCTGCTTGTGAAATCGTCGCAGCTGAAGAAGGATGCGCCAGAAATTAGTGTGACGGAGGCGTTGGTAATGCAGGAGAAGGAGATGATTGAGAGGCTGTCGGAGAAAAAGCACCTAGTGCCCGTGAGAGAGCTTGCCAAGGGTATCTCGTACACCGAGCCCATGCAAACAGGGTGGAAGCCACCCCTAGCTATCCGAAATCTAAGTGAGAAGGATTGTAAAGACATTAGACGCCAGTGGCATATTTTAGTTGAAGGCGATGAAATTCCCCCGCCAATTAAGAATTTCAAGGACATGCGTTTTCCAGACCCAATTTTGAAGAAACTGAAGGCAAAGGGTATCACACGGCCAACGCCAATTCAGGTGCAAGGGCTTCCTGTCATTTTGTCTGGAAGGGACATGATAGGTATTGCGTTCACGGGTTCTGGAAAAACCTTGGTCTTTGTTTTGCCCTTAATTATGCTTGCATTGCAAGAAGAGGTACGAATGCCCTTGATCGGTGGGGAGGGCCCTTTCGGCTTAGTGGTTTGTCCCTCTCGAGAGCTTGCACGCCAAACCTATGACGTGGTGGAGGAGTTTACGGCCGTGCTTAGCGAAAAGGGATATCCGCAGCTACGCTCCATGCTTTGCATTGGTGGTATTGATATGAGGTCGCAGCTAGAGGTTGTGAAACATGGGGTGCATATCGTGGTTGCAACGCCAGGTCGGTTGAAAGATATGCTGGCTAAGAAGAAAATGAATCTTGATAATTGTAAGTATCTTACGTTGGATGAGGCAGACAGGCTTGTCGATTTGGGTTTTGAAGAGGATATTAGGGAGGTTTTTGACCACTTTAGGGGACAGAGGCAAACACTGCTATTTTCTGCGACTATGCCAAAGAAAATTCAGAACTTTGCTAAGAGCGCATTAGTGAAGCCTGTGGTTGTCAACGTGGGTCGAGCGGGAGCAGCGAATTTGGATGTGATTCAGGAAGTTGAGTATGTGAAGCAGGAAGCGAAGATAGTGTATTTGCTGGAATGTCTCCAGAAGACACCACCTCCTGTGCTCATTTTTTGCGAGAATAAAGCTGATGTAGATGACATACACGAGTATTTACTCTTGAAGGGTGTTGAGGCTGTAGCAATCCATGGAGGCAAGGATCAGGAGGAGCGAGAATTTGCAATTGCCTCTTTTAAGGCGGGTAAGAAGGATGTTCTCGTAGCAACGGACGTTGCGTCCAAGGGACTTGATTTTCCGGACATACAGCATGTTATCAACTATGATATGCCTGCAGAAATTGAGAACTATGTTCATAGGATTGGGCGTACAGGAAGATGTGGGAAAACTGGTATCGCCACTTCTTTCATCAACAAGAACCAGAGTGAGACGATTCTTTTGGATCTGAAACACTTGCTGAAGGAGGCTAAGCAAAGGATACCTCCTGTGCTAGCAACCCTAGACGACCCAATGGAGGAGGCTGAGGAGCTTGCTAAAGCTAGCGGAGTTAAAGGTTGTGCGTACTGTGGAGGATTGGGCCATCGTATTAGTGAGTGCCCAAAGCTGGAGCACCAGAAGAGCCAAGCGATTGCTGGCACCAGACGAGACTACTTCGGATCTGGGGGTTACGGTGGAGAGATCTAGTCTGCGTGGCACGATTTCTTTTGATTTTACTCTTTGTCGTTGAATGTTTTTGTTCTTCATATCACTTTTTGAATTACGAGATTATAGAAAATTTAGTCGTCAGGTCGGTTGAAGTGAAAAATGACGAGCTTGGCTTTAAAATAGCTTGAAGTTATTTTTTGAAATTACGGGCCGAGATGCAGTTTGCAATTATCGACCAACATCACAAGCACCCACAACCTGACGTTGTAAAATACCTGTAGTAGCACTCGACGATTTGGAGTTATGTTTCCTCGAGGTCCTAGGTATAGCTTTTGTACAAATCTACTGTATCTAATAAAGAGTTCTCTACAGTGTTACCCACAAGCATCTGTATGACGTAATGGCTACTCTCGGTAAATAATAGATGATTATCCAAGTGTCAAATAACTTCTGACCTTGTATTGATTGTCTTCCATCTACATGCATTCAGCTCTCACACAATCGTTTGATGGCTCACGTAGAATCTGATATACGATGGTTGTGTGTGTCCTGATTTGTAGGAAACTGATTTTGTAAATCGACTAAACGGTGGCTGTATGTAAAAGCACTTCTTCATGTTGTGAAGGTGCTTCTGTTGCAATCAAAGTATTTCGCATTAGCTCGTTCGCATCAAACGACACAGAAAGAATGATCCCTCTCGAAAGAAAACCTCCGTATACTTGCACTAGAAGCTCAACTGCCTACCTTGGTCTGTAGCCCGAATTATGCTTGATCTATTTGCGGTGACCAATGTGGTACGTCCCTGCACCAAAAACATCAAATGTTAAAACTATAACCTACAATATCAGGTGTGTATTCCATGGGACCACATTTGTTCATACATACATAGACTTGTAGAATTGTTGTCTTTATTAATCTTTCCTAGATGTAACTATTTCTATCCTAACATAAAACAATTGAAGGTTGTGTTTAAAACAATACAGTATTTTAAGTCTGCCATAACTATCTAGGAATGGACAACAATCACCCGAAACTATTTAGGCACAAAACATTCAAATCCTAAACCACCTCCAAACTAAATCTACCTTCATACTAAGTAATTTTTGGAATCTCCCTCAACAACCTCAAAGACATGAAGTTCTTGTAGGTTTCTTTAATCAAAAAAATACTTCTAGACTATTTGGAAACAAAAAAAAATTGTAATTTTTAAACAATAATCTTGACCAAAAATTAAAAAACAATCTTCTTATTTTTGAAGCATGTTAGAAGAAAACTCCAACACCAATACACAAGAGGTAATAAAAAATAAAATAGAACTCTTGAAAAAATCTTAAACAAACTTAGATTAGAGACCATAAGTTAGGAGTAAGAGATGCAAAATTGTACTTGAAATAAAATTACACTCCTCCTAAGCTAAGCTTACTCTAGTCTAAATAGTGGTATATCTTAAGCCTTATAATATATTCTATTCTCTAAATTAGCAAAAGAGTATACACCGGTATGTTAAAAATGAAAAAATGGCAAACATATATAAATGACATTTTTAACTTGTTGCTTGTTTAAACTATTTAAAAACTTGGTAGCTTACAATATGAAGTTTATTTTTAAAATGACCTTAGTGCATACATATTACACATTTAAAAGATATATATAATAATATATTTTATAATTTGATAAGAATACTCGGATTTTTAGATATTAAAAATATGAAGTCTAAATTAAAGACTTAATAGAATAGGTTTGTTATTACACCAAATATTTTTCATTTTTTTAATATCAATTTACTTTTTTTAAAAGAAGAATATAATATTGTAATAATAAGGAGGTTGCTAAATAATTGTGTTCTTACTAACACTACTTGATTTTATAGTTATTATAGTACCATGGTAATATATATATATATATATATATATATAATATTTTTAATTAATTAAAAGATACTCATTTGCAAAAAAAATACTAAAATAAAATATAAATATTAAAATAAAATATAATTATTAACTAGGTTAAAACAAAGTATTGCATCTAAATTTCCATAAATTTCTAAAACTTAAAATATTGTAACTTATTTTTTAAAATATATTCAAATTTTTAAGATTATTTAAAATAAAAATTTAATGATTATAAGACAAGATTAGTAAAATAAAGAATGTCGAATCTTTTTGAAATATATTTTAAATTTAAATTAGTTAAAATTAAAAGTGCAAAAAAAACATCTTAATAAGCCAAAATCTCTTGGTAGTAAATCATTTAAACTTTAATAAGTACCACATTTTTAAGAAATGTTGTTGTAATCAAAGTTTTAGCTACAAAAATTTAAATTATGATATTCTAAAAGTTATTAATAAAAAAGAATTATATCTTGTGATTCTATCTTTTAAATTATATTAATAACCATTCAAGGTGTAAAAATAAAATAAAATAAAATATTATTAGTTTTAGTAATATTTTAATATAGTTTCATCTAATTAGATTACACATGCCTAGGCATAATTTAAAAAATTACAGAGTTTGCTTTTTAATTTAGCCTTAGGTATTATAGCATAAGATATTTTTTAAACACTATATATATATATATATATATATATATAAAAGGTTTAAAAGAATTAAATGCTTTAAGTATAAAAAAATAAAATTTCAGAACCTTTTTAATGTAATAGTTAACAAAAAAAAAACAAAAAACAAAAAAACAAACAAAATAAATAAATAAATAAACTGATATTGTTATAAAACAACTGAACCAAGATTGTAGATGTAAGATATCTACGACTTATACTATAATCAATTGTAGCAAAACTTCTTTAAAATTGGAACAATAATTTTACTATATATATATATATATATATATATAATTGTAATATTTTTTGTACTATTGAAATGAGTAGCATTCTAATTAGGCATGAAATTTAAATAATTTTGATGATGATGATGATGATATATATATATATATATATATATATATATGCAAACACACAACTTGTACTTAGAATATGGTTATGAATTTTTTTAACTGGTGAAATATTTAAGATATTTGTTCAAAGATTCATATAATCTAATATTTTCCATCGAAAGGGGAAAAAATAATAATAAAAATAAAAAAATTCATACAATGTGCAACTTTTAAAAAATTCTAAAATTCTAATCTTTATATATATGTATATATATATATATATATATATATATACAAACACACACACACATATATATATGTAAACAATGTGTGTGTGTGTTTGTTTGTTTGTTTGTCTTTTTTCTCATCCTATAGCTATTGTGAGAATATATATATATATATATATATATATATAGTGGAATGCTAAATAGACCCAAGTTTTTACTAAATTAATTTCTCCATTACTGGATCCAAAAACAATGAAAACCAGCCACATTCATCATAATTACCATATTCTTCATTATGGATAGGCTGATTTAGAAAAAATCTGGGTCTATTTAACATTCTCCTCTCTCTCTCTCTATATATATATACTTATTTTTTGGTGACATGAATGCAATCAATATGTTGTAAGTGGATATCTGAGATGCATCAAGAGGCAGTAGAAGAAATCAGAATGGGAAGAGTAAGAAAAAAAAAAAAAAAAAAAAAAAAGACTAAACAATAGAATGCTGCAAACAAGGTAAGCATGACACATGGATATCACAAATTTATCCTTCAGAAAAAGAAAAAAGACAAAGTATCTTAGAAGAAGCAGTCAAACACGATCAGCTTTAGAATCATCAATAAATAAATAAAATATACAAAAAAATAAACAAAAACAAAAGAGAAGTATTAGTTTGATAAATATATTTCCTCCCTATTGTAGAATTCCTTTGCTGTTGTTGTCACGTTTGGAGAGATTCCGCCCAAGGAAAGGTCGCCTACTGGAAGACGACGTCCGCCGAAAGGCTCCGTCGCCGCGCTCGCGAGCCGCTGCGCGAGGGCCCCGTGACCATCGAGCCCGTTGCTGGTCGCGAGGCCAAGTGGAGCAACCACCCTTCGTCCGTGGATCCATTGCCGCGCCGCAGATTGCTCTCATCCTTCCACACAGATGCGTTCCTTCACTGTTCTTCAATCCCTGTCCTATGGGATAACAATTTTTCTCACTTTCCGCACCTTGTCGTTTTCCGATTATGGGTTCGCATTGCATGGAGGTTTCGCTCTTGAGTTCTGGACGGTTGGAGTGATCGAGGTTTGATGGGTAGTGATTGTGTTTGTTGTGGCAGGGAGTAGATTTGAGGTGCTGAGTTTGGTGGTGGTGGTGGTAGTGGTGGTGGTTGGGCCGTGATGCGGTGAAGTTGGTCAGTGAGAAAGTGGGTTGGGAGTTGCCGGAATGGCCAATGTGTGGTGCGTGCAGAATGGGGTGCAGGGATTGCGAAGTTATTGTGGGTATGGGAAAGTGGGCGCTATCGTCGTGGGCAAGAGCCAATCCTTGTTGGGAGCTCGGAGGAACAGGGGATTTTGCAAGTTAGGGCTTCGGATTGCGTGTACAGCGCGTCCGGCAGATATGGAGGCTGGGAATGTGGAGTGGCTTGATATTCCCAAACAGGGTGGAGTAGGTGGTGACGAGGAAACTACCCGCGATCGAAAGGAGCAGGAGAATCTCCAGAAGCAAGGGGTGCAGATTGCAGCTTCGAAGGGCAGTGGTGTTCTTGATTTGCCTGCGCAGAGTGATGTCGATCAGCGGCGCCGCGAGCAACAATTTGCTAGTATACTACAGGTGCGGATCTTGACCATCGGTTGTTTCCCCCTTTTCACAAGCATGGGAAATTTCTAGGATGCTCTAATGCTGCATCAGTTCGATATGACTACACCGTGAGTATTATGCTTTGTGAGTTGAGTATTCTGCGACGTTGAAGACGGTTATGGTATTGCAGGTGCCGAGAGAGGAAAGGGATAGGGTTCAAAAAATAGAAGTATTAACTCGAGCAGCAGCTGCATTAGCTGCTGTAGACGCCTTGTTGGCTAGTAATCCAGCAAGGAAGGCTCCACCTAAACCTGAAGTTCCAGCCCCTCGCTCGAGTAGTTCCCCTCAATGGGTGACTACTTCCACCGTGGCGGTGAAACTGCCTGCCCTTCAACAGAGACCTCTCTCTTCAGGTATCAGCTCAAACCATGTAGCGAATGTAGCGCCAACTTCCCACTAAGAAATTTAAGCATTTTTTTCATGAAATCCTCACCTAATGTTCGTAAGAGTCAGTTAGTCCCCATCTCGTAATGTACTTCATATTTTTAAAGAAAATGGGTCTCCAGTTGGTATACACAACCTAAACGCAATTCTATCACGACTATTATCTTAACTTGAAGCAATCATAGAGATTTGGGATTGCTCACTAGCTCCTAAGGTGCTTGAGACTGCTGGGAAATGTAACGGTCAGAGGGTCTGTATGGACGTTAAAGATTAGTAGTTTTTACAAGCGCGGATGAACTCCTATCGGCGTGTAGTTGGAAATTTTTTCATACGGACTAGCCATTTATCTGCATGTTTGTATGTGAGATTAGGAGTATTGAATTTTGGTCAAATTTGAGGGAAACAGAGGTAGCCATGCTAATGATGTGAATATAATTTTTTTTGTGCGAAGACGATCTGTCAGAGATTACGTCGGGAACTGGATCCACTCTTGGAGCAGCAGCAACACCAGGGCCAGACTTCTGGACATGGGTACCTCCCCCAGACACCCGAAAACCGGAGGATGTACTCCCTCCAAAGATGAATATGCGAGCGGATTTGCCGAAGTCCATGCCCAAATTCACGGAGAAGGAGAGAACTCCTGAGGAGAATCTTGACCTTCCTCTGCAGAGAGAGGTCCAGGATCTGCCAAAAGAGCTCCCATTGGTGTTCCAGAGCAGATCTGTGCCATCGCTGCCTCCGCTTCAGTCCCTGCTGGAGGTTGAGAAGGAAAAGACGGGAGAGCAGCAGGTGACTCACGAGGCTCTCAATGAGGCTTCACTGCAAATACCAGAATCGGTAACAGAGACTGTCTCTGCAATGAAACAGGGAATGCAGACGGCAGGACAGGACGCAAGCGATACAAGTGGTGTACACGAAGATGGTTCACGCTGGTGGAAAGAAACGGGCGTGGAGAATCGTGCCAATGGCGTCACTTGCACGTGGACAGTCATGAGAGGCGTAAGTGCCGATGGGAGTGTGGAATGGGAAGAGAAGTTTTGGGAAGCCGCTGATGCTTACGACTTTAAGGAGCTCGGAGCAGAGAAATCAGGGCGTGACGCAAGTGGGGGTGTATGGCGCGAGTTTTGGCAAGAATCCATGTGGCAGGTAGGTCCTGGTCAGGAAATTATTTCTACTTGTACAGTGTAAGCAGTGAGAGCTTTGCTGATTAGGGCACTTTTTGTATCTGCGATAGGATGCAACGACGGGGCTTATGCACATCCAAAAGAGCGCTGACAAGTGGGCGAAGGACGGACATGGAGGGCAATGGCATGAGAAGTGGATGGAGAAATACGACGCTTCAGGGCGTGCTGAGAAGTGGGCGGACAAGTGGAGCCAAATTGACTTGACTACGCCTCTGGAGCCTGGCCATGCTCATGTTTGGCACGAAAGGTAAACAAGCCAAAATGTCTAAATAGTTCCACTTGGTGCAGCAATGAATGGTCGCAGAGTTTCTGACGGAGCCGTGTGCAGGTGGGGTGAAGAGTATGATGGACAAGGTGGTAGTATGAAGTACACAGACAAGTGGGCCGAACGGTTAGAATCTGGTGGCGGATGGACGAAGTGGGGAGATAAATGGGACGAGCGCTTTGATCAGAATGGTCACGGCGTGAAGCAAGGTGAGACGTGGTGGGAGGGATTGCATGGTGAGCGCTGGAACAGGACGTGGGGTGAGGGACACAATGGCTCTGGTTGGGTGCACAAGTATGGGCAGAGCAGCAGTGGGGAGCATTGGGATACGCACAGTCAGGAAGAGACTTTTTATGATCGGTACCCGCACTTCGGATTCCGTGAATGCTTTGAGAACTCCAGAGAGCTGCGGAGGGTGGGTAAGAAGAGAAGAAGACACTTGTAGAGCCTCCTTGGCATCAGAAAAGTTTTCTTGCTGTTGTAAGCAGTCTGTTCTGATGGATTTAAATGTTATACTAAAACTTGATGAGAAATTGTTCTAGCACGAACACCAAGAACTACACGAAGCGATGATAAGGATTTAATGTCAACCTTCAAGTTTAGAATTTGGTACCGTTAGTTGCGAATATAAAAGGGTTTTTATCCCAACATTCGCTTACTGAGAATTACTTACTGATAGGCCTCCCAACTGAGGGATGGGTATAATTGAAAATGTTGGATATATGAGTCATTAGAGTAACACATTCCTGATACTTCAAATTTGGTGAAAGTGATTGTGTGGCTATCTCAATAAAGACCAATTTGTAGTGTTGCACATGGTATCTATTACAATGGACTATTAAAACAAGGATTAATTTCCAGTTTGAGAATCTCACCTAAAACTTTGCTACAACACGTAACCGTTTTGCAAACTAAACGGCATACATTCTGCCATGAATATAATTTAAGAGATCACTTAATATTCTTTTATAATTTGATTCATCTCAACCTCTTAGCAGACTGACAAAGAAACTGAAAAAGGATAGACACAAATTGCATTATTTTTTGAACTCTATTACATGACGTTGCCACTTCCACAAGTATATTATAAATGTAAGTGGTTCCACAAGTATATGATAAATTTAAGTGGACTTCAAAAGTGGAGTGCATTATGTGTTTATTGTGGGGCCTAATCACTTACCCCGCTAGTTTTAATGCAGCTCGTTCAATCCTATGCCACACCTAATTTCGTTTCATCGCAAATGTATTATTTTAGTCAATCATTGTTCCTAAGATAATAACAAACATCATGTGATAGTCAATTCTCTTGTCAATTACATTTAATATAAAATAAAATTTTAATTTCTAAAAAAGGAGGTGAAAAGTGATAGGAATTAATGATAGAATACAAAAAGTTTAGGGAATAGAAAATTTAAATCTTATTATTTAGATCTACAATAAGAACAAATTGGTTGGCATATTGTTGTGTTTTTGTTAATAAAACAGATCAGTCTTCCTATCCATCAATAACTCCACAAATATTACCTGCTATGAAGAGGCAAAAGAAAAATAAAGAAAAAAGAAAAGAAAAAAAAGAACCACTTACCTCTTACACTTGCCATTTTGTAAGGGGGGAAGAACAAAAAATGGCATGTGGACGATAGCCAACCAGGGCGTGATATAAACAAGGAGAAACGCGCGGGAGGACGTAGGTTCATTACTAGATTTAACTCGCAAGCAATTTCTGAAATAGAAGCATTCAAAGACAATAAAAACAGAAAAAACAAACTCTAGGAAATCGCTCACAAAGCTAGTAACAGAACTCAGTCCTGTCTGTTACTTCAAGTGTTGGTACCTTGCAAAAGAACTTCACATTACGCTGAATATTCATATATGTGAAGATGATCACCACCATCACATGAATGGCGCTGAAGTCCAGCGTTACAACTAAGCAATGACTGGTGAAGTAACCGTCTATGGAAGTTGCCCTCAACTCGGTCCCTGCTTTCAAAATTCTGCTAAAAATGCAGAAAAGATGTTCGTCGTAACAGTCTAATTGACATCTCAAGAATGAATCACTTAGGACGAGCGCCACTTCGAAACTGTAGAACTCGAGTATTGCAACAACCACTAAAGCGACATAACTCTGAGAAATTGACCATATCTACGAGTCCTTGGGAGCGTCCTTAGAGTCTTTAGAAGAGCTCTTTTTCTTGAAAGCCTTTCGTTGCTGTGAGATGTTCCTTGACAATTTCTGGGTGAACGATGTCCCCTGTGACCATAACGGAAGCGGAAAGCGGTTAGAAAGCACAAATGATAAATAGTTAGTTTTCATGTAGTACAATAACAAGCTTGAAAGTCACAACACTATCTACAATAGCCCAGAGTCTTCACATTTCATCTACAGGTTTCCAACACAGACAGATGCCAACTGGAAAGTAACTCACAAAAACGAAAATCTTTACAATAACGATATATTGTACGAAGACAAATAAATTTTCAAAATTTGAAGAGAAGAAAAGAGCTCACTTTAAGCCATTCATTAGCGTGAGCGTCGCTGTTGGTGCGGGTACCAGTCTCAACTTTCTTGCTGCTTCTTCTTTGTTTCTGCAAAAGAATAGTACGAAATGTCAAAAATTGTGTGTCCAGGGCTATTTGAGAACGAGGAAAAATGAAATCATCCAAGAATTTGAATGCATGAAGATTCAACTCAACTTGTGCATATGAAGATAATACGACAAATACCTTGATAAAATCCTGAACTTTAGAATAGGCCCACATGCCGAGAAGTCCCAACAAACCCAAGCCCAAACTGGACAGGAAAATTGTCTCGCCACTCACAAAACCGCCAGATTCCACGACATCGATAGTGCTATTGTAGAAGACGTGTGTGTAAGCTTTGTTTTCCAGCTCGTAAATAATCTTCCCAACGAAGTCATAGTTTCCTGGCTGCAACACAGATAGACGTTACCTTTCTGACAAAAAACTAAAAGGGATTTAAAACAAAACATATATTCGCGCTTGTTCCTATCCTCAACTCCCTAATGGACATGCAGGAAACATAGCTACCTTATTCTTCAGAGAGCATAATTGTGAATCTTTACATTAGATATACTAAACACTATATACCACGGTATCTGTAAGAAGTCGATGCAAAAATTGAATCCGACATTTTCTATTGCGGTTTAGACTGCCTTGGGAGCAGCGAAGCACCTCTCAACTAGCTTGAATATAATTGCTGGGCACTACAGCATTTACCCCCAAAGACATCTATCCACCCACAGTATCCGGAATATTGCATTCTAATAAAACAGAGTGGATACCGAAAATCTACCTGGAGAAACTTGACAACGCCGAACCAGTAGCTAAAAGTCACCTTGTTGCCTTGTGGGATACTGCTCGAGTACTCCTGCGTTCATCATCCACACATAAACATGCAACATTCGTGAGAAATTCTTGATACACACAAAAATTCCCAGGTACTAAAAAATTCATCAAGTGTCAGGCCCTTGCGATAAACCCGACTTCGCGTCATCAACAAAAACAACACACTAGAACGAAGTAGACATTCGGTGTGCTTCAACAAACTAATTATTCGAAGGAAATAACCTTGTTACTACCCAAACAGCATACATACCTGAACAGTGAAGTTCTGGATAATGACCCGGTGATCATTTGGAAGGTGAAGACTGGCACGGATGTATTGCACCTGCATGGGACCAGCTCCTGCAGTTTATATTGCAGACTCTTGTTAATAAATGAATCATGATATTGAAATAAAACCGATTTATGAATCCAATCCAACACCAGTTTCATGAACGACACAAACAAATCACTTTTAGTTCAATCAACAAAACATGAGCATCCAGTTAAACACCTGAATAAATGTGCGAAACTCCATGCAATTTCAGGGGACATGGGAAAAACAACAACAAAACCTTAACGGATGGCTACTTGGCATTCTACATGGGCGTAAATCTCACCATCATTGGTGATATTGATAAGAATTTGCGTAGGCTCTCCTGATTTCACCACTGCAAATACCAAACCTCAATGTTCAAGAAATTAAAAAAAAAAAAAAAAAAAAAAAAAAAAAAAGTTGAAAAAGGCGCAATTAGAAAAGGATTAGACAGTCTGTCTAGATACGGCCAACAGTTTCCACGAAAAAGCCGTAAACATCAACTCACTACGTGGAAACTTCTCCATACATCTCACCAGTGAAGAAAGTGGAATTCGAAATGATAACTTAAAACTCAGTCTTCAGTTCTTCAACGAAGCAACAGAAACTCTTACCTTCAAATCCATTCAATACAACTTAACTTTCTGAAATCCCCCCTGCTCTTAGATGTAAACAATTGACAATCCTCTGCTATTTAGATGCACTTGTGCAGAGCACAAAATAGGGTCCAGACGATTACCATTGTTGAGGTTCTTGGGAAAATAAACAGATGCCTCCACCCCCGGGGCAGCTCCAATGTGCTTGTCCTCCACAAAAGTCTCTTTTACTGGCTCATCGATAGTCTCTTCGCTGTTTAGGGTTTCTGCCTCCTGGTCCTCGCTACTTGTGACTGGTGTTACTGCAAAACACGTTTTCATGGCATATTTTCAGTACAACATTCCTAAAGACAAGGTCAGCAACCCACTGTCTCAGCACAACGCAAAGAGATTACGAGGGTGAAATATAATACTGTAAACTAATTTCATCCAGTTGGTTGGACGATGACTATCACCACACAAGGTAATGCAAACCAAAAATGTTCCACCAAGAGCATACAAATACAAAGTTTACGACTTGTCGGATTATCCACATCACTAACATTCCACAGAGAAAAAACACTCAATTCTTCGAGATCATACCGGTGGAAAAGCAAAGAGCATATGTTAAACACAAGCATTTCCCAGGAAAAGATAATAAGTGGATATAATACAACATCGCAATGTAAGACTAAACAAAACACCAGCCAATCTGTAATATACTAGCTGAATCTCATCGACTCCTCTTTCAAAAACACTATCATCAAACCGCACAGATAAGATCTAGCGCAGCCACGCTACAATACACCAACTAGCACAAATTTAACTAACCAATACGGCCTCAACCGACAGACTGTGTTGTGAAAAAAACCAAGCTTGAAATGAAAGATCTGCTCCAGAGAGACGCGCCAACGCCACCCAAGACCCAAAAGCACATATCCGTTTTCGCAACTCCATCCAATGCCGACCCCACCCACAACAACAACAAACTCCCTCGCTTGCACCTTCATTTCACTACCACTCGTCACCCTCAACCACTCACCGATCCATCCATCAATCCTTGAAACCACTACCTCACCGTCACCAACACAAGAGCAAACCTCAAAAAAACCACATCAAAACCAACCCCAACATACCGAAGCAGTTCATGAGAAGCGCCGACGCCAGCAGCAGCAACAACACGGTGCTCCACGGTCCCTTCGTCATCGTCATCGCCACCGCCGCTCCAATGTACCGCTATCGCACTTCAAGCCCCAACCACAAAGCCAGAAGACGAAAAACCCACCAAAATCCGCAGCAGCACTGGGTCAGCACCTCATTCAACACATACACACACACACACACACACACACACAAACAGACCCCAACTAAGTTTTTTTCCTCGCCTGGGGCATCGAATGTAGTACCTTAAGGCTGAATCCCCCGTAAAGCTTTTAGGTCCAAGTCGTCATAGATCGCACGAATGGGGAAAAAAGGACATGTTCGGCGCTGGGTTCGTCGGGGTTTGAGTGACGCCGCCCTCCCCACCCCCTTGCAGATCTACCACGGCCATAGGGGGCCTGCCGACCGCAGACGGCACTTTGGCCTCTGCCTCTCCCGGTCAACGTTGTAACCGCGTCATTGCGGAATCCTCCTCGAGATCTACGCTACGTGTGGATTTCTCCTTGGGCTTTGCAGTAGCCAGGGGTGCCGCTACCTACCGCGGGGCCCTCTTGCTTATCCGGTGACGTCCAACGCGCGGCAGTGGCCGCGTTATGTTTTGCGTCAGCGGCATGTCGTCGTTGCTTTATGCTCGTCTTTCTTCGCTTTTTCGCTTTCATCTATGGTCATGGCCTCGTTGCTTGGTCTTTGTTTGTGTGGGGGGTCACTTAATTAATGAAGTGTGCACTTCTCCATTCCCACTTATGAACATGCAAGTCACCACCATTAAGAAGAAGAAGAAACACATTCCGAGTGATGATTTCTTCACATTTTTTTTTCTTTTTTTTGCTTTAATGATTTACTGGTTTATTCATTTTTTTTCTATAGATTTATTGCATTAAGGAGGTTTTTATTCTTTTACTTTTTAAAAATTATCATTTTAAGAGATGGATTTTTAAATGTTTATACATAATATGATAATTATGTTGCTTTAAAGAAGATGTTTATACAGTTATATAATATTTTGTAATATAAGTTTTTATATAAATATGAAAGATGATTTTTTATAATAATACTATTATTAGAAATAAAAGTGGTTTTTTTAGATTACTAGATTAAACTCAAAATTAAAGAAGAAATTATTAAGTTATTTTATTTTTAAATTAAGCTTGATTTTGAAAGAAATAGATAAATATTTTTTTTTGACATATTATTTATCAAATAAAATAATTTATTTTCTAATTTAAAATTAATAATTTATATATATATATATATCCTCTTAGTATATTAGATAATTTTACCAAGCTTTATATTGAATTTGGTACTTTATTTTTGATTTAATCTATTAAATACATTTTTAGATAAAATTTTAAAAAAATCTATATAATTTGCTATAATTTTTAAATTTTCAAGCCATTAGTTATTTAATAACTAGATTAAGTCATATTTTTTACTTTGCTACTTTCAAAAATAAAACTAATTTATACAAGATATGAATCAAAATAATAAAAACTTTAAAATATTATTGTATTATTCAAGAAAAATAGATATTTACTCAAAAATAGTATAATATTAGAACTGAAATGATTGTTATCAAAGATAAGAATAGTAGAGACTCTAGAAACTAGACTAAAAACAAGAAAAGTATTGATAAGAGTGGAGAATGTTTCACTCTTGTCTTTATATATATTATCTAACTTGGAGCTACATGGTGACATTCTATTTTTCTTGAATAATATAATAATATTTTAAAGGACCTTTGACACTTGTCTGACTTGCAAGATACATGTTTAACTTACAAGACAAGTTTCTTACATGTGTGTCTATTATAAATATACATGTTTACTTAAATAAGAAGTATTATGTAGAAAATAAATGTAGGTAGATTTAATAATATCTTGTGGCAAAGCTTTTTAAAAGCTTTATAGATGCGTATTTGACTCTCGACGTTTTTGTAGTTGATTGGTAGGTTAAAAACTTGGCCAACAAGTTAGCCATGTGTTGCATGTATTAGTAGTTTGTGATACAAGCTAACCATGTAGTACACATACAAGAAACTTTTATTGCAAGTTAGATATGTGTTTTACAAGTTGGACACATATTGGAGGTCCTATGAAACATTGCCACGTAGTTTTTAGTTAGATAGTTTATATATAGGCAAAAGTGAAGCCTTCTTTATTCTTGTCAACATCTTTCTTATTCTTAATTTTGTTTAAAGAGACTCTACTATTTTTGTCTTTGGTAATACTTATTATAGTTTAATATTATATTATTTTTGAATGATTATCTAGTTTTTTTTTGAATGATACAAGAGTATATTGATTCTTTGATTCTTTGAGATTCATATCTTTAATATTTTGATTAAAGTGTTAATTCATTGTTCTTATTTTTTTATAAAAGTGAGTGGATTATTTGGCTTCTATTATTATATTTTTAAGGTTGAAGAATATCTAATTTAAACTAATATTTTTAATTTTCTAAGAATGTTTTTTTTTAAAGAAAGTAAACTATTCCTCTTTGTAGAAATTTTTATTTGATATAAGAAGTTACAAATTACTCTCTCTTAATTTAATTTATAGATTTATTTGAATTGAAAAAATTATAAATTCCACTCTCAACAAAAATAAAAATAGATTTATAATTATTGCAAAGCTTCACAAACTTATCAATACTCTTAGGATGAAAATTTCACATATCTCTATCATCATCATAGAGGTACTATTCCTATACCTATAAAAGAAATCAACAATAAAGTTTTGACTCTACTTCAAAAAAATGTGCAATTGAGAGAAGCAAGTAGATCATATTCACAATTGAATTCAAAAAGTCTTGCTACTACAAATATAAGAAAGACAAAGATAAGTATGTTAAAGGAGTTTGATAGAACAAGATCAAAGTTTTGAAGATTTTTACAATAAGTAAAGCTCGATCAAAGGTTACAACTATTTTAATATCTTGATGGATTTATTCAAGTTGGATTCATAGGTACATTTCTATCTAGAAGTGATCTCTCTTAGTTTACACCTTAAATGGAAAAAAATTCACAACTTCTTTATGATCTTAATTCATTTTTAGAAGTCTTTATGATCATGTTTGAAGAAAGTGATTGAAAAAAGATAGCAAAGATCAAACACCTATCTTTAAAATAAGGATCACGTTCAACCACCATATATACTACAAAATTCCAAAACCTTATTTACAACATGTTTTGGAATGACAAAGTCATTATCAATTAAAAAATAATATAAAAAATTTATTATTGATGATATCAAAATTAGATTTACTAGAGTAATTTATTGCTTAAGCCATTTTATATTACAATGAATTCTTTAAAAGATGTCAAAAACAAAAGTTTGGTTGTAGATATATAAGTCAATTTATAGCAACAATCTTCAAGTTTTCAAAAGCTTATTCATCAAGACCACCTTAATATTTAATCATTATTGAAGCCTTCATAATTCCCTTCAAATAAAACATTTAGAATACCATCAAAGATGATTCCTACTTCCAACAATATCACCAAATATTAGAAGTCTCCTCCAAAGTTGTTATACAATGCATATTGTATTTTACCATCTACTTGAGGAAAAACATGTCATTCTTGAAGGTCTTCATTTTTATTACATTATATTGAAGGCTATGACTATTGTAAAGTCTTGTCTAATAACTCAAAAAATAATAATTCTTAAGTTGAATTTACTAGTTGTTAATTCTTCATCTCTTTAGTATCACAAATATTCAAAAACTATAAATAAAGATAGAAGATAGAATGCAATCTTCTATGAACCTTATTCTTTTATAACAAAGAATTGGTTATTCTTCATTTTTATTTTGATGGATATCATTAATAAAAAGTATCTATCTTCTTTGTTATATTTAAAATATTCTTAGATAATTCTTATGTGTATTCATTTATATTATATCCATGCCAACAAACAAGATATTCTAACCTATTTTGGCATCACCATAAGTCTAAATTTTCTTCAATCTCAAACTCTTGATTATTATTCTTTTCTATAGGAAGAGGTAGCATTTATCTTCTTTTTGATATATTTATTATCTTACATGGCTCAAGAAGAGACACATAGAACATAAGATTACTCTTTATAGACTTTGGTAGATACAATTGATAAATAATTGAATTAATTTATTTACAAATAAAAAATAGTTTAATTCTACAATAATTCAAATTATTTAAAATTAAAATAATTTTGATATTATAACAAAATAACTCTATCTTATTGCCAACGTGGAATTGAAATTTTTTCTTGTAATAAGCATTTACATTGATCTTTTGTTATTTTTAAGCATTCTTTAATTATACTATTATTATTATATATATTTTTGATAAATAATTTACCAAATCTTATTTTATAAGATTATCAATTTTTAAAAAGTCATAAATATTAAATCATAGATAATAATTATAATTGACAAAAAAAAGATGTTTATTATATATAAGAATGTATCATATTATTATAAACAAACTTTGCCAATAGCAAGAAAATTATCTAATTATTTTCATGTTAATTGATAATATACCTCAAATACTACTTTAAAATTTGATTCATTTATTTCATTTGTCCATCAATTTGAAAATAAAAATAAAAATATATTTTTACATCCACTTTTAGAATCTTAAAAAAAATCTCTAAAATCTTAATACAAATTGTATCCTTCTATCCAATATAATATTTCTTGATAATTTATAATATCAATAAATTTTGTTAAATTTTTTAAAAATTATTTCTTCACTTGTAATAGGCTTTGTATATAGTACAAAATGTGCCACCTTGGTGAAATAATGTACTATCATAAATATAGAGTAATAAGACCTTTAGGCAAGAAGATCCATGATAAAATCCATAGAAACACAAGACTATGGTTATTTAGGTATTAATAATAGTTGAAGAAGTCTATAAGATCAATGATGATGAATTTTTGATATTAAACAAACGTCACAAAATTGTACAATATCTTTGACTGCCTTTCATATTTGAGGCTACCAAAAATTTCTAGAGATTAGTTCTAAAGTCTTATTGTATCCAAAATGTCATACTAGTAAGAAGTTGTGATAAGCTTGAACAACACCTAATTGTGTTTTATCTTATGAAATATATAAGAAGGCATATTGATCAAAATGTACATCTCTTTTTTTTATGCAAAATAAGAATGTTTAGAAAGGTGTCTTATAAACTTTATTGTTTTCTTTGTTGATAAGTGATCTTGAAATCAAATCTTAATGAAGACAAGTACCAATGGGCTTGGTAATAATTCAAAACATGTGCTAAAATAAAATACTCAAGATTCTTATAATTTGCATATACAATAACTAGACTTGAAGTACATTCTAGATAATAATGTCATTTTTAAAATGAATCCACAATTATAAGAAGTTTTTTATTATGGATCTTATAATTGATTTTGATTGTTAAAATTTAATATAATAAAAAGCTTCTAGGTGGAGTTTATCATTTAGTTTTATTTGTGACAATATTACATTCAAAGCAAAATTTAATGCATTTGTTTCCATAAAAAATACTTTAAAAAAGACAATATAATATAAAATTAGTACAAAAATAAATTTTAACTTGAAAGCTTCAAATAATGCTTCGACTTCTTTATTCCATTCAAGTTTGTCTTCACAAGTCAAAAATCTAAGTGGATGTACAACTTAAAAAAAAATCTTGTTGAAGATCCAATATTAATTAGCAAAATTATCAAGAAACTCACAAAATCATTCAATTAATTTTCAAGAAGGAATTCAACCACCATTTGGATCAATTTATAGCTTATTGTAAAGTGAGTTACTTGCACTCAAAAGTATATTAACAAGAATTAGATTAAGAACTTCATATAAAATAAGAACAATGAATTAATACTTTTATTAAATTATCAAGGATATAAATTACAACAATGAAAACCTCAAAGTACTAATGTGTCACTCAAGACGAGTAGATATTCACTTTAAAATAATATATTATTAAAACTAGAATGATGGTAAGAAGATTAGAGACTCTTAAAACTAGACTAAAAACAAGAAAGGCGTTAATAAGAGTGAAGAATGCTTCATTCTATTCTTTATTGTCATGTAATAATAAAACTTTATATTAAAAAATAAAAATAAAATGGATGTTATTATGGAAGAGCCTAATAGAAAGATGTAATAGAAAAATAATGATAAATTATAAAAAAGAAAGTAAAAAATATAGTGTTAAAGTTGTCTTTTTTTAGAAGAAATTTCTATTTACTTTATAGAGGCATAAATAAGCCAAATCAAAGTAAATGAGACAAGAAATTAATATAGATATGTTTATAAGAGAGTTAAAAATAGATTAAAGTAAAATTTACTTCAAATTATCAAAAATTGATATTTGAAGAAGACTAGTTGTCAACTTGGGTTGAAATCAGATCCCAAGGCACAAAACTATACACCTACAGCAATTTCAGGGTTTTTTTTGCAAATCAAAGAATGAAATTTGAAAGAAGACTTTATGAAATTTCTTTGAATGTTTGTATTGGAAAATTTGAATTTGTAATGACTTTGTAAGAGCTTTACAAAGTCATGGGTATTTTCAATGAATTTGGTTTAATAAAATAAAAAAGATTTATATTTGAAAGAATTTTGTGAGTTTGGTAGTAGATCTATGAATGATAATTTCTAGGTTTGTGATTATAATTTTTCTTATTTCATGCTATAAATTTGAGCATAATCAAATAATTGGATTGAAGGTTATTAAAGTTCAAGTGGGTTGAGATCTCAAAAATGAGGATTTAAAGATTAGTGAGGGTCTTAAGATCTTAAGTAATCTATCAATTGGATTGAGGTGAAATTTATGTATATAGATAATATACTTAATTTTTAATATATATATATATGAATTTTGAAAGGTATTCAATGGTGGAATTAAGTGTTTTTGGCTTGGAAAGATTGGCATCAAGATTAGAGAAGGAAGGTGGCCAACACTTCAGCGGATTTTAAGGTTTATCATCTATTTGGTATGTGCAATTTTTTTCAAAAATTTTGTGCTTGTTGTTAATTTAGTTGTTACAAGGTATGTAAAGTTTGAATCAAAATCAATAGTTCAATCATTTATTATTGAATGTTTAATTTGCCATAGGATTTATTAAGAATTTTATTTAAGATTTAAGTTTTGATTAAGGATTGATTAGAGTTGATTTAGAATTTAGGATTTAGTTGGAATTTTATTAGGATTTAAGGTTTGTTTAGGATTTGATTAGGATTTAGGATTTTGTTTGAAATTTATTAAGATTTTATTAAGATTTAATAAAAAACCAATTAAGATTTAATTAATATTTTTTTTAAATTTATTCAAGATTATATTAGGATTTCATTAGGATTTGATCTTAAATTTGATTAAGGTCCAATTAGGATTTTAATTAAGATTTGACATAAGTTTGATGAAGATTTATTAAGATTTTAGTTAGGATTAAATTAAGATTTGATTAGGATTTATTTAGGATTTCTATTTTAAATACTTTTTAAAGGTTTTTTGTTGTATCTTTAAAATTTTCTATTTCTAATATTTATTTAAGATTATTTTTATTTCTTTAAAGTTTTAGTTTTATATTTCTTTAAGATTTCCTCTTATTTTTTCTTGAAATTAATTTAGGACTCTTTTGTTTTTTTTTGTTTTTTTTTTTGTAACTTCTTTTAATTTTATTTTAGATTGATTAAAGTTTGATTAGGATTATAGAGATTTATTTAAATTTTATTTAAGATTCTATTAAACTTGGTAAGATTGTTGTTGCATTTCTACTTACCTTCCACAGTTAGGTGTCCGATACATTCTTAAGTAAGAACACATGTAATACGATATAATATATACTATTTAAGTTAGAGTTATGTCGCAACATTCTATAGGACCTTCAACATCTATGCAACGTGTTAAATATGTGTCTAACTTGCTAGATAAGTTTCCCACATATATATATCACATGGTTAGCTTATTATATAAGCTAGCAATACATGCAATACGATGCTAACTTGTTGGCTAAGTTTCTAACATATCAATCAATTACAAACATGTCTAAAGTCAAATCCATATCTATAAAGATTCTAAGAAGCTTCTTCACAGGATATTATCAAATCTACCTATATTTAGTATCTACTTAATATTTCTTATCCAAATAAATATGTACGTTTGTGACATAATTATACATATGATTTTGAAAAATAATTATTATATTTATAATATTTTAAATCTATATAAAACCTCTTAAATACTCATATAAGAAATATACGATATAATAATATAATAACATATAAGTATAATAATTTTAATATATATTTTTTAAAATTACAAATAATTCTAAAAAAAAACATGTTTTTTTTTTTTTTTTTTTTTTTTTTTTTGTTTTTTTTTTGTTTTTACACCTTTAATCATTATAACCTTTCAATTCCAAATACAATAATACAAAAAAGAAGTTTTCTTGCAAATATGTTCACAAGTTTTAGATGATAATTTAAAATTTATCTAAATTATAGGAAATTTTAATTGATTTTTTTTAAAATAAATAAAATCTGAAAAAGAATTTATTAAATTATAATTAAGAAATTTTAATTTTTAATATGTATTATTTATTTATTTTAATTAATTTTTATAAAAATCTATTTGATGATTAATTTCGTTCTTTAATAAAATAGTTTTAAAAAAATTAAAGACAAAAATGTACAAATATTGAATTGCTTATAAATAAAATTTGAACTTTTAAAAATAAAATAAAAAGCTTCTATTATTTTTGCCAATGCACAACATATATGTCCTGTCCTTTTAGCATCTGATGCATTGTATCCCATGAAATCTAAGACATAAGATCTTGTTTAATCAAAGTAAGAACATAATCTATTTTGAATGGAAAAAGATATGGTATTGAGATAAAACTCATTCCCACATTGGTTTTATAATTATTTAAAATATTCTGAAATCTTTTTAATATTTTATAATTGAAACATTTTAAATATAATTGTACAGATATGGCCAAAATGATGTAACTTTGTATTAAACACAACAACTATCTTTGTTTTATTTTGCAGTTGTTGTTAGATGAAACATGTAATTATGTACTTGACGGATTCAAGAAACCATTGCATATGAGAGATCTTTAAAATTAATAATATTAAAAGGTAAAGTATTTAAAATATTTTTTTATTTAAATTTAATATTTTTTTATAGTTATGATTTTTAATTTTTTAACAAAAAGTATCTTATAGTATTATTTTTAATTTTATACATATTATACTAATTAATATTTTTTTATCTTAAGTATGTATCATACTAATTCTTGTACATATTAGTACAAGATAAAGAAATATTTAGTATGATACATATATACATATTTGTTGACACACATGCACCTAATGATGTAATTTTTGATGTTGTAAACTCGATTTTAAGCATTGAAGGCTTTTGCTAAATAATCACTTTCTAATGTAGTTAGTAGAACCATTCATAAATTCATGCTAAGAAAGGTTGTCATTAATTCTAGCTGATTATGTTGCATGGATGGCAAAGTAGGATTTGACCATAACAAATTACTATTTGAAATCATGATCTAAAATTTGTAAAAAAGAACATTTCATAACTGACTCATTAATGCTCAGTCAGCAAAGTGCAAAACCAATAGTGGGTTTTCTGCTTAGATTGCCACTCACATGTCATCAGTGACTTAACCATCAAAATTGTGGTCGAAACACAGCCAATATACCAACCAAACTTATTTCTGTATCTTTTAACTTCAATAGCTGCTAGTGCATGATACTAGCAGTATCTCATCAACCTATGAACTCATCCCTAACATAGATAACAGATATCAATAGAATCTGGGTTGCCAGAAACTACTTTACATCGTGATGTGACATCGAATTTTTCCTTTCTTTTGAACGAAGACCAGCACCATTGTTTCGCAACTAGGCTTCAAGGATTAGAAGAAATATCTTCAAAGAAGTTGGGTCACAATTGCGCAGGCATGAATGTCAACCACCTCATTTTTACACCTTTAATCATGCTCAAAACTTGGATCACAAGTTATGGGTCTCGTAACAAGACGTCCACACCATCACATTGCTAATCCATATACTACACCTCCACAACCGATGAAACCTACCTCCTACTAATTAAGCCGAGCATAGCTTATTCGTGCAATAGGGTATCTGTCAAAAATATAGCACACTTGTACACTTGTCTGAACCAACACGAGTACAATATTAAATCAATCCTCTCACCAGTTCTCTTTCATGACTTTGACCTTCTCAAGAATATACTTTCCTTCCTTGTACTTCTGGGACTCTTCAAAAGCTTTCTCATATTTCCATCCCAGCACTTCTTGACACTGGTAGCAACATATGTCAGCAACTGTATGCAGGCCCGTCCTCAGTTGTCGATCTTCTTTGACCCCAATTGTCACATTCACGACATTCGTGAATAAGTATGCCCTCCCGTTTCTTCCCTGTATACAAAAACTTCCGCTTGTAAATTTTCCTCTCAATGATCATCTGATACTAATTCAAGCTCAGATGAATTAACTAGTAAAGATACATTCGCTCATGAATGTCTCCTATCTTACCTTCAACTAGAGTGTAAACATTCTATAATCCCTGATTCATTCTCCACCTTGCAACTCACACTGATGTCGACAACAAACTTCATCATAGAACACAAGATCTTTCTGAATAAAATTTGCTCCACTCCCATCATCTTCAATAGCTTGACTTAAGGCTATCATTCTATTCTAAGGTTACCTGGGGCTGCCACTTGCCCTCGTCATTCAACAAAACGCCTTTCTTTCCAGTTGCATCGATAGGGCTGTGAAGCATTCCACAATAAATACAAACGATGATAATACAAAAATGGCTTTAACAAATACGAACATATACCTTCCGTAAGTGTACTCATTCATGAGGTCGAAAGAAGGAAGGATGTAAAATCATCCAAGGCGCGGAAAACAATCAGGTTAATTTAAGTTCTGATGGAAAAGTCATGCCTTACATACAATACACTTGTAAACGACTTATGACATCAACCTAAACTAAAGATGTTAGATACATAAACCCAAAATGAATGGATAGATGTATTAAAATACTACGGCCTGGAAAATAACTCCTCACTCTACAGTGAAGAATGTAGCGTCAACAGCTCCAGACAAGGAATTTTCATGATCAGAGGTGGTATCCATAGCTATTACCAGCAGTCTTCGGTTGAATTGTTTCCAGAAAGACTTCACTTGAACTAAATATCTCGCCACTTCGAGATGTAAACCATCTGCCGCTAGTATTCAACGAAACTTGGGCTCTGGAGAGACTTGGCTTCATAGATTTGAAGAAGCGGCATAATTTTAACGACCTATCTGCAGAAAGTGACGACGAGACTACCGGTATTGAATTATCTGTGGGGTAAAGCCACCACAAAACCCCATTACGAAGGGGAGAGTCTGTTTTATCTAGAATATTATACTCCCCGAAAGAGAAGAGGCGATTTTTTTCTTCAGTCTAAACCCCATGCCGTGATGTAAGTACTACAAATAATAATCATCCTGCAACAAATCATCATAACTCAAATTCTAAGCCTAGCTTCAACCACACTCACCACTGAAATACGATAGATAGTAATCGGCTACCGACAAATTTTATGCACAGAAACAGTTACGGGTTACACACAACAATAATTCTCTATTTGCGGGCAGTTTATTTACATCACCCTTCAGCAGGAAATCGTAGACGTCTTGCGGTGACTTGCCCCGCACACTGAATGAATAACAATACCATTATGGCCCATACCAAACTGAAGATGCTGATGAAACCAAGATGCAGCAACCACAGTTGGACTTGAATAGATGAATTGCGATCAGAAGGAAAAAACCGACAATATGAATTCACCCTAACTCCTTACGAAGAAACTGTAATCAGATAATTCCCACAATCGGTGACCGGAATCTCACCAAGTCTCCTCGAATTAGGAAAACCGCTCTCGATTGCGATTCATATGCCAATCCGATGGTACACCCAAATACAAAACCACTCACCAATCAATCAAAATAGGTGTCATAGAATTCTCCTACAGCACAAAAATTGCCGCCATCCTGACGAAAAAGAGAAATCTTCTCCCATTGTTCACAAACCGAGGAAATCATCATCAGCACGAAAGAGGCAAAATCTACCTGGAAGCGAATTCATCACAATCTTCGCATAAATGCGCACCTGAAAGCACTTGGAGATGATCTCGTCGTGGTCCGCCACATGGCAGCGGCAATTGCAGCAGCTGTAGATGCGCGGACCCGGAATCGCTGGTGCCGCTGTGAACCCAGCCTCCCCATCTCCCTCCCCCATTCCCCTCCTGTTGTTCCCCTTCCTTCTCACCTCTCTACAACTCAACACCGATCAACAAAACCACTCCTCTCTCGCTCTCGCCCTTTCTCTCCTGCCAACGAAGAAACAAAAAGCCTGCTCACAAACAACAAATTCACAAACCTGCTCCCTCTTTCTCTACCCCACCTGACCACAACGCCTCGTCCCGACCCCTCTCTCCCCCCAACAAGACCCAGCAATTCTACGCCACCCTTCCACGTGACTGAGACTCCAAAACAACACCGTGAAAGAAAGGAAAAGGCGCTTCTCACGCATGGAACTCGCGAGAACCCATGAATGGTTTGTGCTGGATTCTCCAAGTCCAAAAGCTTGATCCACCATGTGGATGAAGGGGTAGAAAACTCCCAGAGAGAGTGAGAGAGAGAATCCTTTTTCACACACGGGCTCTCGCACTCCCACACTCCCTCACTCCCTCATTCACTCACTTTGCTTAAATTAGCAAAGCCACGAGACGAGGAGGAGTGCTTCGGGGCAGGTGGGGGGGGATTATCCAGACAAGATTCGCTGTGGAAACGTGGGCTATGCCGGTCAATGAGGGTGAAGTAGAAGAGCGAAATTCATCCGTCGCGCGCAATCGCATCACATTTTCGAGCCCGCATCTCTCCTCATTCTCAGGACTGCCAGCCTGCCGGCCACGCCTCCTCGGAAATGGCGGTGAACTTCTCTTACTTACCGCTCCGCGCGGGCGCGGTTTTCTGGTGGCAAAGCACCCCTACAAACTCACAATTGTTTAATTTTATTGGTCTCGTGCATCTCAAAAGATGTTCGCTCGATGCGGAGTTGCAAAGGTGGTTTTTGCTGAGTTGCAATGTGGTAGAGTTACGCTGGTTTAGGGATAAGCTAGAGCTTTGAAGTTGACACTTATCTTTGTTGGATGGAGGACCAGAATGAGTCCACAGTCCATTCATGCTGTTTATTTTTTTTGTTAGCTTTTAAAACTATGTCTTGTTTGCAATCGCAGAACTGCGGTCAGTATATTTTTCATTGACGGGTGAATAGGTTTAGAATAAACTTCTAAACACTTTCCCCCTGATTTGATCCACTGTATCACCAATGCAACTTTCATGGATTTTTTTTTTTTTGGATTTAGTGTCACCAACCTTTGCTGCATGTCAATAACTCATGTGGGTCAATGGCTCTAAAATTAAATATAATTTGGAAGCATGAGAATTATCTATCTCAAAACATGTATTCTTTGTGGTATGCGGTTTGCCCAACATGGGAGAATCTTCTCCAATCAGGTCTTCATGATTGATGAAGGACAGCGAAGGAATTAATTTTGAAGAATTTAACCAAAATTAGTATTACTTTGTATGTAAACAAAGCCTGGAAGCAGATGAGAACTACTGTACTTGCGGTGTGGTACCCACATGCAGTGCGAGATGGTAGGATATGGTATTGGAGATTCACAAACTTCCCACTTGTAAATAGGTTCCAGGGTAGATTCTCCTCAACCTTGTCGAGTGAGCAGAAGAAAGAAAGAAAGCAAGAAGATATCGAAGCAGTGGGTTTAGTGAATAAATTGAAGACAAAGAAACAGATCAGTTCACGGACGGAAGGGCTTCAACCACAAACAGTAACACAAGGTCAACTTATATCAACGCAGATGAGATGTTGTGCAGACAAACTCATTGCACAGTATGATAATCAATTACAAAAGATGCAAACATTAGCACCTAACGTAAAGGTTTTCTGTTTCCAATGTAAAAAAATAAAAAAATAAAAAATTCAGGAAGTTGAAACCTCAAACTAGCCTTGAGAATGGTCAAATGTTGTACCCTGTAATTGGTATAAAATCATGGACAATCATAGTTCGAATATGACACAAATGATGTGTTCCGCGATTGAACAGGGTCTGTGAATGATGAAGCACGCAATACCAATGAAAGAAAATACTGTCCTAGAAGAATGAGTAGCGCTTCTTCATAAGCACTTCAGCATTATGGCACCACCCTGATCATGACCTGAAACCCTATCTTGGTAAGAAATGATGAAAACATGATTGTTGAATTGGGCGGCCAATTGTGTGCTTTTTTTTCTTTCTTTTTTTAGATGCTCTTTACACGTACACGCCCCATCTCCAACCACTTCTATAAATACAATGCAATGGTCAAGGCAAACTTATTGCAAGTCCTCAGTTGGCCACAAGTCATTCCAGGTACCGATCGCTTCCCGTGACGTCAGTTTTCTGATGCCACCATAAAAACCCTCTTCCTCGTTTCCCTCCTCCCGATGAGATTTGCGGTTGATAGCGGCACGTCGCCAACGGGAACCAACCATATACTGATTGAATTCCAACCAGACAGTATCTGCGTCGTAAACTCTCAAGTGTTAAAACATGCAAAGCAGGAGATACTCGGTAAATGACAATTTTTTTGGCACCCAAGCATTGTAGAACAAACTCCAAAAGTCAGCTTCACTAATGACTTTGACGCGACGAAACCAAAAAGTATGCTCAGCGATAATTGAAAATATCGTTAACACAGAATCATCCTCAAGTTCTAAAAGCACACAGAACTGTAAGCATGACAAAAATATCATGCCTGAGAATTGGAGCTAATGAAAATGACATACCAAGAAAATGACAGCGACAATGTCTAGTGTTTCCTTCACAAGCCTCAGAATGTCCCACTACACCGTACCACCAACCTGGAATATCAACGCATGACGATGGTTAAAAAAGACCTCAAAGCGAGACATTATGCCAACAGGGAGGAGATGAAATAATTGATTGAGAATTCGTGGCTTAGTTAAACTGTTCATAACCATTTTAACAAAAAGAAACGGATAGCCAAAAGAGGCTTAAAAAGTCGTGAGCTGACCATAAGGAAAATCTTTATTTCTGCGCCATTGCACTTCAACATGATCGCCAGGTTGCAAATCAGCCAGACAGTCTGATTGATGCAGGACTTGTGCAGGTGTGTCCACAGGTGGAGCGCGAAGACGCTCCCATTGGACCCCTTCTTCCACTACTGCTGTCCGCTGTCCATGAGGTGGGTACCTACAACACACAAGTCACTTAGTAAAGGCTTCGGACATCGATCAAAGGTGGAGAATAAATAAATTTGTCTTCTAAGGTTAGAGTCATATCTGCAGAGTTTATAAGTATACCTGGCCTTGAATGCATCGGTTTGACGATCATAGTTCAGTTCTGCATCGTAACATGACAGCATGAAGCCCACGTGTCCATTCTGCAATAATTCATTAAATCAACAATGTAAGAAATTATGAAGGACAAAATGAAATTTTCCGAAGGAAGATTCAACCGACATGACATTGGGCCAGAAACGGCAACGAAAGATCCCAGTCCTCTGAACAGAATTGCATCCAACCTCACATTTCAAGGACCAGACATAGAGATCATAAAATATAATACCCACCTCTCGGTTATATACTTGAGCAGGGAACCAGAAGCTCCCGCTTTCCAACGCCCAGTACCAGGCCATGAGAGAATCTGGGGGTGGAACCGCAGGAGTCTGGTTCTGTAGGTTTAGCCACTTCAAGGGCCAGAAGCAAGACAGAGGCCATCCCCAAATTCGGGGAGGGCGCTCCGCCGGGGGGGCCTGCTCCGCTGTCAAAATCACCTGACGCTGCCACTCCTGAAAAGCCGAGGGGCCGACGACTCGTGCCCACTTCTCTTCCAAAAGAGTTTTCCAGAGATGATCACTTCGGCATCGTCTCCGCAGATCTTGGCATACACCAGCCATTTGACAGAGAGAAGCGGGAGGAAGCCGCCCCAGAATTTCCTCCAGCACGAGCTCAGGCAAATCTAGAACGGATATGTGTTCCGAATCTTCATTCTTGTGGCAAAGCCGTCCCTCAAACATTGTCCCAAGTCCCCACTGAGGAATGCCACTGTCGACGTGGTCCAGATGTAAGCAGCAGAGCTGCTTTATATTGCCTTTGTTCGACGACGAGGAGTTGAGTGCAACCCAACCAGCCATGATGCTCATATTGGCTTCCTGAGAAACGTTGAGTAGCCCGAATCCTCGGGTTGGTTGATTTCTCATCAACAGTAGCGAACTAGCATTGCCTGTCCAAACGATACACACGTATCAGTAAATATGTACTATGCAAATATAGCAGCATCAACCCTCCCTTACTCTGAAGAGGTCAAGGGGTGCTTGCTTGCAATGTTTATCTCACCACATTCATAGAGCCTTGTTTGTGAGATGAACCCAAGAACACATCAAACAGTTGACGAATTATCATCCCCAATACGACGCAACAAAAATGATTAGGACTAACGTAGAGGACTGCAGTGATATGAGACAAAGGCGCGCACACAATAGCAAACAAGAATCACAAACAATACCACAATCTGCAACGTAATTGAACCTGCAACCAAGATACTAGCTATTTCACAACAGACGCCGGCAGTGCAATCGCCTCCCTACCCCCGCCCCGAAGAGGTAAAAAGCATGACATCATAAAGCAATTATTATATTCAGCCAGCGATCGTGTTGGGAAAACCAAATTGATGTGCTGTGTAGGAAGGTGCCATTGTAGGCACAACAATATGCTACGTTACTTCATGCTATAACTGTTGCTGAAAAGAAACGAAAACAAAACAAAATCCAAAGCAGCACACTTCTTACGTAGAACCAACTGAGTTGACTCATTCCCTACACATGTTCTCAGAGAATCATATCCGGCCACAAATATTGAAGTCCACAGCCAGAACCGTCACTAAAAACTCTCTCTCTCGAAACCAACGCCAAATACGCCCGCCTCAACTATCAGATCAGCCAAATCTCCTCACCTAAACCACCACCACCATCACCACACTCGAAACACGACACCGTCACTGGCAAACCCGGAGACACTCCAGCAAATTAGATAGATTGCTCGCAAAACAGAGGAGAAGAGAATGCCGGCACGGCCTCTTCCAACCAACAAATTCCCCCCTTCGGAGATTTCCCTAGTGCTGGATGCGTAATGCTAATGCGATGCGTAAGTAGCCGGCTGCTCCGGGCCCAATTGCGTACTGATCGATGGGCGCTACTCGCAACTTGACTCACGGTGGGGCCACCAGCACGGCACGCACTGACGCTATTACTGGCCAATCACTCCCCAAAACGTCAATCGCAGCCTCCTCCCGCACAATCTCCTCCTCGCTTGCAATTTTGCTTCCGTCTCTGCTTCTCCAAGCTTTTGCCGGGGCCTTTATTAGCCGGGGCACTGCAGACAGCAGACACCGGGCCCGGCCGGACCGGGGCGGCGGGGGGGGGGGGCTGGGAAAAGCTATCCCGCTCACCTGCTCACGTGCTTCCATCATCACGTCACTGTCGGCTGGTTGTCACATCGTGACGGTGATAGGGTTGGGCGGGTGGTCCTCCTCCGATCTATCGCCGCGCTTATATTTCAAATTAGCAGCATAAGTCTGTACAGATTCGGCCCTGGCCGTGGGTGACACGTCGAATTCGGGTAGCGATGGATAGATGCTCTTACCGTTTTTTTCTCATGGCGTCGGCAGTGAAGGAATTGGCTGCATGCCGACCACCTGAAGGAGGTTGTAATTGTCAACGATCTATCCCAATGCTTTTCTCAATCGGTTAGAGGTGTTTTGCCGACTTGAATTGGCGGTCAGTCTGTTTATCGAGTGGTGCTGCCCGTCGGGTGGAACGTAGCGCATGCGTAACAGGATGAGGTAGTGATTGCGGAACAGGGTGAGGTAATGATACAGCTAACAATACTATTAAGTTGAGTTCACTTGAGATGTACTCCACGACTCTCCATTTTCAGCCTGTTCAGGGAAGCGTGAGTTTGAAGTGTCTGTTTAATATACGTGGTGAGGTAGTCCAGTGAGATGACGGCGAAACGGACTGCGCTCTAAGATACTGACCAGCATTAACGAAAGAGTGAGGCGAAAGGATTTCGGTTAGTGTAAGAGATGAAGGAGAGGGTGCTACAAGCCTCCGGCGAGCTTGCCTAAGGACTCCAGATGTTTAGTGGAAGCTGTTGTTACCAATTCTCTTTACACAAGAAAGTTTTCTTGCATCCATAGACTGCTGTATCATTCATAACCTCATGATTAATGCATCACGTCCCTGCGTTGATATCAGAAAGTATTTCAAATTCTCAGTCTTTATGGACTGAGATTTACTAGCAGTTCTTTCTTGGTGTATTCATTGAAATTCTCCGAGAGCACTTCACTTGAACGTTTGGATAAGTACTGAAAGAGAACGTGTGTTACAAGAGAACAGCGATGCATACTTGAGTTATCTGTAGGAGGAGTAATGGCGGCGAATGATGCTGTGGTTTCTATGTCGAACATTCATGTCAAAAAATGCGTGGGTTTATGCGTTCGTCAGCAATATGTAAAATCAGATTTGTGGCTGAAATGCTGTGTCAATCGACAGACTTTGGTTTAATCCTGACACGAAGGTATCTTGTGGCAGATCAACACGGGCACTCTTTCTGTTTAGCCACTCGATCTTATCAAGATCTTCACTCTCACTCTGAATCAGGACACCGCTGATGGGCTGTCTTTTTTGTGTCACTCACACAGAAAACATTCTGCTCCGACAAAATTTGAACTGAGAAAGCGAAGGTTGTACACTTGCGCCACAACCATATGTGACCAACCAACGGTGCTGAAAATATCACAACATGCGCAAGTCGAGAATCAAAAAGCCTTATTGTTTTCACCACAAAGGAGTCTAAGAAACGAGCACAACTCAGCACACAGGTGGAACATTGGTCAGTTTATTTATTATATTTTATTCATTTTTGTCGAAAGCTCTTTCAACCATTTTTCTTTCTTTGTTTGTTTATATATACTCTTAAGCTAAAAAATACTTGAAAAATGAGAGAGGAACAGAGAGAGAATGTAGGAATCAAGCATTTAAAATTTGACTGGATATGCAATGTGTGATGTATTGTTGGTGTATAATTGGATATTGTGGTATAGAGTAAGCCAAATGACATCTCTTTTCTTCTTTCTTTTTTTTCCTAACATGGTATTAGTATTGTCCAAGATAATCTCATAGGTTAGAGAAACTAACATTACATTTATCAAAAACATCAATAACACATTAATTTAACAATTGCAATATATATTCACAATCATATAAATCAATTGAATGGTTATTTTGCAAAAATTATACCATTGCTTAAACTCCTTTGTAAAAAAAATCACTAAAAATCTTTCAATCCTTGTTGGTGTCATATTTTGGGAATTTTTGTTGTGCAATCAATTTGATTTCATTTCATTGTGTCTGTAAAAGTTACTGTACTTCAATTTCACTTATCAATGTTATAAAAAAGAAATAACGTTTCTTATAAAGATGTCTCCTAATAATGTTAACATATCATATGGTGACATCTCAGTTAACTTAGGATAAGTTAATTTATTAAAAAAAAGTGCTAATATTTATTCAGTTTATGATCACATTTTCTGGTATTTTAATATATTTATTAATGATTCTTTAAGTGATTTTGAAATCAATCAATGTTACATCAATTTTGATAAAAATGTTTTAAAGAATTTTATTTATATTTCAATTCTTGAAGAATATAGAGAAAAAAATAAAACAAAAATAAAATAAAAATTACTCAGTTTTGGTAAACTTTGAAATAATTCATTATATATATATATATATATATTTATAATATTTCATCAATTTTTGAAAATTATTGTAGTTAGCATTGGACAATTCCAAAAATCGAATAAATTCTCTAAATTTTTTTTCCCCTCTTAATACATTAAATGTTAAAAAAAAAAAATTACATTATAGATTATATTTGTACTGTTATTTCACATTCAAAAACATCCTTAAAATATACAAATTCTTTTGAGACATTATATTGTATGAATAAAATATGCTTCAAAAGAATATTTACATTTAAAGTTTAATGTATTAAATGTTTCAAATAGTAAATGATGCAAAAGAATGGAAGTAAATATTTACTATTTGAAACATTATTCATCAGAAACAGTTATTTCATCTCAAGAGTTTTTTCTGAATAATTGTTGTTTACAATGAACCAAAAGGAAGACCAAAGATTTTTAAAGATTACATGCAAAAGATTGCTACAAGTCCCAGTATGCACGTGCCTTTGATGTAAGTTGTATATATATAGGTATAATACATATATATATATATGAAAACATCCCAACATTTAAGTTACATTTATGCCTTAAATAATCAAAGCTGCTACCACTTACGCAAATCAACACATCTTAAATATTGCAATATATGAATATGCACAAGTGTATGTAAATGAAAATTGCTGACATTTTTAATCATTCTGTTCTGTAGCAAGATAACATTATATCATTGTAAAGACCTGAAAAGGGTTGACTGATACTGCACATGTTAAGAAACATGTACTGCATGTGAGTCTTTACAGAAACCGCTGATTCTGCAGATTGAGGCTGGTGTAGAATCAACTGAAATTCCATCATCAAAGTTAACCTACCAAAAGTCCCTTGCGAAATATTGAGAACAAATATGTGTGGAGGTGTCTGAAAAGATGTGTCGGAGTAGTGATGTGTCGGTGACTAAGAAACTCATACTTTAGTGCAAATCGTTGTGGACCGGACGACTGTGTGTGCATGTTAGCTTGGATCATCAGCTGCAAGCGTAACGGGTCGCTCTTTAGAATTGATAGAAGATAAATGCTAGCCACGGTGGTGCAATCTAAGCAGCAGAATCAGTGCAGCAATTTGACGTACATATTGTAGAATCCTGTGTAATATAGCAAATGACTACCTGGTATGAGTTCAGGTGTGGAGTCCGGGAACTGTTCAGCTCCAACAGCATCAAGGAACTGGAAGACTGGGAAGGCTCACCTCTAGTTTCGACACATAGCACAGGATACTTTGATTTTGAAGGAAACTTTACTGTGGGACATTCTCGTGCAAGAATAGTTACTCTCTTGTTTGCCTCTTCGCTTTTTAAAGACACAATGTGCTCTATACAAAAGATTGCCAATAGTGACCAGGTCTGAATAAAAAATCATCAACTCATAATAGTTCACCTAATAGTACCTTCTGAACTATAACTGTTGAATATAAAGAATCTTATTTGTACTTCTCCATAATGCGACGGGCTTCCTCTAGTGAATCGTCCGTGTTACGAGGCTTCCCGCCACCTCCTCCACCGCTTCCCGAGTCGCTGTCCTTGTTGAGGTACATGTAGGCCAAGTAACTAAATCCTGCAATCGCCTGCTCCGAATCCAACACCGTCTGTTAGTATGTGGGCGCCCATTTATGACCTTCCCTTCAAATTCTATATATATATATATATATATATATATATAAAGCGCCATAACGTAACAACCATAATGAGCCAATAAATTTGCAGTAATTGCGTGACGATATAGGAGTGGTGATGAAGAATCATCTACTTCCATGTAAGTTTTTCACCATCCAAGAATCTTTCCAAAAGACACTCGGGTTAGTATCTCACAATAATTGGAACAGACGGCTCTACGTCGAACCTAAGGGCATATGCTGGAATTCCTACATTTGGTCATCATCGGCATTGAAATGTATAAGCTGTGAAACTGAGAGGTGGGTGGTTTGTTCGTAAAGCATTGATGAAATGCGCTTCGCCCACTCTGATGTACTTACTGTGCAAAGGTCTCGAACGCAGTTAAAAATCAAGTAACTAAGGGAAGGCTTTCCTCCTACTCAGCTGAGTCAGTTTTCATACAAAAACACTGGAACCTGAGACACAATAAGCTCCCGTTTCCAATTCCTCAAACTTAGACAATCGTCATAAATCAGCCTTTCTCAGTGATCCAGATCGTACCAAAATGAAGAGGGCTGTTGAGAAGAGAGCTCGCAAAGCATATGTTACCACAGAAGCACCAACAAGTCCGACAATTATACGAGCAACTCCTCTGGGTATACTTTCCTGCAAAACATCAAGACACAATAAAATGTATATTACATTAAATTTTTGCTCCAGAATGTATCAACCTATAACGCAAGCTAATTACAAATCACTTGTTATTGCATGAAAAGAATCCCGATGCCCCTCATGGTCAAGATCATATGCACGTACAGGAACTAGATTTGTGCCAGCATCCAACGCGTTCTTCCCAGTTTTGACGAGGAAGCCTGCCGCTGCAACAGACCAAGTCACAAAAAAGATGAGATTTCTAACTAAATTGTCTGAAATATGAAAGTGATGCACTCTCGCTTCGTCACACAAGACGAACTTTGGAATGTATTAACATAACCTGGCTCACAGAATAAATACTGTGTTATTCATTCAGTCCTCTCAGATTAGATTTCAATTCAAATTGCGGGAAGCGCCGCCAAATTCTGGAATAATCAACGAAGCCCTTCTACCAACAACAAAAACAACAACAACAACAATAATATTATTATTATTATTATGAGAAGTAGAACAACAAAAACAACAACAACAATAATAATATTATTATTATGAGAAGGAGAACAACAACAGCAAGCAAAGATGTAAGGCACAAAACTCGAATCACACTAGAGACATAGGCGTGCATACACATGTGTTCTGCAAAAAATGATTTTCCGCTGGGACATAGCATTATCTGTACAGTGTGTCTAGGCTTAGCTAGCTGCTGCCATTTTTGTAAAAGGACGACGCCAGGAGCATCCACACAGTAAAGCCCAGGAAATAAAAACAGCCTTGCCCATGGCACACGGTAGAGCACCCTAACAAATCCCCACAATCTCACGTAATACAATCTGTACAACGTGAATCGGTTTCTCTGTGGTGGGTGCAATTCAACTCGAGCACGGCTGGGAGTCATATTGAAAACCACATACTCCACAAATTTGATTCAAATTCGCAGGATAGCCCGAGGAGGCTGATAGTTAAAGAAGTACCCTTAGCGACGTCAAATTTTTCTTCCGCAACAACCTTCAATTCCCGCCTTCCAGGCCTGTACGGTAACGCAACAGCATTCCTCTGCCCAAACACCCTCCTCCGAAATTCCCCACTCGCCCACTTGCTAATGCACTGCCCTACTCGGCCATTCTCAAAACTCCTCCTCGACCCAGCGCCCAAACCCACCGGCAAGACTCTAAACCTAGCACGATCCTCGTCTCTAATCCCACAATGTGCAGCGCTTGGAACTCCGGATGTGCGGGGTAGACAGCGGTACGCAGACGCCGCCATCATTCTCATGCCAAATTCCTCCCCAAACTCCCCCTCCTCCACACTCGCAGATACCAGCTTACACACAAATTTCTACACTTCTGGACAGGGTTTCTTCGAGATAAAGTGGCAGATATGAAGTTGCCATATGGCCTTCGAGGTAAAGCGTGTGTGCCACTTCGCCTATGAGGAGCGGTGCCAAGGATGCTTGTAGATATAAAAGTCTCGTGGGAATGAGCTCGCCCATCTAACCGGATACGTTGTTTGAATTGAGTGTACAGTCACCGAAGTAGTTTCTTAAGCTTTTGCACATTCATGGTTTTCTTCCATGGTTAATTCCTCAATCCTTTACAACGTGCGAGGTCGCGAATCTGGTTCAAAAGCTCTTAGGGTTGGAGATATCGGACATGCATTGCTGCAATGGAAAATTATAACTCAGATCGTGAAATCTGTTGTTTTGAACTGAAAGTGGTCGAATTGGTGTATTACTTGAATGATTGTATTACAGTCTGTAAGTGGCTCCGGCCAAATCTGTTGTGATATCATTAACACCCGCTTTGAGTGAATGCTGTGCTTCGATCGATGTCAAACATGAAGCCTAGATTGTTGGGTTGTATTTCAGCATAGAATTTTCATTTGTCGGAGTTTAGAATAAATTGTCAAACTGTGTTTAATTGAGATATGACTTACTATTATTATTATGATAATTTATTCAAACTTTGCAAAGGAGAAGAGGAAAAATGAATAAAATTTATACATCTATGAAAAAAAAAAAAAAAAAAAAAAAAAACTTGTTTAAAACACATTATCACCAATAAGTTCATTTAACATGGTCCATCATATTTATCTCCTTAATTGTTAATATGCTTTTTTTTAAACATCTTAGTTTTGAAGCAATTATGAGCAATTAGAGACAACAACTTGATGAAAGTAAATAAACAAGTATAACAAAATGGAAATAAAGAAATATGTATATTAAAAGGAAATTGGAATGGTTATTGTCAAAAGACAAAGAAACTAGAAACTCTTGAATTTAGACTAGAAGCAAGAAAAGAATTGACAAGAGTGAAGAGGGCTTCACTCTTACTTCTATTTATATTATCTAACTAGGAGCTACATGGCGATATTCTATAGGATCTTTAATATGTGTTGACTTTACAAAACAAATGCCTTAGCTTACAAGGCAAGTTTTCTATATGTGCACCACATATTCAGCTTGTTTTTCAAGTTACCAAACATGTATGGCACATGGTTAACTTGTTGACTACGTTTTTAACCTAAAAAATCAATTATAAACACCTATAGAGTCAAAGCAGTGTCTATGAAGTTTCTAGGAAGCTTTTAAAGAAGATATTATGGAATTAACCTATTTCTACCTATTTTTACCTACTTCTATCTAATCAGATAGGTAATTATTAGTTTACATGTGTATGTCCATGACAATAATGTGACCAAGTTTGCAACAAGTAAAACATATTTTTACAGTAAGGTGTTGGTTAGAATAGCTTCTTTTGTCTTTAAAAGGAAGTATAGGAAAATCCTAGCTTTTAGGTTCTTTTTCTTTATACTTGGTCACTTCATGGTTCAATCTTTTTGTGACATAGTCTATGGTAATATCTTTCATATTGATGGATTCCAAATCTTTGATGAAGTTATTACAAAAATCTAGCAAATTTATGAACAAGGCCACCACTACATTAATATCTTCTATTGGCTTATCTATAACAAGAAGTTAATTTGCAAATTCCTTTGCATTCTCAATTTGTGCCATTGGATCTTTAGTATCTTCTATCTTATATATGAAGAATTTATGATTTCTAAAAATAATGTTGGAAAGCTTCTAAGAAATATTGCAAAGAATTTTTATGCTTCAATTAGTCTTTTGATATATTCAATGTGAATAAATTTTTTCATTCAAATTTGTTGCAATAGTATCAAAGGCCTTCTTCATACGTTAATTGTATTTCTTCACTTTAAGGTCACCTTTTGGTGGTACATTCTTTGTTTTGTCAATACAAAAAGAAATTAGAGTAGTTATTGCCAAAAATTAGAAAGCTAAAAACTCTTAAAACTAGATTAGAAGCAAAAAAAAGTTGATAAGAGTAAGAATGATCTTATTTTTGCCTCTATATATACTATTTAATTAAGAGTTATAAGCAACGTTCTATTGTAATTCCAATACATATCCAACTTATAAGACATATCTTTAATTTGCAAAACAAGTTTCTTACATGTGTGCCACATGTCTCATTTATAGGATATATATTTAATTTACAAAACAAACTTCTAATATGTATACCAAATGTCCAACTTATACTACAAGTCACCAACATGTGTGACACATAGCCAACTTATTGGCTAAGTTTTCAACCTACCAATCACTTATAAACACATACAAAAGCAAAACTACATTTATGAAACTTTTTAGGAGCTCTTTCACAAAATATTATCAAATTTAACTACCTTTATTTACTTCTACTTATTCATATTATCTAAATAACTCTTGAAATAATTATGTATGTCCATGGCATTTATAGATCTTGTTCTTTAATAAAAATCATGTTAAAGAAGGAGAGAGAATATTCAAACTTGATAATAATAAATAAATAAATAAATAAACTATTTTTATTTTAAAAAATTAAATTCAAAGAATCTTAAAATGTTTCCAAAACTCAAAATACTCTTTTTTAAAACTCAATATTAAACATTTCAATCTATCCACTCCAAACTCGTGACTATGACTATATCTTGGTATCCAAGTTCCTAAAAAAGCATTGTATTACAAGAAAGAAAAAATAACCACACAAATCACTTCTCTTACTCTCAATCGCTTTCTTTGCTCACAAAACCCTCTCTCCCTGCTTTTAAGACACCCTCAAGAAACTATCTCCATTCTAAACAAACTCCTCTTAAGAATGTTTACTTGAATGCACACAACCAACAAAATGCATAAATGTTAGAATGACTTGTCAATTCAAATTAAAATCAAACATTTTCTAACAAAATATAATTACGAGTACACCCAATATTAATGTCAATACTTCCAATTTCTAACATCAACAAACAAGCTAGGCCTCATACTGTAAAAAATAAATAAATAAAAATAAAAAAATAAATACTGCTAAGTCACCTTACACTAAACAAAAATAGAGTACCAAATGATATCTCAAGAGTGCTGCTTGGTCACAAATTGCACACATACCTGCTCAATCAGTGCTTCCAAACTTTCAGTGCGACCACCTATGTTGGAAAGGGGGCTTTTCTTACGGCCAATGGAGAAAACATCCATAAGCGACACTAAAATTGCGACGCCATTGTCACCTGAAAGAGCTGACAAAGTACGTTTCATCAGGTGATGCTCAAATTCGGAGACAGTCGGGTCTATGGGTGGTCATCACTCGTCCAAAGGGTGTAAAGAAGAGCATCTGTATGCAAGAACGGGAGCTCCCTTCACAATACTAATGTGACCTTCCTCTCGCATGAATTTTCACAACGACGGAACGATGCCCAAGCTATATTATGTATAACAAAACGTCGGAGAGATGCACATGATGCCCTGGTTGGCGCAGAAGCTTTTTTTATTCCTCCACAGTCCAAGTTAGAAATGCCTGATGTAGCGTTCGTGGCCATGACTCGAATTTAAAATTCGTTTTCAAGTCGTGAGGATCTTGCGCTGTTCTTGCATTTGGAGAGTTGATCAATCGTTTTTCTTCAACACAAGACAATCAGATCTAAAATCGGAATTAGAAGTGATCGGTGACTGCCTACCCTTTGAAGATGCGCTTGCTTTAATTTCTACAACTAACGCACAGAACGTCAATACAATGGCTATTTAATAACACTCCCTGAGCACGACAAGTAAATGATAAGATCAATTTTACAAGTTTATCCTCAGACGAAAGAGGAGACGGTGCTCCTCAGCCAGTGGAATTGAAAAAAAACTCTAAGGATCGTGTTATTGGAAAGACTTCTTCGTTTTAACAAACTGAGAATTCTACACTTTCCATCGTTATGCAGAAGCATGCTACATCCGCCATGATTCAAACCTAAACTGGCAAACTCTAGGACTTCATCCCAAAAATCACTTAGGTCACAACAGCATAATGTAATTCCAGACTGAGATATGAAGACGAAAAGATCAAGAGCAGAAACATGAAATTCGCCATAACTCTGTCAGAACCTAATATCCACATTCTCTCTCAATCCATCAAAAACGGCTACCAGCGCTTCAAAGCATCCAGAGCTTAAGACAGAGCATCTACGGGCGGAGGAAATCCTTTCCTCTGTTAGCAGGATGTGCTTGCAACCTAGCTTCAATCCTCCAAAATCAGACACTCGAGATGAGGTGAAGAAGGCCAAACACTCCACACAAAAAGGTCACTAAAACGCGCTCTGGCAGAGCTGCACGGTGACTCCCTTCACAGCCACAGCAGCCTCGTTCTCGCTCATCGTCCAGCATCCGCTGCTGGCACCGCGAGCTTCGATCCTTATTGCAGAAGAGTGTGTCGAAGAACCATCCCCCTCTTTGGGAAACACGATCACTGAGCTTCGGAGGAAGCTTTTCCGAAAAAGGTAACGATGCTCGACCACGAGGGATGACGTGGCAGTTCGCGCCAGAACACGGCTGCTGATGTGGCACCGAGGGGATGGATGAACTTTTCATTCCAATTCATACTCGCAGTAAAGGATGGAATCTTCATCTCGAAAATGAATAATAGTTATCACAAGAGAGGAATAACAGTAACAACGTTATAAGTAATAAATAATTTTAATTTCAAAGATATAGAATTTTTTTTTTAAAATGAGGTTTTTTTGAATTTGCCTCGTGCAGTAAAAATTTAGTAGATTTTCTATTCACTTGTGAACTTAGATTCTTTAGACACAGATCAAATATGTGTCTAAAGAATCAAATATGTGATATTTGATCTTGATAAATATATATATATATATATATATATATATTTATATTTACAAAAATAATAATAAATTTTCTTGTGTTGATACTTCTGTAACTAAGATTATACGTGTCCTAATATGCAAATTATAGTTGAAGAATGAGTGGCACTACAAAGTCAGTATAAAATAGAAGTTTCACTAGATGGATAGTTAATATAAATAAAAATTCGATCAAAGCCATTAGGTAATTAGCATATGTGAATAATAATCCTATTAGTTTTATGTCAAATTCATGAAATTACTGCATGAGGCATTAATTGTTTCTTGATGAGGAATGCATATCATTGTAATTGAATAATTGTAATTTCTATTATTGTGGAAAAAATAATGCATATCTTTATCTAAGAAATATTTTTATTTAAAAATTAAAGATGTGGTATTTTGTAAAATATCTAGTAGTTAAATGGTTATAGATAGAAATATCAGATGTTTAATAAAAAAAATCTTGTAACTTCCAAACATTCTAATTAGTATAAAGGAATATTTAAATTTATCTATTATGAATATATTAAATTTTATCTATTATGAATATATTAAATTTTATTTATTAAAATAAATAAATATAATTATGTGATTTATATTAAGTATTTGGATATATATATATATATATATATATATTATTTATTATAATATTAAAATTTTATTGTAAAAAACCTTTGAAACTTATAGCACAACTTTGTTATATGCTTATAGATAAAATTTGGTCTAATCTATAAATAAAAGAATACAAAATTTATTATGAAGTGGATATTTAAAGATGTAAAAAATACATATTATTTTTTGAATTTGTGTTATATTTTTTACACATTAGAATTGTAATTAATACCTATATTACTTAGGTAAATAGAAGTAAGACTTTTCTCATAGCTAGTATATATGGAGGCAAGAGAAAGACCATCCTCACTCTTTTTAATACTTTTTTTGTATTCTAATCTCACTTATATTCTAGTTTCTTTATAATTAGAAATAGTCATTCTAATCTTTTTTCTATCTCATATTTATCTCTTATTTTTTACTTTCTATTCTCCATTGACATAAGAATATGTTGTCTTCTTCTAATTCTATTTGGACTATGTCATTGACAAGAGTTGAAGTATGTGGTTACTTCTAAAACTATTTGAAAGGACCAAGGCTCAAACACATATTGATATTATTTTTGCTATATAAAAACACTAGATTAAATATTTATTACCAAAATTATTATAATTTTAAAATATATAAATATATTAATATAAAAAGAAATAATAGAAGTAAAGTCAAGTCTTTCCAATAAAACATTATATATAAGAATAAGGTGAAAGGTTTTAACTATTAAATCCTTTGATTGATTGAAATTGAATACCTCACTTCATTAGCTTTATATTTATAAAAATTAGTTTAAAGCTCCTACAAATAAAAAAAAAATGAGATAGAATGCACTTTTGTTTACATGGCATGAATAGTATTGTCCCTCAAGATTTCAATTTGATCTATCTCAAGAAATTTCTACATGTAATAATTTTAAAAAGAACAAATCTATTTTTTATACTTCAAACAATTATTAGAATCAAGATATTAGTGGACATATTTGAACTTGTATTAAAAGAATGATTTGGTCTTCTTCTATCCTAATACCATGTCCAAAAGCCAAGACTTCCAAATAAGTGCTTTTCTTTACCAAACATAAGAATTTGAACTATGACCTTTACAAATAGACTTCTAAGTATAAAAACTCCTTAAACCACTCATTTTTACTTTGGATAACTAACCACCAACTTAACAAATTGAATTCCACTACAAAACTTCAATGGGGTTGACCACCAAAAACCTACAATTTCGAATTGGCAAAGCATGAAGTTTTTCAAGGTCTGCAAAGAGTTGACACTTACTGTAACTTATTTTGGCATGATCTAGGAAGGTGTTTGAAAGCATCCAGGGTAACACAAGGCATGCCAGCAACATGCAGTCCTTCCGTAGATTGCTGGACTACAAGTGAGCTGTTGGGGTCAAGCAGCCATGTGCTCAAACCTGCACTCTTTTGTGATCCAAGCAACACCACCAAGCACCCCCTTTCCATGATGATTTTGCCGTTCTTTGTACTGTTTACATATGGATGCAACCACAGGTTATGATACCAGAAGTTTGTCCCCATTCCAAAAGGTCGATTCCTCATACTATCCACGCACTTCCTGCTGTCACTTGCTTCTAGAAACCAGAGAGCATGAGAGTGATGCAACCAGAAGAAATGGGTGCAAAAATTCTCGAATGAATTACTGAAGAGCCAACGTGCCAGAAATTTAGTGCAACTCACACACTATCTTTCACGCTTCTTCGTTGCTTGCACGCCTTCACTGCCTGGGCCCAGTGTTGCTTCTCTAATGCTGCTAAGGTGATGATCTGCATGATGGAGACCAGATTATCGGGTTTCAGTTGATACTGAAGAGAGTAGGATTCGATGGGAAGTAACATCACGTTTACTGAAGCGGAATCGTGGAACAGTTTGTCTCAACTGACCACCAAGGATTGATCAGTGATAGGTCTCTTCGTGATTGCCTTGCAAATGGGATTAAGAGGTTGCGTGCACTTGGTGCTGTCCCAGCATGATTCCTGCCGCTTTAGAGTATATGCGTAATGTCGGCGATTCTGAGTTGCATCAGTCCGCTACAGCCGGTCTTTTCTTCGTGGGCAGATGAGGGAATTGTGTCTTCTTTACCATGCTTTATACATTACTTCTTGGCAACCTGCACATGCAAACAATTGCTTGGTTTGAATTTGAAATGCGGAGAATACTCTAAATGAATGAATCGAATATCTCCGCAAGTCAAACTTGAACAAATGAATGATGTGCGGACGTCACTTCTTAATGACGGGAGAGCACAAATAGGGTGAACTATCGAGATGTTTGTTGAAGAGCAAGTTCACATTATCTTCATGAAACACGCATGACCTCAACAATTGGGCTCCACCCATGTGATGCCTTCTTTTATCCGGGCTAATGCTAAGATCAGCCAACATTCTACAGCTAGTGTCAGTTCTTCATGAGAGAAACCATGATAACGAACCATGAATTGTGAAAGCTTCACCGACAAAAGTGAAAACAGGCGCCCAGACGAAGCTCAGGGACGGAGTATACTAAAACCATGGGTTGTGGAGCAACTGTCTTGTGAGTCAAGAGGATCGAATATGAACAGGATAACATTAGAGAGACTCTGGTGTATGAGAGTTTCGAACTTTCTCATGCGAGGAGTGTTAATCTGAACAGTTCAGAGGTCTGATTCAAGAATTTTGCTTCACAATGCAACCGCAGGTTTTTGACTTTGCGTTTCTGGGTGGCAGCGAAAGTACGATGCTGGCTTTGACACGTTTCGTTGCATTAACACAAGCACGACCGCCGGTTTTAGGCCCTTTTTTTAAATTTGTAACAGCTGAATCGATGAAGGTAGCCATTGAAGTTCGTCGTCTTCGGGCTGAATCTCAGAAACGATCGGATTCTCTTCTTACATGGAAAATTTGTGTTCCGGTGGACTGCTAGCCCCCCTGGTGGACATCACACGTCTTCCACAGCGTGCATCAGGGGCAAGGATTTGCAGTGGGAGAACGGAGAAGCAAGTTGTGTACGAGGTATTCGGCTTCGATGCACTGCACGCTAAGGCATGTTATGTCCCTTAAAAGCAGGTTAATGAAACTTGGATAAGACATAAAGATAGCGCAGGAGTCCCACGCCTCACGTAGATTGTACGTCTACAGCTGAGCTCTATATGTATGATTACTGACAGGGCTGCAAATGTGCGCGTTGCCAATGAATCATTTCTTGTGGATTTCTTCATAAAAGCTACTTGGACTTTATAGCTTCTAGAGAGATTGCCATGACGAGAGCAATCAGCAAACAACTAATGCAGTGGGTTGTCTGGTTAGGTGCTTTAGTACCTATAATTGCGGGGTTTTCTTCTGCAACATTGACAACCGCTGGTAAAGCGCCGCTGGTGCCAGCGCTCTTCATCTTTGGAGACTCCCTTGCCGATCCGGGCAATAACAATCACCTCATTTCCCTCGCCAAATCCAATCATCCACCATATGGGCGTCAATTCGACACGCACATGGCCACTGGACGATTTACAAACGGACGAACTGCTGTGGATTTTTTAGGTGAGTTGTCGATAGCCACGTTTTGGATTCGTGTTGGATTGTGGCTTGCCATTGCCTTGTAAGACTTTTGACCCAAAATGTATGTCTTACTGCAGCGGAAGAATTGGGGCTGCCTTTGGTGCCACCTTTTCTGGATTCATCAACTAAGGGACAAAAACTGCTTCAAGGAGTGAACTACGCCTCTGCTGGATCAGGCATTCTTAACTCCACCGGCATGTTCTTCGTAAGTTATGGCTAAAACAAAACAGACTTGGATGTAATATGAATCGCAAAACCTAAAAACTGAGGAAATTATATGCAAGACATTACCAGTTCCAGAATCAATCATTCGGAGATTGTTCGTTAACAGAGCACTTGACCTGTGTGACAGGGGGAGATAATCACGACATGGAAACAATTAGAATACTTCCGGGATTCGACGCAACCAGAAATCTATAAACTGCTCGGTAAGAAAGCTGGCGAAGATTTTTTCCGTAAATCGATCTTCTACTTAATCTCTGGAAGCAACGATTTTGTCAATGGTTACTACTTCCTTATCCCCACTACCCCACATGGTATATCCATCCAAGATCTCATGCAGCTACTCATAAGTACCGTATCCAGTCAATTAAAGGTAAGGATTGTTGTTCATAACAGTATCCGTGTACAACAAAATTTCACCAACACCACCAATGGTTTCAACAGCAGATGAATCGCTTCATGTACAGATTGTTTGTGTGAACCAGGTTTTGTACGATTTGGGTGTTCGCAAGGTAGGAGTCGCTGGACTAGCACCTCTGGGGTGTTGTCCTTCGCAAATCACCAAATACAACCTCACGGCTGGCAATTGCGTCGAGTTTCTTAATGACGTTAGCGAAAAATATAACGACGCTCTGAAGAACATGCTCTTACAACTGAGAGAGGAGCTCGAGGATTTCCATCTTGTGTACAGTAATTTGTATGATCCGCTCATGGAAGCAATCAACAACCCAGCCATGTATGGTAAGTTCTTTGATGAAAGTATTTGCTAAGAGTTCTATAAAACAGTAGTACATAATCATATATGTGATGACTCCTCTGAATTGGTTGCGCGTCAGGTTTCAACTTCACACATGCTGCCTGCTGCGGAGTAGGTAAGCTCAATGGCAAATTCATCTGCATACCCTATTCCCGTCCTTGTGATGATCCGCAGCACCATATTTTCTTTGACTACTACCACCCCACCAGCAGAATGTACGATCTTATTTTCCGCAAGGTTTATTTCAATGGACCACCTTTTAGCATTCCATACAGTGGACAATTCTTGGTCAACTTGACTATCTAAGCTTCCAGTTGTCTAATCGAGCAATCTCGTAAAACTTCGCGAGGCATTAGTCTTAATTCAGGGTGACATGAGCTTGAAAGATATAGACAAGTCCAGCAAGAACAGATAAGGTTCGGTCATTTAAGAAAGCATTCTGGCGGTGAACCGCAATACATCTGAGCAAAAGGTACTCCATCTAATAATGAGACATAAAGAGCTTATACATCTTGTATCTTGTAAGTTGCGGAAAAATAGAAGCTTTATGTACAACAAAGTTTACAGGGGGTGTAGTTGACTGGTGAGGTTATCCAACTCCGGATGAGATACAAATTGATGCACATGGATCTTTATCCTAGCATGGATGTATCTCCAGATATCACTCATATACGCATGAGCCTGCCCTCACATCACTAACTACATTCACGTCCTACACCAATAAATAGACATCAAATGCTTTTCAGTAGTAGGGACCATATAACAGTACCTTTATCCAAGAAGAAAATGAATATTCTGAAGGATAACTACTTCGCATTTGAAAGTCTCGACAAAAATTATTACAAGGACGACGGGACCAGCTTTTGCAGAGCTAACTGCCTAGCTTTGTTTGAATCATCAAAATGTGGGTCATGAGGAAATAACCGCCTTTGATCATCAGTTGGATTTGCCAACCAGTGCCAATAAATCCAGGCAGCACCCACTACTGAGGCCATCGATAGAGCTGCTAAACCTCCAAAATATTTTACGTCATTGGCCACGATTGCAACTCCCAGCATAACTAGTTCCGCTAAGCTTGCTAATGATACTTCTGTTGTTCCCACAAGATTAGCTTGTGTAGCTGGAATCGCAGTTTGAAAAATTTGGGCATCTACCATATCATAAGCCCAGTAACCTAATCGAGATATCACCTGAACAAGAAGCAACAAACCTGTTAGAAAAATGGACTGCAATTTTCTTCACAACGAGAATACTGTGTAAAACACACGTCTTGCTACTTTCCAGCAGATTCCATGCACAACAGCACTGTCAATTGACGTGGAGCAGTTTCACTTCCTTGACTACAAGAAGAAGAGTTCATTGCAACTCACGGTTAAAAAGAGAAACAAAACCAATGAGGCCTGCGGCCCGATAGGGTTGCTCAAGTATACTGTGACCGCCATTGCAAGTACCAAAGCTTGGAAAATTAACGAAGCTGCACCTGCCTGCTCAGACACAATACAGTACCCACACGTTAGTTCACAACTCGAATGAATGACCAATCACTTTTAAGCTTGTCGTTGTATATTACACAAACAATTATGTACATATTAAGTCGTGATGAATCGACATGGCAAGCGTACCTTCAACACCCCAAACTTGCTGATCATCGTAGCTGAGAGAAAGGTGGCAGCAAATCCCATTAGAGCGCACAATCCTCTAAACAGACCAACCAGTGATGCATTTACTCCTGTCATTGCAGATTCGAAAAATGAGTTTTGATGCAAAGAACTGTGTGCCAATAGTATTCCCTAGAGTTCAACAACTCCGGAACACAAATTCCGTACAAAGAATTAAAACTTTGTTCGAAGTACAAAAAAATGCGTGTATGCAACTGTATGCAACTGAAACACGCATTTCTGATCATGCATCGTTAGTCATTAAACCATATAAATGATCAAGGCGCCCAACCTATCCTAAAACACGACGACCTTAGACTGGAACAAAAAAAATTAAGTACCTTGCTGGGTGAGATATGTTGTCATCAAACCACCAGGAGCCAAGACTGCATTGAAATATAGAAGCACGTATGCTAAACTTGCAGGTAGTACAGGTTGCGCTAGATACTCTTTCCAGCCCCTCATGACAGCTTGCAAGCCTCCCTCTGCTGCAAGTAAAATTAATCTCTTCCATTAGTTCCTCTGCATCTTTCATGAAGTCACTGATGAACACGCTGAAAATAAGACCCTCATAAACAAAGCAACCATGCACATCCAGCAGATTAGACATATAGTAGTCGTACAACAGTGTCATGAATGCTTCAACAAATCCATGTGTCTACATCACATACTTGATTCCCACAATTTTAGCATGGACAATTTTGCAGACAATTCTACACAACTAGAACTCATCACAATCACATATGTAAAACAAAACGGCTTTGATCTGTTACCTGCTTCTTCATGATGTGTGTCTGCAGTGCTGCCCTTAGTCTTGTCCCCAGGGTTTGCATGTTTTGGACGCTGTAACGTCCCCTTGGAAAGTCTATCGGTACTATCTACCAGGTTCAGCTGCAAATAGCCATTAAAAAAATCAATTTAACTCGATGCACTTTCCACTCATCAAAAAATTATTAAACTACGCTTTTCCAACCAGACCAACTCCATTGCAGATGTTCTCCACATCCTACTTCACCGATGGTATTTGAAGCCACACAAAAGGAAGGTACCAGACTTACAAGAACAGGAAGAGAGACGATCATTACTACCACCGCCCACTTCACGCACAATTTTGGGTCAAATTGGGATAAAAGTATCCCAAAAATGAAGGGACCTGATATCTGCGAAACGAAACAGTCTCTCATTAAAACTTCAGCAAGCTTCCGAGGTCTATAAAAGACGAATGAACCTGGTCACACTAAAAGAGAAAAAAGGTGACTGAAGTAAGCGACCAAAATTACTACAACATAATCAATGTAATATCGATCTCAAGTGATACCTCGCACACCAGCTCAACCCTGCGAAGAATGGCATTTGCATTTGCTAGGGCAATCGGCCGATTAGCTCCTGCCAGCTGATCAAACAATCACAAATGATAATAAGTTCCAAAAAGCCTATGTAGTAAAAACTTGACGTTTAGGCCAAAGCCGTCTGAAACACAGACAATATTGCCGTTCTGCCAAATCTATTCCAACTAACGGCACTTACTCCAATAACTTCATGTGCTTAAAAACCTTAAAATAGAAACGCATGGCTATTAGAGATGGATGCTGTATATTCCAGAGTATTAATCAGCTTCAGCCAACATGATTGTAAAACCGTAGGAAGCGTCATACACTCAATATATGCATCGTCTCCAAAAGATCCCCGATCCATTCTAGAAAGGATTACTAATAACATCAGCACAGAAGCTTACCAAAACCACCCAGTCTCTTTCAAAGGCTACGCCAGTAGCTAGCCCAGCCAACCGCTCCACAGCGGAGGCAGCAACAAGTACCAAAAACCAGGGTTGAAGAAATAATACAGTGGCCGTAGAAGCCATAGGCGCTGCTCCACTAAGGGCATAGATGGTGACACTTGCTGAAGTTAACATGGAGAGTGTCTGGAAGATAGTAAAGGGGATTTTATATTAACTGCAGAACAATAATAAACTACTTTGCAACTGTCCTGATAAACTTGAATATGACGAAGCCTCAACTCATTCTCAGAAAAGGCAAACTCACGTAAACAAAGATACAACCCATTAAACTGCATCGCAAAATCCACACTGTAATTACCTGTACAACACATAGGCACTTAAACGCATCCACCCGAGGCATGGAATCCATCAAAGCTCCCACCCAAGGACCTGCTGCAAATATTACAAGCTGCCAACAGTTCGTATGCCACATAAGTTCACTTTCTTATCACACCGCAAATAACTGCAGTGAATCAAAAGACGCCATGAAGACTTAGGACCCGGCCCATCACTGTTATCCTCAATGTCTCGAGAGCTTTACTTCAAAAAACTAAATGAATGACCCGGTTGCTGCAATGACCAAGATCAAAATTGAATCTCCGCCAGTCAAAGCCGACCATCTAGGTCAACAACTGCAGATCTTGTGAATCGCTGCAACCGAGAGGTATGAAAGCCTACCTGACTCACAAAGCTGACCACAGCAACAGGAAGTAGGGTATGGTGCATCACGGCTATGACAGCAGGCCAGGCAAAGCGCCAGGTGTGCTCCACAAAGCAGGAGGCAAAATAGCTGCCAAAGAGGGCTGAACTACGCATGCAAACCATACACACAACACTCCGTAAGAGGGGAAAGGCTGGAAGACAAAAGTACCTGGCCAACAAAGCTAATCACAGCAACAGGAAGTAGAGATTCGTGCAGCTGGGCTACCACCAGGGGTAATGCAAAGCGCCAGACTCGCTCCATAAAGCATGTAGCGACAAATGTAGGATACATTGCTGGCATGGCAGCATTCCAACCCCGTCCCTCGTATAAGCCAGTGATCCATATTTCACCTTGGCTTCCCTTACTTGATATTAAGTTGACATACAGCTTAAATAAACTATTTACACTAAAGCCTCTCTAAACTCATTCCTTATCTCACTCAAAAAATCAAAATTAAAATTGAAAATTAAAAAAGATTCGCCATACCAACACACCCAATGGTGGATTCTTTCAATTGCCAAATGGAAAAATTACGCTAATTTTTAAGCTCGCACACGGCATGCACTACGGAACCAAACATGACCTTTAAACAGTATATACTATCCATGATGGAAGCATAACTTGAACACAGAATGAAAGTCATTACGACAAATTTTTCGTACAATGAAAACACGCTGTTCACGTGAGTGCAAAATAAAATTTACGACAGAAATACTATTAGGAACAAAGTGCAATGGCAGACAATTAAGGTTGCCTTCACATCATAATTTAACAGCAGAATAGTTTAATGAAGCATCCGATTGTAAGGACAGAACAGATCCTTACCGTAGAGACCCTCGGGGTGTGCTGGGGTTGCGGCCAATTTCTCTTGCTCCTCCAAAGACTGGACCTGACGGAAAAAGAAGCAAAACAAGTCATTTCACTTCCATTCCATAAACATATCTGAACTCCATTTACACATTCAACAATATACAGACGGTGTAAACTGAAATACCTAATCGCGATCACTCCTAATCTGGATAACCCTGTGTTAACAAAACTTCACCACATTCCAGTCACTATCAGCTTCCCCTTGCATGGCAAATATGCCTACCTGCATCGTGGGTAACAAAACTTCCACAACTGTTCCATCTTCAATCGGCAAGGGTCCCTGTTTTGTTTCATAGTCGTTTGTGCCTATTGGTTTCAACACAGTTTCGTCACTAACAGTCTGAATCACTTCCGCACCATGATCTTGGAAGAAGCACCTGTGCGATGGAGAAGCAACGCTTCGCCTGTTGCATCAAATCCACCATTCAATCTAAGAACGTAATTCAATCACATCTACGAGCTGTTTTGACAAAATTTACTGTGCGCAAAATTCAGCCTCATCTTGTGGAAAATGAGAATTGCTGGATAGGCAGCATGTCAATACTTTGATATTCCTAACCCAGTATTCCGGGAGGTGGAGTAAGTTGCTAATTTTGCGCCCTCCAGCAACGTACGGCCGCTTCGCGAAAGAAGAGCAAAGTAAGGACAAACTTTCGATGATACACAGAAAAGCGAAGTGAGATAGACTGAAAAACCAAGCGCCGCCGCAAAGCAGCTCATCCTCAGCTACAAAAAGAAATCAAACAAATAAAAGCTGCCTAGAAACGAAGAGGAAACCAAAACTACAGCTTAATCTATACATTCCTTCACAGTACGACGCGATGGAGCTTTCAAGAGGCTACTCTCTTCTAATTACCTTAACACAAATCCAATTTCAGCTCCATGGACGGCTATCCCCTTTGAATAGTATTCAGTCGAAGTTATCAAAAGTACGAAAAAGTATAATGCTATCACCAGCGCGACGATCTAAACAACACACCAAGCACAATCTTCTGAACTTTTGAAGAGAAACAAACAACAAGCTCTGTAATTCGTTTAATTTCTAGCAGAGATGATAACAACGTAACCCTCATCCGGCATCCAGCTGCTGAGGGAAAATTTCGTGCAAGAAAAACCACATAGTGACTTTGTAATCTCCAGCTATCACAGGGATCTCTAGCGCAGACCCCAGCAAATATGGGGAAATTGAACCGAAGGTCCAAGAAATAAGGCACGTGTGAATCAACAACACGCCCTCGGAAACAGCAGGACCGTTAAATCATATCCCACCTGAAAGAAGACTTTGGATCCGCATGCAGCCATCCCGGCTCAAGACTTTCGACACTGTTACATTTTAGACCTTGGCTTCCGATTACGACACCCACATGGGCACCGCTACGCAATCTTGCAGCAACATTTAACCTCAGTTTCGGTTGCCTCGGTGAAGTATGCAATGTGGGGCGCAGCAAAGTATTGACGCCCATCTCGGCAACTTCTCGATAACGTTTCGTTCAAATGCGCAACCCTCCGAGAGGTAAACCCTACACAAACTTTTCTGACCATCCAGTAGGCGTGGTACGACTCCGCTTGGTGTCTAGAAATAACTCGCTTGGTAATTGTCCCACCTGGAACTATCTTACGTCTCTTCAGCAAAGTGCGCTCAATCACATCCTCAGAGTTGCTTGCAAAAAAAACCACCAAATTCAAGACTGCCTGTTCAAATCACCTGACAATCCTTTCAGTTTCCCTACGCCAGATAAGCTCGCCGCAAAAACTGTATTGCACCAGGCCTTCTGCAACCCCAAAGGAATTCCTCCAGTAGACAAGCCTTCGCCAAACACAGCGAAGAAACAACCCCAGTGCACAAAGACCCACCAAAACCACGACACCACGAAAGACCCAAGTCTCGGCTCCTCGATTCCCAAGCTGCACTGCGTCACCGCCACCTTCCCACGCACAGGCACCCAAAACACCGCACCACCTCGTCTCATTCAATCTCAATCCCGCCACACCTCATTCAACACCCCAAAGCAATCGCTCCAGAATTCTCCACCACATCAAGCCTCCCATTCACCTCTACTCTCCAGCTCTTCTTCCTTGGTACTATCAACTGTCGCAACCAATTCCCACCCGCACCAATCACTCACTCAGAAACTGTTCAACAACACGGCAATCTGAGGACACACCATCCAAACACACACACAAACACACGCGTGCGGCGGGACGAGCAATCTAGTGGTCAATCACCTCAAGCCAATCCATGCACTCACTCCAGTTTGTTATGTCAATGAAGGTCCGAGGTGAGGGGATGAAGGAAGGGAGCGATGCACACACAATGGGGGATGGGGACGGAGGCGGAGATGACGCGATTGCGTGGAGTGATGGAGGTGGTGCGATGTGCAGGGGTGGGGATGAATGGCGGGTGTATCTCCATGCAGCCACGCTCCGACCACTCCTTTTGCTGCTGTTGCCTCCCCCGCCGTCTTGTGCCTCCGCCCTCGTCGCGCCGCTCTTCCCGTCCCTCCACCCGGCCTGCTCACCCGTATCCTCGCTGCCCGCCCGCCCGCCTTCTGGGAACGCGATTGCGTTCTCGTTCGTCCCCACGCTCGCCTTCATTATCGGGCTCGCGCCCCCCTCAGTCGAACCACATGTTCTCAAATGGCTGTGTTTTTAGTGAGTGTTTTCTAGCAATAATTTTTTTCAATAAATTATTGCATGATCCTTAATCAAGTCTAATAAAAAAGTCTTATTATTTTATTGAAGGAGATGATTTTATTTTTCCAGATTTTACTTTATTTTAATTCTATAATATAATATAACTATTTTTTATATTTTAATATTATGATTTTTTTCAATAACAACTTTAAGTTATTCTCTCCTTATATACAAAATTTTTAATATGTACTTGCTATTGAGAGCATCCAAATAAATCAAATTTTGTAACATTTAATGTATCTATAAATTTTGCACAATTTCAATGTTGTAATTCCATTAGTAAAAATCACATCAATACAATCTTTAAATACATGCAATCTATTCACTACATCATAAAAATACCCATGTCCACTCAAATACACATGTCCACTCAATTTTTGTTTCATTTTATTTGAGCCAATCACTTTATTCAATGTGATTTTCATACTAACGATATATGTTTTAAATACTATTTTAAAACCCAATTTTGTAAGTGACTACCATCTTAGGAATTATCAATTACAAGTTCAAGTCAATGGCTCAAGGTTTTGTTTCTCCCCTTCCATATTCTTTGTACTTAAAAGGCCATCATTGAGAGAAAAGAGAAAGTAGCAAGTGAGTCTGCTTGACACAACCAAAATATTTATTTCAAAACTTAATACATTCAATTCAAGATGGTCACACTATTTACTGAAAAAAAATTCAATACACTCAAGATATTGTTTTGAGATAATGTGTTTTTGCTTGAATTCATCGTCCTAGAACTAATATAAAAAGTAGAAACACCAAATTATATACAACTATATATATATATATATATATATATAAACTACTCAAATTATTGATTCGGATGAACATCTACTCCCCTCTCATGAAATTGTTTCTCATGACCCCAACAATGAATCTCAAAACATCTGTTTCGTATCAATAAACTTTTCATCTGCAAAAGAAATAATATTAATAACAATACAGCCATTCATTGCAAAGTGAACGGTAGTTTTCGAAACACGAATGGAGAAAGACGCCAACTTTAGTCACCGGAAAACTCGGCACGCAATTTCGGCACTACCCCAGTTCCATAGAAGTTTTTTTTTTTTTTTTTTCTTATTGATGGAGGAAAGAGCGATTTGAGTGGCAGATAGCATCCACACCAAATGCAAAGTAAAGAAATCTCTTGGAACTTGCATGATTTTTAAGAGCAGGAGGCCGTACTCGTTGTTCAATGGGTTCCTGTGGCCACTAAACCGCCGCATATGGAGCAGCCACAACCCCAACTTTTGCCACAACGACGCCTTTCTGATCTGAACAACCACGTCGGAGTTGGATTCGGATACTATCCTGGTTTCAGTTTGTTTGTTGGGGCCTACCATAGACAGTTGAAACCAACATGCGATGATCCCGGTCCCTGGAGTCGGCTTCGAAAAAGCAATTTCGAACAAGTTGGATCGTGCCGATTGGAACCACTGATGTACCCTGTTCTACAAGCAGAAACGTGGAGCAGATTTTTCCGAACGGGATGATCTAGTGGCGCTGAACACTGCTTTGCTTCGGAACTGTTGGAAGTGTACTTGTGTAAACAAATGGGCAGAGGCTACTCGGACGTCGAGAGTGAAAGTCCCCTTGATGCTGCCAAGTGGTACCCCTCGGTGTCTACGCAAAAGTTATAAATTGTATTTCATCTTCTCTTGTTCTCGATTTGTCTCCCTTTCGATCGGGTTGAAACGCGTACAACTGCTCGTCACTGGAGACGGAATGCAACATCACACAATGATTGAGAAAAATATGAGCAGGAATGCAAGTTCAACCTGTGCAGCATTTCCATAAAAAATGAAACTCAGTATACAATCCCTCGGTGATAATCTAATCTTATTTGGAAAACACATGCCCCCTCTCCCCACAAGCATTCAGAATGGTGTTTATCTTTAAGATGATGATTTGTGTGAAGGTGTAGATAAATATCTTCCATATCTTCATCTCTTTGAATCAGTAACAGTAATGAGGTGATCTTCAATGGTACCACACCCAGTGATTTTATCCTAGCTCTTTGTGGTAAGAGAAAGCAAAATTAAAGTTCTTTCTGTGATAACTTTAACGCTCAGGCATCCAGCCTGATAAATTCAATAAAAAAATCTGTAGAGATGCTTCATTCAATCGAGCAAGGTCACAAGTTCAGAATTTATTGGAATCCAAGGTTTAAGATGCGATTAATCACATGCAAATATCTTCTAAATGAGCGAATTTTACTGAAGAAATATATCAACTTTTCTCTCCCACACGCCATAGAATAATGCGAGAATAGCATGTTGCAATCGAGAAAATATTATAAATAACACACCCTCATGAATACAAATACTTGAATCCCCTATACTTCGCACTAATGTAGCAATATGACAGCACAGGAACATAATCTACGTTCTCATGAACCCAAGAAAAGAAGGATAATCAAAGATGAACCCTGCGTTAAATTTCTATGGCGATAAGCAGTCTTTCAATCTGACACAAGTTTCACATTCAATCATCAGGAGTTGTACTGCGTTCAACTAAGCTCCCATGTGGGACGTAAGCCATAAACCCTAAACCCTCAATAATCAGTGTGTAGCTACTCCGGAGGTGGTTGAACCCAAGCGAACTCCTCCGCATAGCCCTTACCCACTCCTTCGCCGCACGAACGCTCACATGTATACACAGCTATGGTCCCCCAATCTAAAGAGTTTGCCTCGTCCTTGAAATCTAAGAAATTAAGCAGCTGTGGCAACACCTGAAACTCGAAAATCCGGCGACTGCCACAGTGGGAGCACGAAGGGATGCCAGAGTTCTCCGGTTGCCCATTCAACGAAAGCCATAAGGGCTTCGCCGCTGGAGAGCGACAATATCTCAGCACTTGATCCGGTGCCTTTCCGATCTTAGCCAGAAAAGCTGCCCACAGTTGCATGTCTTGAGAGGCTTCATGAACATCTTCCAGATCAGCAGCGGTAAATTCTTCTCCAGCTTCTCTTCGTCTTTCATAATCTTCCAGAAGCAACTGCGCCTTGCTTTTTGTCTTATCCGATGCTGGTACATTTGCATTCGGGTCACTTAACTCGTCGACCTCATAATTGTCTTCCTCATCTACCACAAGCTCCATCTCTGGCCAGAGCTTGTCACTTACAGGTCCAGGAGAACAAACGGGAATATTCACGTCCATTTTACCTTCTTTCCTGGCAGCTTGCACCTGGCGACAATACACAGCATGGCTGCCTCGCCAGTGTTCGACCTGGTGACTTCGAGAACAGTACTTAGTCTGTTTGCAGGCAGCGCATGCTTTGTGCCCCTTCCATATCCCACACCACGTACACAAAGCAGCTCCCTCGGAAATAGGTAGGTCGTCCTCACCAGAGGGAGGGGTGTAAGAGTAGTACGAATTTTTTCGAAGCAATTGGCTGCGGAAGACTTTCACGCAACGTCGAGGATTTTCTTCAGGTTTTTTGGACTGATGATGTCGGTCCTGCTCCAGACAGGACGCATTTGGGCAGACGAAAACAAATAAGGACCTGTGGAATGCATCGTCAATATCATCTATGGGTGCATAGACCTGCAGAAGAAATTCAAGCGGACTATCGCAGATTCCGCAAGTAGATTGTTCTCCGGTTGGAATATTAATCGGGTCCAACCACGCCGGACATCCGCCAACTTTACTCGGGAAGTGCTGCCTCTCCACCTTCCATTTTTCCGAGTCTTCAACTGGCTGCACGAACCCTAACCCTACCAGCAGATTCTCCGCCTCCTCGTCATCATCCCCAGCTTCAGCTTCGGTGTGGCCACGTGAGCCATCAATATGCAGGTCTGCAATCCCGTTACTGAATTCCGCCTCGTCATCGACGTCCTTCAAATTCCCCATGTCGAGGCTGAGTAAACCAAAATCTACCTGCTTCTCTTTCAGAGACTAAACCCTAGGTGAGAACCCTCTCTAACACTATCTACATCAATCCAGATGACTACAACGAAAACTAGGGCAACGTTTCACGCACAGATGCAACACCAACTCAAAACCTCAGAGATAATCACGAACCAAACAGTGCCCGAATCTTTCACAACCAAAAAGCCCGTCGAAGTAGGACAGCGAGTACCACAAACTTCAAACCCACCATGACGCTACGAATTGTCCGCCCAAGAGACCGCACAAATACCCAACTCCACAACGCGCACCCTAAAGCCGTCGCCGAACGTGAAACACTACATTCTAATCCCAGGAAACGAATGTGTTTGTCGTGAAACAAATCACAATGCACGCGCTGAGAGAATCCACTAGCGGCGCACAGGAAACAATCTTTCTTTCAACGCTCATCCTCACGTCAGGCACTCGACCCTCACTAGACCCACGCTGCGCCACGAAAAGTGGTCACAATCCGATGAATCAGCAGAACACAGAAACAATTTCTTAAAGCTAAATCCAGCCAATTCGTCCGCCATCGCTTGCGATACAGAGGGTATGTCGTTTTTCAAATCCGAGCATCTGGATCCATTCCCAAGAATCTCCTCGTCAGAGTTTGGTTTGAATTTCGTCACGTGCAATATCCCTCAACTGTGAATAGAGGGCTGAGACAACTTTTTTATGTCGGTCACTAGCTTCCCACCCGACTGTTTATAGGTAGTGTAGAAACTTCTTTTCAGGAATTGAAAAATACATCTTTATGTATACATCTCTCTCTTTCTCTATGTATATATAGATAAAACCCATGCAGTTGGTCACAAAAAAAGATTGTAGACTATGTGTTGTAAATTAATTTTTTGTTTGAAACTCCATGTTGTGTGCCATTCTACTATGTTCTATACCATCCCATGTGTTTGGTGCTTCCGAGCTCCATGCCAAACGAGCTTGCACTGACACTCTTGACAATTTACAGCATGCAGATTTTGATCTCTAATTGATCAAAAGTTAAATTATTGCTTCATTTTTGATAAATGTAATGAAATATGCAATCAATCAAAAATGGTTTTTACTTTCTCTCGTTTATCCAGTTGGTTTATCCCTCCTAAGCTAATTTATATAAGAGATATATGTGTCTGTTAAATATAGTTATACATTAAAAATAGGATGAGTTTTATGTGATTGTCATGTTGTGTGTTTTATAGTGATTGGTTTTTTTATTTTATTATTAATTCATAATATGTTTTTGAAGTGTAGAGTATACTAAAATGATGGATTATCAAAATCTGGAGCATACACAATGAGTGTCTTTTAATCTCACTATTTAAAATGAATTTGTTTAGTTCCATGTAAAAGAGATTCATAAATTATGTTAAAGTATTGGAGGTTTATTGTTGGTGATTTTTGTGTGTTTTTTGTCTCATAAATTTTATGATCCTATAAATAATATAGCTATCATAAATTATTCAACATTAGCTTTGTCATTTCCAATTAAGCACTTTGTTGCATCCTAATTATGAAATCTTATTAAAATGCAAATCTTGAATATATTATTTTTTTTTATTCTTTTTTATTTTTTTGTAGCTGCTTTTACATATGTGTGTCTATGTTTACAAATGTGTACAAACATCCACAAACATACATACATACATAAGAATAAATTGTATAGTTATGTATCATAACTCATTGAAAATAAAATTTTAATATTCAACAATTTAAGTATTTAATATATCATGCACATAAAATAATAATATTTTATTCTAAGAATTTAAAATTAAAATATTAGAGACAAATAATAAAAATACAGAGTTGTTTTAAACTCTTGATAATTAAGATGTTCTTTAAAGATAAAAACAAAAACAATCAATGGAATCAAAACCAAATACTATATTGTACAAATAATGCATTAGCATGTGTGATTTGAATTGCCAATTTTAAAGTTGATTCTATTTATAGATGTGCTTCATTTTTTAAAAAATATTTTATATTTATTCATATTGGATAAAACATTACATATACATTAACATGCTTTTTGTTCTTTTGTTTTGTCTTGTTTTGTTTTGTTTTTTTTTTGTTTCTTGTTTTTTGTTTTAGTATAACACCAACTCACACTAAAATCTTTTTGTAGAGTATTCATAACTCATGGTCTTATTTCAAATTAAATTTTCAACAATAATAATATTTCATCTTTGATATAGTATTTTCAAGTTTTCAACATAGTAAGTTTTATGAAGGTAAAAGTTATAGTCTTAATTATGCATTATACATTTATAGTTTAAATCCATCTAAACAGAGGAAAAATACAAAAATAAAATATTTTGTTATCTTTGTTCCACTATTAACATGTATGACTTTTGGTTTATGTTGAAAGTGGATTACACAATAATTTCATAAAATAACTCTTAATTCTTTAAGAGTTAATCCAAATCCAATGAAAACCAACCACATTCATCATGAATATCATATTCTTCATCAATTTAAAAACTTAGGTCTATTTGACATTCCCCTAAAATAAACATAATTATCAATAAAACAAATCTTTCTTTAAATTCATTAAAAAAATCTATTTCCAACCCATCCAAATGAATCACCGAATACAATGAAACAAACAAAATATAGCAACCCATGAACACGCATAGAAATACAGATGGAACTCAACGAGAGCAAAAGCATCTGGGGGTTCAAAAGTCAACGCCGAACCCAGTTAGGAAAGAACATGGAAGTTGCGGACATGGAAAACTGAAGGGAAAGAAAAGGGCGGAGACAACGAGGAGCAAAATCGACAGCGGCGGAGTCATTGAGACGACGAGGTGGGGCGAGCGGGAGGGAACTAAGAAGATAATGGCGCACTAACTCACTCATGAAGACGTGGAAGGAAGGAAGGAAGGAAGAGAAGCATGCATGCAGTAAGGCAAGCATGCGGTATTAATAACAACAGTAATTATAATACTAAGAAGGAGGAGGAGAAGAAGAAGAAGATGTCGACCACGACGCAGAGGAGACTGAGAAGAAGGGAGGGGAGGGGAGAGGGGATGCTCGTGTTCCAAAGCAGAGAGCGGCTCAACTGCATCATCGGAGCTCAGCAGGCAGGGATGGAGTGGCGATGGAGAGACACAGGAGGAGAAGCTTCCTCCCACGAGGAAAAGACACGAGGAGAGGTGAAGAAGCCATGGCTTTGACGGGAGAGACCTAGTGAGTGAGTGAGATACAGAAGAATCCTAAGCAAGCCAGCAAGCAAGCAAACGGCTATCATCAGTCCATTCTCTCTCTCACCCTGTGCTGGCTATGGCGGACACCACATTTCGGCGTCTTCACACCCACCTGCGAGGAGCCAACGGGGCGGGACAGGGCGGGAGGCAGCTGAGGAGCGGGGCGGACCGCAGTGGAGGAGCCAGGTTATATGGTGGGGTGATGGTGGGCGTTGCCGTGATCAGGGTTTGAGTTTCGTGTTAAGTCGTAGAGACGGCTGGCGTTTTGTGTTGCCTCATGGCCGCGCGGCGTCAGCCGGCTGCTGTTGCTACTGCTACTGCTGCTACTGCTGCGGCTTCTCCCGCTGGTGGGTTTCCATCTCGATTGCTCCCACGATTGATACTGCGGTCGGGGCTCTGATTTTTTGATTTTTTTGATTTGTTTATTGTATATATTTTTTCCTCTTTGTGTGTTTGTGTTCAGTTGTGTGAGCGATGAATTGTAATCGCCAAACCTAGTGCGGGAGGGTTGGAAGAAAATGTGGGAGAGTATGGTCTAGTGGTTTCGAGAATCATCGCACTTGATCCGGGAGGTCTTCCTTGTAGAGCAAAATTTGGAGCTTTGTTGTTTAGGCATTTTTAGCGGACGTAGCGGTATGAAACACTTAAACACATTGCTTGTGTTTTGGGTGCCACTAGAGATTGGAAATATGATTTGCTGAGGAACGACGGCGTGAATCAATACCCGGTAGTTACATTTCCTCAGATGGGGAGAGCTAATGTCTTGGATTTTCCCTCCACCTTCTGTTTGATTATGATCAGAAGATTCATCCCCATCTCATCTGCAATTTGTCGAGCCCAGACAAGGGGAGCAGAAGCCAATGCAAGGATATTTTAAATTTGATGAGCCGTTGGTTGTGAGATTTCAGAGGGGTGACAGTTATGGTGGTGATTGGACGAGTCTTTCTTGCTCAGGCAGTTTTTAAGTAATTTGTGTTTTTTCATGTTTAATGACATTAACGGGTGTAATAGTTACAAAGGAGCAGCAATTTTGGAGGTAAACTGTGGTCATTATGAATACACATGTAGTTCTATAGTAGGTCGGTATCCTGCAGCTAGATCAAGAAGTTGACGGTGAGTCCGGAAAAATGTTACAGCTTGTCATCGTTAATATAAAGTTCATCAAGTGGTTATATGTTTAACACTTCCTTATGAGATGGTTGAGGAATTTTTCTTGAGTGTTTACAAATGTGGATGAATTGTGTTGAATCTGGTACTGCACTTGTAGGATTGAAGATCAAGGTTAAGGCAGCAGTGGGGGCAGCAAATTTGAACAAATATCATCTGCAAGAAAGTGGAGAGGTTGTCGCAGCTGAGCCAGGGAACGGACTCGTATCAAACGCAATAATGCTGAAGCGAAAACACTTAACGCCTCCGGGGTCCCCCTCTGCCAGTAAGAGACCTCCAAGGGGGGATTCCCCGAATCTTGGGGCTACCAATGGGGAGCTAGTGGAGACAGAAGCTAAGAAAATTGCAACAAATTTAACAGATCTGAATGTTGTCAAGCAGGATATTTTAAAATCGGATGGAGTAGTTGGAAGTGTATCAGGAACAGAACCGGTGGAATTAAGGGTGGATATATTGGGCGAGAAAGGGAATAAGGTGCTCACAAGTCCGCAGGACGAGGTTTTAGTGGGCTCCTCGGCAACAGCAGATCGTCTACATGAGACGTCAAGTGTTGGGCCGAAAGCAAACATGGATACTGTGGACGTCGGTGATCAGTCCCCATCGCTGGTCCTTGAATTGCATGTGTCATCGTCTTCGGCTCCATCGAATCCCACGGATCCAGCAGAAGAAAAACCCAAGCATCACACGATTCCCAGTCATGCTGGTAGGAAGTGGTTATATGCCTAATTCTTTTTCTTACGCCATGTTGCAGTCCCTTTTGAACCAGTGCTTACTTTAGGGGGACATTATATGACATCACAGAACGGATTGTTCTGCAGTTGCTTTTATCGAGTCCTTGTGATTGCTGTGACACTGAAAATGTCGGGATAAGAGGTTGGTAGCTTTCGTCACAGATTCCTCTAATCCTCTAGAATATACTTGTTTTGCTCATAATCATGAAGCTGTATCCTTTGTGAATTTGAGTTTGCGAATGATGGACAATTATTTGAGAGGAAATACATTTCGATGTTGTTTTGGCAGGCTGGTTTTCATGGACTGACATACATACGCTTGAGAAGAGGGGCTTGCCGGAGTTTTTTAATGGTAAAGTGCCAGGTAAAACTCCAGAGATGTACATGGAATTCAGGAACGCAGTGATGAAGAAATATCGGGAGCATTTGGGAAAGGTCTTTACCGTTGCTGATGTGTTGGAGCTTCTCAATGGCGTGGATGAGAAGTCCATTCATCGAATCATGGAATTCTTGGATCATTGGGGATTGATTAACTATCATGCCCCTGCTGAATTCCTACCTCCTTGGACGCATCACACTACTGTTTTGGAATCAGATGCAGCTCTTATGCTGCGGGCTTTACCTCGAAAAGGTTCAAGTTTGTATCAATTTGATACTTCTGCACCTGTCCTGCAGCAGAATATGGTGAAATTAAAACCAGCTAAAACTAAAGAGGCAGTCATTGCAGATATGCTTGCATTAGAGGGAGGAACCGAAGTGGAGTATCATTGCAATTTTTGTTCTGCAGATTGCAGTAAACAACGTTATCACTGTCAGAAGCAGGTGATTCCTTCCATTGTTTTGCATGCTCTGCTGAGTTTCTGCTCAATACCTTCTTCCACAGAAAATTTAGAACGGTTGTGCTTTGTTTGTTTGGAACATCTCTATCGTATTCTTTATTTTGGATCGTACGGTAATCCTCACATCATTCATCCGACTGAGAGTGTTATATGTGGTGTTTCTGGGTTTTGGCAGGCTGATTTTGATCTATGCTCAGATTGCTACAGTGAAGGGCAATTTGGGCCGGGTATGTTGGCGACAGATTTTATAAAAATGGATGTCACAGAAGCATTCAACGCAAACGGGGGAGGTTGGTCGGATCAGGAAACCCTCCTGCTGCTGGAGGCTTTAGAACTATATGGAGATAACTGGAACGAAATAGCGGAGCATGTTGCAACCAAGTCAAAAGCACAGTGCATTTTGCATTTTATTCGGCTCCCTGTTGAAGACTCCTTCTCAGAAGATGCAGATGGTTCCGGATTGACCAATAATGTTCCTGCTTCGGCTTCCATTCCGAATAATAATAGCACAGCGCAGAGTGAACCAAAAGAAGAGGAAGCATTAGAAGAAGCACCTAAAGATTGTACTGCCAACGAACCGAGCACAGACGTTGCAGTTGAACTTCTGCATGAAGAGTTGGTGATGCCAACAAACCTTGCCGCATTTGCTGAAGCCGGCAACCCCGTCATGGCTCAGGTAGGTTGATTACAGCTTTACACCTGCGATGTGTGTCCGAATGGATGCATTTGTAGTATGTGAAGTCATTCTCTAATCATGTACGTTGATTAAGAGTTTGACCTTCAAAGATGAGTTATTTCATGTTTTATTATATTTAAATTTCTGGAGCCTAGTTCCTCCAGCCTTTATTTCGTCTTTTCCTTGGCAGTGTTATGATGTTTGTAGTGATTGCGTTAAAGTGCTAGCCAGCAGCATGGCTGAGTCTTCCCATTGCTTTCGCAAATGTAACAGAATCTCAGTGTGTGGGATCCACTTTTGGGGCCGATGAAGTCACTGAGGATGTGCCTGAGACCCGTCAGTGGCACTTGTGTTGTGGTTGATCATTTCTGGCTGGATTGGTAAGAGAAAGTTTCTAAAGCCCTACTACATACTCTACTCTGGAGGATCAATTCTGAGTTGGCTCTTGTTCCTGCATAGGAAAGATCACTAAATCAACTATCACAATTTCCATGACTCGATTGCCTGTGGTTTGTAGATGGCGTTCCTTGGTACTATGGTTGGATCAAAAATGGGTAGAGAGGCTGCAATAGCTTCATTAGGAGCGCTTCAAATGAAGGATCCTGGGATTCGTCTTGCAGCAGAGACTGCTATGATCCTAGAAGACCCAGTTACGAACGTTCAGCCAAGTATATCAGAAAACCCTGACCGGTATGTTCTTTGCTTCTCGTGGTCCTATTCCGCAGTTATTGTTGTAAATTGTGTTGGCTATTTTAACATGAACGCTCGCTGGTGCCAATGCGAAGAATTGGTTTAAATTAGTTTTGGTTGACTTACCAATGAGGTTTGTGGCAAGTTCCTGAAATTTTTAAGGTGTTGCTGAAGTTATTTCTCTCTAATGCTCTAAAAAAGTGCAATATCTTCAGAAGTTAAGTTCCCCGCACATGTATGTATATGTACCCAATATCGATTACCATTGACCTTGTGATTATGAGTCATATTTTAAAGTAACTCTACACTGAAGTTGTGGTCAGCGATGTAGATGGCACCTATCTCAATTTTAATGTTGCATGCAAGTTTTTTACAGTTCTTAATATGTGCCGAATCGCTTCGATAAATGTGATATGTCTCTCGAAATCAGATACCATAAACATATCTTAATTGGCATGTTCGCATCATGCAGTTCAGTTCAGGTAGATGAGGATATGCAAAGTGGAGTTGAGACCGCGCCAGCAGGTGATGCAGACCCAAGCTCACCTGATGGGGTTAAAATTCCTGTGTCCGACAGTGCTGCTACTGCCCAAAACGATGATGGTGCCCCCACTCAATCAGAACTCAACTTAGGTACTAAAGTTGACCATGTATTCATTTTACATGCTGGTTTGTTGAGTTTGTCCTTGAAGTGGTTTGTTTTATGTGCTGTGTTAAGTGACTCAGTATTTTATTTGCCCAAGCCTGCACATTTGTCTTGGTAATTTGGAAGTTATGGTTTAGTCTCAATTAGAGAAATTGAATGGTTCTCGCAGGTAAGGAGGTTGTTCATAAGACAGATGTTGCAGAACAAAAATTGAATGTCTTGGAGGAGGCTAGAGTTGCAGGACGCGTGAAGCAGGCAGCAGCAAGCGCCTTGGCGGCTGTAGCTGTCAAAGCTAAGCTTCTGGCTGACCAGGAAGAGCGTGAGATGCAGCGATTAATCGCAGTTGTTATTGATCAACAGGTATTCCACAAACCTTTTCTTTTGTGGTGCATTCGTACTGAAAGAATGTTTGATCTATGCGCACTTTCGAAACAGTTAGCATACATATTGCAAGGTGTTGTGCAGGATCTAAGTCTGTAAAATCGTCAAAGCTGATATTTCAGGTTCTTCCATGGTGCTTTTGAAAGGTTCTGACATTAGTTGCATTGCGCAAGTCATTCGCTTGTTACTAACCCATTTTCTTTCCAATAACTAGGATAGTTCTTCACGAAATATCTCGTGCTCTGGCTTTCTCTATTCCTCCAGTCTTCTTCACTTTTCCTGAGAAATGCTTTCCTTGATTTAATTTTCTGACTGATTCAATTCATTTGGTTCTTACAGTTAAAAAAGCTGGAGCTAAAGTTGAAGTTTCTAAACGAGTTGGATAGCGAACTTCTAAAGCATTGTGATGCAGTCGAGCGTGACCGATTATTCTTTTTTGAAAATCAGACCCGAATAGCAGCCTCTCATTTGGGCACAAGTTCTAATTCTAATCCACCCACATCCCCCTCTGGACAAGAACAGCCTGCTCGCCAACATCAACATCCACAGGCTCCTGCCATGGCCCAAGGGCCTGTGTCCTTTCAAGGGCATATGTATATGCATGGTTTTCAAGGCATGTCTCATCCTCCAGGTGTTTCTTTCAACCATCAAATGCAGCCCAACCATACAACTGATTTCATGCAATCACAAATGTATCAAGGACTTGCAAATACAGTGCATGCAGGATCCATGACTGTTCAACAAAACCATTTTGGAAGACATATGATGATTGGCGGAAGTGCGCCCCTTCATTTGCTTCAGGGGCGCCAAATAGGACCTCATGAGGTAACTCCTCCCCCCAAGTTCTTGGGAGGTCTTTGACACAATCTGGTGATGCCCCTGGTCAAGGACTAGGTGGACCCATGTTGGGCGTTCCAGGATTATCAAGACCTATGTCAGGTGGTGCACTCGGTGGTAGGTACAGTAGATTCAAAGTCGTATTTACAGAGATCTGCTGCTATGTAGATTAGAAATGCTTCTGAAGGTGAATTTTATTCTGGTCATACAGGAGTTGTAACTTTGAGATATCATTTTCTTGAGACTTTGTAGAGTGGCACGAAATTCAGTAGACAGCATTTCACGACAATGTCTGATCTCTCTGTCATCTGTGGCTGCATATGTGGTCATTGCATTTGCCCGCACAAGTAGGCCCTCTCACATCCAGGAATTTGGACACTTCGAACGTGATTAACCTTTTGATGGGATGTGTTTCAGAAAAACAAGTTGATGTAGAACATGACCTTTGGTGCACCATCAACAGTTGTAAAGGTTTTAAAGGACGCCAAAGCTGGCAACCTATTAAACTCAGCATGGGCATGTATTGGTGTGGTGGAAGGCTCGAGTTGCTTTACTCTGTTTCATAGCCCACGGCTTTCACTAATGCTATTTAGATTTTTCATAAATTTCTATTCTGCTATCCCTAGATGCAAATCTCCAAGCTCAAATTTTTGGCGCTAGTTCTGGGATCTCAGACTCTGATCGCCGCAATTAGACAATCGATCATTTCAGTTGATTCTTATCATCAATCGTAATTGTATGCAGTTTGATTTTTTCAATAGCGTATAGATAGCTGCTGCATTTCCAAAGATTCATGACGTGTCATCAATTATCTAGGTGGTATTGACGGCCTCGATGGACTAACAGTAGCCAAAGTTGATTTTAACTCATTACCCTTTCAATTAGAAGAGATTTAAGCCGAGTTTAAGACACTCACTTAGAGCTGAGATGCTCACATATCCCACTAACGATACCAGTAAGACTTGCATCAAATCATAAGTGACTCAGAAAATGCCGTGGACACACCTTAAATAACTATTACACTTTTTTTCGAAAATTATAAATGATAGTCCTTCCCTTGTACATGACGCAATTGCGCGGAATTTGAAGACTTAGAAATAGTATCAAACCCATGTGTTCATACATCTAGTCATCACAGTGCTCACAGAAATTATGGAATGCGCAAAAGCAGCTCACGAGTGACTTCGGGATTTGCTCCAATAACTAATAATGTCAACTATATCAAATTTGGTTACTTCATAACACATGAACAACGATTGGTGATCGTCAATGAGTTTTTCTAAAACCTTGTGAATAGCTTCATGTCTAAAACCAATCTGGTAGCTAAGTACTTATGTCGTTCTAGTCGAACGTCAGAAGCGATGGCACATATTCCTCTGGAGCTTCAAATCCCATGAGATTCATGAAAGTGGCTGTGATATTAGCAAGACCTGCTTTGGGAAGGTCATCACGGAATTTGATGTTCTCTGGTAACGCTGGCCCGCCGATTGCGACTGGAACCTGTTATGGAGACGGCTAAAAGGTCAGCTGACGTGAATGTTGAAGACATGAAAACGTATCAATTGGGTTGCATTAGTTATGCAATGATTGCAAAATCCAGGTACATGATCGTATACAGAAAATACTGCGGCATCAGCAGCATGTTTTCCAAACGCAATGCATTCCAATAATATAATAATATGCATGCAAGGTAAGATTTACCGGTGCCAGAGTATGAGAAGTGAGTGGTTGCACTTTGCCAGTCTCGTCACGGAGTGGCTCTCCAGTCTTTTTGCGCTGCGCCATGTCATCACAGTTGCCGTGGTCTGCGGTGATAAGGTAAATACCTCCCATTTGTTCCACGGCATCAATCAGCACCTGTACATGTCATCAACCATCCATTCTGGTTAAAATCCAATAATACTGCAAGGTAAAATCAGCGACGAAATTTCTCGTTTATATTTTTACAAAAGCCAATAATAGTATCTTAGTTCTCCTAAAGAGAAGAGTAAAAGATCCAACGAGTTTTCAGTTCTGTGAAAAAATGAAATGCGCACCTTTACTCCTTGGTCAACGGCTTCACATGCCATCTTGGTAGCTTCCAAATCCCCAGTATGACCAACCATGTCACCATTTGCAAAGTTTACTCGTACATAGTCAAACTCTCCTGACAAGAGAGCCTCTCGTGCAGCTTTGGCAATTTCAGCTGCCTTCATGTGAGGAGCTTGATTGAACTGGATGTTGTCACTTGGAATCTCGTGATAAGTTTCCAGAGTTTCATCAATTTTCCCGGATCGGTTACCGTTCCAAAAGAAAGTAACATGCCCAAACTTCTGCGTTTCACTGTCAGAAGTCCAATCAATTTATTAATAGACAAAACTAAGAGCCAATCAAAAATATCACGAAGAGGAATCAATTCTGTTCAATAACGACGTTTAAAGAAATTGATACAACTGACGCATTCATACCTGCAAGCAAATGTGCGGACACCATTGGCGCACAAGTACTGCCCCGAAGTGTTTTCAATCAATGGGGGAGAAATCAAGTAGTTGGATGGAAGCTTCAAATCACCATCGTACTGCATCATACCCAAGTACTTCACCTTCGGGAACCTGACCCTGTCGAAAGCGGTAAAGTCCTCGTACTCAAATGCCTTACTAATCTGAATCACTCGGTCTGCCCGGAAATTAATGTTCACAACAGCATCACCGTCTCCGATTGTTCCTACTGGTGCGCCATCCTTGTCCACGACAACGAACGGGGGGTAGAACTGATCGTTCAATTTAGGATCAGCTTCCTTCAACTTTGTCAGGGCATCAAGCGCACTCTCGAACTTGTGAGGAGCATCTCCTAATACATGAGCACGCCATCCACGCTCCACAATATTCCAGTCAGCCTGGAAAATTCCAAAGATCGGTCACCAATGTTATTACAAATCGTTTCGAAGTACTATACCTCACACCCCAATTCAAATATAACATGAAGAGGGTAAATAGACAGCTCACAAAGGGTTGTGTTGAAATGCACTAAATAGACTTACCTCATACCGATCCATGGTAACGTACATCCGTCCACCACCGGAAGCAATTCGGGCATCACAGCCCTGATTTCTCAAATTCTCACATTCCTTCTCCAGTTGTCCTACATACTTGATACTGGACCCATCGGGGACATCTCGACCGTCTGTCAAGACATGCACACGGATTCGCTTGCAACCGTGGTCATTGGCACCGTACATCAAAGCGTATAGCTGGTCCGTCCGGGAATGCACACCTCCGTCACTCAGAAGCCCGATGAAGTGAAGGGTCCCTCCATTAACCCAAGCATCCTTGGCATAATTCCAACCCTCTCCAGTGAACATAGATCCGGACTCTATGGCGTTATCCACAAGACTAGCACTGCAAGAAACATGTTTTCATTGAGAGTCAGAGTTTTATGTTCTAAAGAAGCCACTATCCGGCTCAATTTCCATTAAGAAATATTCGTAACTCTGACAAACTAAAAACGAAGCGAGATATTTGCCCATTAGTATGAAAGCCCCAAGACCAACAAGTTCAATTTCAAGATCAATTTCAAGTACAAGTTCAAGCTCCGCCGCATATTCTGAACTGACCATGTCTGCAATCAGATCGAGGAAACCAAAAGCGGAACAACATGTCCAAGCCTAAGGAGGATTCTAGCACCTTCACCAAACCAACCCAGGAGCAGAGAGCAGAACTAGATTACCCTTGCTGGATGATTTTCCCAGCTCCCATGGCATTATGGCCGACCTCACTGTTCCCCATGTCGGCATCGCTCGGCAGCCCCACAGCAGTACCGTGCGCTTTAATAGTGCGCCAGCGGCGCGGCGCACCCTCTTTCAAACTCTTGATCGTGGGACACTGCGCATTGTAGATAGCATTGAACTCGTCTTCCCTGTTCTCACCCCAACCATCCAACACCACAAGCAAAAATGGCTTTCCCTTGGGAATCGTCGGATGCGGGGTCAGTTGGTACTCCGCCGCCGCGTTCGGTGCCACCATCTTGGCTCACTCTTCACCAAAAACCGGACCCAACGCGATTGCTCTCCTTCACGCAACCTGCAAACCAAGCAGACTACAATCAACACCAACAGAACCTCCCTCGCACCATAGAATCACCTTTCAAACTACAGCAACCGTTTTGTGGGTCAAACCAAGAGAGAGCGAAAAAGCACATCAGATCAAGCCCATTATTAGAACGGCAGCAGCGATACTTACAATGATAGCTCTATGCAAATTGGAAGACAAGACGGGAGAATGGCTTCTGTTCGATGGACAAAACCAAGAGCCAGTGGCTGGTGGCTTTCACGGAACTTCGTGGCCTCCAACGACCTAACTTAGAACGCTGAACCTCTCGGGCCCCGTCCGATGCACGAGACGCGAGGACGAGATTTTAAACAGTTCCTGCAATCTACCAGTTCTCCGATTGCTGATCTTCCTCCACTTACTCGGAAAACGCCGGATCAGAGACACGATCGTCGACTTCGTGGGTTTTGGGGGCGCCGAAGAGGCACGCGGAGCTCATGGGCCGTCCCTCATCCACCCAAAGTCATTCATCTACTTAGTTTCTTCCCGATACCATATTCATGTCCCGGTAAAACGGGTATGGAATCAAGATAGCGTGAGGAATATGCTCTCCTCTGGGGTTGGATAGCAAACAAGTAAAGAACAAAGGGTGTTGTAGCTTTTTGACCGCGGATGTGGATGATGCACCGGCTTGCGCAATCGATGGCTGTGGAAACAGGGAATCTGGGTTGTTCTTATTAATTAAGCGTCACATCGTGGAATGTGCCTCTTCCTCGCACAGTTGTACGCGACTGCAGAAGGTTCTGTCTCTAAACGAAGGAAATATTGTGGATCAACAGAAAAATAGAAGAACATGTTCATTTTAGAAGAACAAAGAACAAGATATTTTGAAGAAAAAAACCATTATTTGACGAAGAGTTTCTTCGCCTGTCCACTAAAAAACGTCCACTTGATAGTCAAACTTAAAATTGTAATTTGATGCAAAAATTACGCTCTAACTACGTCAAGTAGCTCGAATAAAATTAAATTGGGGTAGTCAACAAGGATTTAGTTCAGTTTGTGATCAACATTCAACAACACAAAGAAACAGCTTTAATTCTAGTTAATTAACTTTCATCAAAAAGAAAACGCGAGAGAAAGAACAAGCACAAGCAATAACTCAGAGCCCCAACACTTTGTGAAAAATAGAAGATGTCAACTAAGGCTTGAAGTAATGATCTTCAACTACAATGTATCAAAAGGAAAAGGAAAGCAAGCAGTGATACATTCAGCATAGCTCATAAGCTTTCAATCACGGCACAGGAGATGGGACATTGAACTGTAAACTCCGCTGATTTTGCAACGTTTAATAGTCAAAGCTAGAAATGAAACAGAGCAGAACTAGTGTAGTGGTTGTCAACAGCAATTACTACTCATTCACGAGATTCAACGCAGATTAATTTCATCGACAGGTGGTGATCGTGATCAGCCTCAATTCCACCAATCCAGCCCATATCTAATTACATCAACCTTGCAAAAAACAGCAACTTCCTAAATCTGACAGCCTCGATTTACATTCAGAAGAGTATGTTGGCCATGGTTCTCCACGACAAGCAAAACATAGGAAATCTTGATTTCATATCAAAACGTAGCATCTACATTAAACACAATGTGTGCGGGACTAAGCATGCATAAATTTCACAATTGGTAGAAGTGGAGAGGAGAGGAAGGAAGGCAAGGAAAGACACCACGAGAGTCACCAAACCCTAATCATCTGCATCGCACACGTCGAAAACTTCATTACCCAGCACTCTTGTGGCGAAACGGCAACAACGAGATTCATACGAAGTAGTAGCGTAATTGCAAAACAAATCACCAGCCGAGGAAAATGGAATTTCTTCACCAGAAAAATCTCACAAACACAACAGCGGGAGAAGGCCAAGTGACCCGAAGTGCAAAACTATCCTCCGCAAGTAAAAAGCCTCGGAAATATCAGAAACCCTAAAGATCCAGCTTCTCCTTACAACTTACATTACTCACTGGGGCGACCTTGGAAGGTTCCCTCGTCGCCACGCCCCACCGCTCCGGCCCATCCCTAAACACTTAACAAAAACATGCGAGGCTTCTTCGTAACAGGGACGCGTCTACTTGGATTCTTCCTTAGGTCCGGTGATCTGCTCCTTGATCCAATCGAAGGGCTGCACGAGCCAGAGGGCACCACAAGCGGCCGTGGTGCCCCAGAGAACAGCGGAGCTGACATCGGAGGTCTGGGGGCGAATGACCTTGGGAATGAACTTGAGCAGCGAGAGCCCTTGCTTGGATTGCACCATGGTTGCCGATCCGTGCAATGAATGCTTCCACCACAACACAAGTCCAGGCTCGAGACACAGGGGAAAGGAGGAAGCAGCAAACACAAATGCGAAAATGATCGTCGGGCAAATGGAGGCAAGCGAGGAGGAGAAGGGCGAAGAAGGATTGTCCTCGAACGGGGCTCAAGCGACACTCAAAGCTTGAGTGGTCCCTACGAAAGGAAAGGTCACCGCTCCCTCTCCGTCGCAATCCCTCTTTCTCGTCCCTTTCCCCACCGTCCGTCCCTATTCGTCGTTATTTTCGACGCTTCCGTCGTATTTTCATCTTCTCGTCCTTCTTCTTCGTCTGTTTCGACGTCTTCGTCCTCTTTGCCGCTTCTGTCAGCTTCTCCGTGCTTTTCGTCTCCGTATTCTTCTTTTTCGTCTCTTTCGACATCTTCGTCGACTTCCTCCGTCGTCTTCTGAGTCCTCTTCTGCGTCTCCTTTACTGTGAGTGTAAAAGAAAAAATTAATTAATTCAATTGAGGATTGTTTGAATTTTCCTCACAAATAAAAATTGTAATTAATAATTATTTTTTATTATTTATCTTCGTAAATTAAAATTATATGATAACATAAAGGTATGAAATATATAATAAATAAATAAATATTTAAATAATGATCATGATCTTCTTTTTTCTAGCACTGTACAGGAAGATATTAAGGGCATTGAATAATTTTTACTTTTCTTTTTCTTTTTCTTTTTCAAATGTAGATTTTAATTTATCATATTTTTACTAAAAGTTTGTTTGTAATAATTTTAATATATTTTGTACTTCAAAACATAATAACTCTGGTAATGTAAAATGGAAGAGGTGGGTGTTCCACATTCACTTTTTAGCACAACTTTCAGTTTTCATGACTTGTTAAGTTTTTTCCGAAATAAACAAATCAATCAATACGTATAGTACAACACAATGTCTTTCCTAAGTGCATTTCATGTTTACGTGGCAGCAAAACGATTTGATAGCAACGATTAGATCACAACGAAGATAAGTTCAAAGACAACCTACAATAGCCATTCACTGAAGGCAATGTTGAACATCAGAATTACCATTTCTAAACCCAAATAATTTGTAATGAAGTGAAACAAAGCACCCGAAGGCTTTGAAGGTTAAGCAGCATGCGGCGGAGTTAATATCCAGCCATGGCTTCCACTCCCAGCACTCCCGATATACTTTAGTAATGTACTAGTGAAAGCTTGAGATGGAAATCAGACGAGAATTTTGTAGTATAGCTGCGGGACTCAAACAAGACAAGGACCCGGTAAATGCGCCCATGCGAATGCTTCATGGTGGGTAGTCATATAATCAGCTACTATCATTCAGCACAAAAAAAAATTGAATCATGTCACTTGAATTGTTGGTGTCTTAAGATACTGGCTAGATACCAATATTGTCAATCATATGAGAGTCTAAATACCCTTGTGGTTGGTCGGTGACGTTGGTATCGCCAATCATGACACCTCATCATTGCGCGAAGGGTATGACTGAAATATCCATAATTTGCAAGCCCTGTCTGGTAAGACGAATCCAGGTTCTTTCAGACTTGCTCCAATGTAGACGAATTCTACACTTTCTGCCCGCTTCAAGGCAATACTCATAATGGGATCTAGCGTTGCAGACAAACTGAAGCTACACCGTAACACATCATGAAAAGGGGAGGAACTTGTAGCAAATGCCTACTGCTGCAGCATTAAACTGAATCAACTTCCACAAGACTTGTACAAAGAACCAAAATCCTTTAAAATGTGAAACGGGATGGACTATACATTGACAACAGCTTCACAACCTTATGCTATGAAACGCTAAAATTCAAAGAATCCTCCTTCAGCATACAACAGGTACTGTCTTCATGTAGACTTGAGTTCTCATCTCTTAACCAAAACAAGACTGCATGTATGCACCGCCAGCAATCTTGAAAAGCTAACCCAGAAATGCCTCGTTACCAAGTCACACGTTGTCTCCATCATATTTCAGTCAAGATGTAACGTCTGACAATATAGAAGTAAAATGTGAGATCTCTTTTACAATATACCAAGGAACCCAAAAACATAGGAGTGTAATCATACTAAATATACAAAACACTTCAAAGGGTCTAGAATAAAAACAGAGCTAACATTAAACAAAAAAAAGAAAAAAGAAAAAAAGCACCTTCCATAGTCCGTCATTGAGATAATGCATGTTGTCCACTCCAATGCCCTTGTTGATGCTCTTACTGTAACATTGCGGCGAAACAGTCAAATCTAGTGCTCAGTCCCGGGTAATTAACGAACAAGTTTAATGTTAAACACTAGTTCATCAAGGAGAAAACAAAATTGAAACGGGATCAGCAAACATAACGTACATGTCTTTTGCAGACATCTTGGTGTATCCTATAGCCAGAGCATGCTCTTTGCCTTCTGCCATGATTGCCTGATGGAACAATAATACCATTAGTCAATCATTTATAATACAATAAAGCTGATTATCCCCACACACGGATACATTACTATGATTTTTTTTTTTAAAGAAAAAGAAAAAGGAAAAGCAAACAAAAATAAGTAACTGAGCTCACCACAGGTGAATCTGCAGGCACTTCTTCATCGAGATTACCACCAGCAGATGTCAGTCCCGGGCACATGATATTGGCACCCGCCAGCACAAATTTGATAGCTCCTCTATCTACACGGAATTTCTTCATAATTCCTGGATCTTTTACCACGGAAAAAAGACGATTAATTCACTTCATGGATTCACTTCTCATCGCTTAGTATAACACACAATTTAAATCAAAATGATGCAGCTGACCACCCTCAAGTATGAAGGAACAAGTTCAGGATTGATTGCTTTGACCTACATTGGTGCAAAAGTCGTAGGGTAGGCATATAAGGCCCATCCCGCACATTAAAGAACAGTGGGACATTGTTTACGACGACCAAGTTGATATGGTTCTGGCTGGCCAACCACGCAACAGAACATCCAGTTAAAGGAAGTCTTAACCACGCGACGGGTTAACTCATGACGCTCAAGAAGGAGAAATTGCGACCTAATTTCATCAAACAAAAGCCACACGGATATATATCGCGGCAGATACACACACTCATTACAGTGCAATGGATCAATTATATTTCCGACGGACAGACGGCCTCCAACGACTCTTCCATGGGTACTGAATGCAACATACTCACCACTTCGCAACTATGAGTGGCGATTTCTTCGGTAGCATCTCGTCCAACAGAGGCTCCAAATCAGGATACTATTCCATCCAACATCAATACAACTCAGTATCGCTACCTGTGCTTTTTCTCCCAGATAGCAAAATGCGACACTTAGGACAAGGATTGCACGAAATCGGATGAGACTTGCGCAAGGAGCTGAATGGCACGCACCTCATCGGCGATGTTTTGCCGGATTTTCCTCTGCACCGAGGCCTTCACTTGATTCTGCCCCGTCACCTCCTCGGAAGAGAATCTGGAGGTGCAAAATCAGGAAAAGGTTACTCAATCCCCAATAGTTGAAACAGGGGGTACGACACAGGAGTGCAGTTCAACAATTGACCCAAAGCAAGAGAGTAATCACTAATCCCTTACTTCTTGAACATGGTGGATTGTAACTCTACACAATTCTCCCAACAAAATCGTTTAGAGTGAGAGTGGACACAGTGATGTCGAGAGCCAGCGACACCGAGATTGCGTTGCGATTAAACGAAGGCCAGGGAAACTCTGCGAGCCCTTAGGGTTCCACAGCTTGGACAGAATTAGGGCTTTGTTCTGGCGGAACTACGCGGCAGACTACGCTCGAAGTCTGGGTAGTGAAGAGAGCTGTGAGTTAAACCTTATGCTTCGTTCAAACCAAGAGTTTCGTCTCACCCGGTTCTACGCATGGCTTCAATGAAGCAAGTGATCTTGAAATAGATTCATACCATTCTGTCTAGATCTAGGGGCCTATGTAGACCTTTTTCTGCTTCTTTTTCTTCTTCATTTTTATTTGCATTTTATCTCTCAAGACTTGATGTTGATTTTAATATAAAATACATTGTGCCAGCTTCAGTTTATTTTCTAAACATTAATGTTAGAAATTTAATAGATTTCTTTTTATTAAAATATTACTTGCATTAACAATTGCATATGTTGTCACTAAATCCTTGTTGAACTTGTGCACTTAAGATTCTTTTGTAAATATATATTTTTATTATTTTCTTGTGTTTTATTTTTTATTTTTTAAAAAAAATATGTAGTTGAAAATTATTTTAGTTTCATGAGTGTGTGTATATATATATATATATAAATATACATTCAGAACTATAACTTTCTAATGAAATTACTCTTTGACAAAAAATGTGCTAACATTGTAATTAATCTCAGTTTTGAAGTAGATAATTAAATATTTGGACTATTTTTATTTTTATTTTTCAATTTTTTCACATTTGGAGCCTTGTTAAATATCCATATATGATTAAAAGAAATATGAGGTCGTAGTGTATATTAGAATCTCTAAGGATGTGGAAGGCATTGTTATTGTTCAACGTGGCCTTAATTATACAATAATGCAAAACTCGATCAAGGATATGGATTTTTGGTTTAGAACATAGTTTTTTAAATTAAGTAAATATAATGACACACTTGTTGATGTCACAAACAATGAATTCTTTAAGGTTGTAATTAGATTTGAGATAACAATATGTGTTGAGAAGGCCACACATTAGAATACTACAGCAATAACAAATTAACCTTGGTCTTCTTAACCATTGACTAATACCAAATTCTACATGGTCTTAAGCCCAAAACAACAAAGAAGCCATTAAAAAAACATATTGAACTCACTAATACAACAACAAATTCTACTTAAAAAAATACTCAATCATTGAGATATTTATTTTTAATTTCACATATAACCAAGCAAGATTCTTGTTTAAAACTCAACTTGAATTAGTTGAGGTAGATTAAGTGGTAGTGCATGCAAAAGTTGATTTACTTCTAAAATTCATGGTCATAATGTACTTTGCAAAAAAAAAAAAATCTCTTTCTAATCATTCTTTTTATTGGTTCAAATATTTTAAATAATTAAATAATAATTTTAGTATTATTAGAGAGCAGATTGGCAAAGACTAAATTTATTTTAAATACATATAATATTTTAAAAGAGAATCCTAATTCAACAAACATATGTGAAATCTTTTTTACTGTGTACTTTTTGAGAGTGAGATCCAAATTCTAATCCTAAAAAAAATATAGAATATAAATAGGAAAGATGTCATTGATGATATTAAGACCTTTGATTATATTATTTCAAAGAATTACAACACAAATTTCTTTAAGTTACCTTGCAAATAGCAACAACTTAGAACATATTTAAGAAACAATAAATTGAATACGAAATCAAAAAAAAAATTATTTTTTTATTTTTATCTTCGCTCTAAACTTAAGAGACATCTAAAAATTAATTAATATATGTTAATAATTATAAAATAAATAAAAAAGAATTTCTTATCATTGATTATAACAATCTTTAAGTTAAAAAATGATTTTGCTTAGAATAGATCATACAATCAAGGAGTCTGCTACTACTTAAATCTTATAAGGAACTAAATATTTAACTTGAAGAAGAAATAGACTATTGTACTTTGAGTAAAAAAGGCCCTTTAATAGTCACACAATTAAATCTTAATTTACCATCATAATCTAAAACTTTGAAGATTTGTACAATAGATACAAAAGGCTTAATCTTAGTGCAAAATAAGACAAAAAAATTCAAAAAGATATTGAAAACCAAGTATACTTAAAGATGCATAAAAAAAACCAAATTCAATAAAGTTTTATATTTAATTTTAAATAAATAAAAAAGCATCACTACAAAAAAATTGAAAGATCATCATATATTAAAAGATTATATTGCTAATTCAAATTGTCATGTGGAGGCAGTAAATGCTATGAAGTCAATCTTTGTAAAGACAATGCTATAGTGCCTATGATCATGAGTATTAAACTTTCTTAATCTAAGACTTCTTACATTGATGTCTTAAATATCTATTAAAAAATTTAAAAACAATAACTTGCATCAAAATATTATAGAATATTTCTAAAAGATTAAAAAATCATTGATTTAGAATAGTACACAAACGTGTTCTTTGGAAAATGGATTGAGTATACTATACCCCATTAGGTCTAAGATTCATCAATTTTCCATTATAAAATGATGATAGTTAAATTAAGATTCTTAGAAATTGGTGGTTTATTCTTGTATAGAATTTGACATCTAATCACAAATAAAGTACCAAATCTAAAAACTAATACAAGATATTACATTTAAGATGCATTCAAAGAAATAAACCTACATCAATTAATTGATGAAGAAGCCATAAAAACCTACAAACTAATCTTCTAAAAAGTTTGGATAAACTTGATTTTTTTCACTATCTATAGACACATATACTTAAATAGGATGCGGAGTTGTATCTTCTATAACTAACAACTAAATAAGTTTTTATAAAAATAAAGGTTATTTTTCTTCAATGATAATATATTTTCTCTCAATATGTTATAATAAAAAAAGAAAAAAAAATATTACCTTTTCCAATAGAAATTTAATTATGCCAAGATAAAATAATAATAATGATAATAATAAATTAATTAGAATTAAAGAATACAATTGATATTTTAGAATAGATTTAATATCTTACATAAAAAATAAAAATAAAAAAATAAAAAAATAATATCATAAGAACTCACCAATCTTGCAACTTTATTTCTATAAAGTAAAAATTAATTCTAAATCCTATATTTTAATGTAATTATCATTATATTTGGTTTTGAACTAGAATTTGCAAAGAAGCCATGATAGTATGGCTTATATGGCTTGTAAGGATTGCAATTAATTAATAAAGAGACCCAATATCTAAATATAGATACTAAATTTATCTTGTATAACCTTGCATTACAAAAAAAATATTTTGTACAAATTCCACGAATGTATATAAGCTTAAAGCAATTGGAATTGAACCACTTGGCTTCACAAAGTAGTTCCAAGATCAAGAAAATAGATAGATATTGAAAGAAACTCATGAAAATAAATGGTATTGGTTTGCACCTTTTCTTCTAAAATTAAATATTTTAATTCCTTTTGGTCTCTGTTGAAAATCTTGTGACTTTAAACTATATGGATCTAAAAAATAAAAATAAAAATATAATACGGAGTGACTTTTTTAAAAGGAATTTATAGTTAATTCATTTAAAAGTTAGTTCATTTCATTAAATGTAAACAAATCTTATAGATGGTCATGTGTGACAATATGGAGAAATAATCTACCAATATATATATATATGTATATATATATATATATATATATATATAGGTATCATAGTTTAAATACAGAAAAGGAAAAGAGTGATTTAAAAATGATACAAAAATCCAACAATGCTTCTTTGAAATAAACTGGATAATTTTTCATTTTTGTAAATTAAAAACAATGTTTCAATTATATATATTAGTATTACTACTATTATTTATAAAATTTATGTAATAATATTCTGGTTTACACTTTGTTTGAAGACACTCCTCAATAAAAAGAATTACGTTCAAGAAACATGCTGTATTACCATTAAAAATCCTTCGTGAATATATCAGATGGTAAATTTATCCTAAGTTATCATGTTTTAAAATAAAAGTGCACCCTAGAAGATCTAACTCCACCAGTGAATGCACGTAATATTACAACTATTTTTATTTATTTATTTATTTATTTTATTTTTTTTTACAGTTCATGAAAAAAAAAAAAAATATTGAATAGAAATGCTTGTTTCAAATTTTTGAAATAAAGTGGCATGCACTGTTTTTCTTTGGTTAATTATTCTCTTTGTCTAAATGAACATGAACACAACATGATTCTTATATTTACAAGTATTATACATTCACATTAAATGTTAACCTAGACTTTACCCACCCAATCTAATAATAAACTCTTAATTTAATTCCAACTAAATTAACCGAAAAGTCTAAAAAAGGAACAACACTGAATCCAAATTTATAACGAAGCAGTTCCACCAATCAGAAAGCTCGAATCGGGACCAATCAGCAACCTCCTCGGCCAACGAAAGTTTTGACGAGGATGAATGTGGGTTACCGATGAGAAAGTTATGGATGAATGAAGATTGAGCCCCTGGGCCCACGGCGGGAAAAAAGCCATGGCTGCGATTCAAAGGCCACCATGATCCATTCGTCTGCGGGGACGTTGCCCCGCCCTTTTCCGGTCAGCGGTGGCCTCCGATCACTCACTGCCTGGCTCCCTCATCGCATCCGATCACGAGCGCTGCTCGTTTCCTGTCGAATCCATTCAATTGCTGTGGTGGATGTTGCAGTGGGCTCAATTTAGAACGCACTGTGGTTGACGACGCAGTTGTGCGAATGCTGGTAGCCATTTTGATCGAGGCTCTTTTTGGGATCTGGTGCTGGACGACGCATTAACGTTGAGATTCACCGCAATTGTGTCTGTAGTTGTTGTAGTAGTAGTAGTGTGGCAGTCATGGCGTCGGGGAAGGTGATGGACCCGGACAATTTGAACGAGAATGTGAAGAAGACGGTGTATGCCGTGCGGGGAGAGCTCTACCTGCGCGCCTCGGAGCTGCAGAAAGAGGGCAAGAAGGTGCAGGGTTGGGGTCTTTGGTTGAATTTTCATGGATTTGGGGTTGTCTGAGGTGGTTTTTCGTGTGTGGTGTGTTGACGAGTTTTGATCTGCGCTGAGTGGAGCGTTGTTGTTGTTGCCGTTGTTTTCTTTTGGAGTTCATGGCAGATCATTTTCACCAATGTCGGCAACCCGCATGCTCTTGGTCAGAAGCCTCTTACATTCCCTCGCCAGGTGACTCCCCTTCTCTGTGCTCTTTCAGTTCTCCGTTGTTGGATCAGCCTCGAAGGATTCTGAAAACTGTGTAGAGAGTTACGGCGATTCTAACGTGTGGAATTTTTCCATTCAGCTCAGTCAATTGTTCGGAACATCGCAGTCGATGTAGGGAGCTTGACGTTGTTAGCTGAGTATGTGATTGTCTGACTCGCTACGTCCTTGCCACAGGTCATGGCTCTGTGTCAGGCCCCCTTCTTGATGGATGACCCCCATGTTGGGCTACTTTTCCCCGCCGACGCGATTGCCAAAGCCAAGCACTATTTGGCTATGACCTCAGGAGGCGTTGGTAAGCCATTCAATTTCTCTTCTTTGTAGTCTATGCCCGAATAAAGATAAATTCGGGATAAGGGATAATTCACCAATTGATTCCATCACACTCACTACGAAGATATACGTTTTCTGAGAAAATGGAAGGATTGTTATATCATGTTTGCATGTCTGAAGGAAGTTGAGCACTTTGCGCATATCTCTGGTAATCATATGATTATAAAGTGAAAAGTGGACTTACGTTAGCCCGTGCTTATTGAGAGACATTGACCTGATCACTCACTGACCATGCCGTAATGTCCCCGCAATCCTGGGCCAGGAGTATTTTCACCGCTCAAGGAGAAGACACTCACTGTACACTTAGTACACTTCATGTAAATTACTGTATCAGCTGAGAGATACGACTCAAAGAACTAAGCAATGATATACTTGAATAGTGGCCGAAACAGATATCACATGCATCTAAGTCTAATGGGTCTTGATTATCTCGTAAATTATGTGGGCAGGAGCTTACAGTGATTCCAGAGGGCTCCCTGGTGTGCGGCAGGAGGTTGCAAATTTTATCCTGCAGCGTGACGGATATCCGAGGTGAACTTTGCCTTTCAATTCGCCTTGAAAATTTGAAGTCTCAATGGTTCATGGATTCCACATCTTTTGAATGGAAACTTAAAACCGTTTTATTGAACTGCAGCGATCCGGAGAATATCTTCCTCACTGATGGAGCTAGCAAAGGTGTAGCACAAGTTTTGAATGCCCTCATCCGCGATGAGAAGGATGGGGTAATCCCTCGAACTGTCTACCTTTGATAACTGTTCTATTCTTGATACGCTGAACTTCTTGTTTGTGTCCGAGTCCACTTGAAGGTCTCATTCTGTCATTTAGGGGAATTTAATACCCTCCCAGTATTGTCTAGGTTAATATGATCAAATTCTGGAGTTTGCATGTGGGGATATCTGCATTTGTGGTAGTTGCCAGAGTTGTGGTCAGATGTTGGCATGGAAGTAAATTCATCTCTAGCGAATCATCCGTTCTCAGTAATGATGTCGACTGTATGTCGCAGGTACTGGTTCCTATTCCACAATATCCTTTGTACTCAGCAACGATTCAGCTTCTAGGAGGCACACTGGTGCCGTATTATTTGGCTGAGGAGGATAACTGGGGTTTGAATACTAATGACCTGCGTAAATCTGTCACTGAAGCTCGCAGGAAGGGGATTTGTGTAAGTTGGCTCACTCATACTTTTACAAACCTTGTTTCCGTTGTGGTCTCTGGCGGGGCCTATCGTGGAACAAGGAATTATCGGATGTTAGAAATGTCCTTTTTAGTTATTTTACTAATTCATTTGAGGGAGGAATGGTGTGAGGGAGAGGGAGAGAGACAGTTTGTGTGGGATATTACCTTGATTGCCAGTGATATCTATCATGCTGCACTTGGTATAAAAATACCTGTGATCAATTGACTTCTGTTAGGGCCCATATTGCTGCGCTTACTGCACTAAGCACGAGATTAACCGCTAACTACATGAATTTTGGATTATGCGTTTTGTTGTTTTAGGTCCGAGGATTGGTTTTTATCAATCCAGGAAATCCAACTGGTCAATGTCTAACCGAGAAAAATTTGCGGGAACTTATCGAGTTCTGCATCAAGGAAAAGATTGTGCTGATGGCTGACGAGGTTTACCAGCAAAACGTTTATCAAGATGAGCGCCCCTTTATCAGCGCGAGGAAGGTATTTTGTTGCGGTGATTTTCCTTCTACTCGTAGAAACATAAGAAACCTTCTCTGGCTACGAATTATCAGTTTAAAGAATTTATGTCATTTGAAATGACAAGGTTTCATTCAAACATGTCTTTGTGCTTTTGGTAATTAGGTGCTGATGGGCATGGGACCCCCAGTCAGTGAAGCTCTGGAGTTGGTTTCATTCCACACGGTGTCGAAGGGTTTCCTCGGAGAGTGTGGACAGCGAGGTGGATACTTTGAAATGACCAATATTCACCCCAAGGTTCCTACCCATCATTCAAAACACTTTGCCTCACAATTTGTAGATGTGTTTTCTTTTATTCTTTCCGAATACTACTCCCAATGAAGTACGCTCCTTCAAGCTGTATCAATATAACATGCAGTTCTCTATCTCATTTCTGGTTTTGTAACGTTCAGACTGTGGACGAGCTCTACAAGGTTTCCTCCATTGCCCTGAGTCCTAATGTCACTGGACAAATCATGGTATGTGTTCTAACCCGATGAAAAATTTATTTGCATTTTAAATCGTTGGTCCCTCGCACTAGGCATTAACTTAATTGCATGGCCAAGGTTGTACCGATCCTAAGCAAGATACTGGACTTCTATGTGTTGCAGATGGGTTTGATGGTCAGTCCTCCAAAACCAGGAGACATTTCGTATCCTCTGTACAAGGCAGAAAGGTACCCGTTCAGTCTATGTAATTAATATTGGCGCAGATCGAGTTCTTTGATTCTACGGTTTGTGTTTGTCGGTGAAACTGAGATTTGGTCGTATCTGTCAATGTTATCTTGCCATACTTGTCTGACAAATGCATTAGCAGCCTTCATCACCTTCTGATCCACTGTGTCATGTAATACATTTTTTCGAAGATCCTAATCAACTGAGTTGGACTTATATTGCAGTGAAGCTATCTCGCTGTCTTTGAGGAAAAGAGCGCATATCATGACAGATGGTTTCAATGCTTGTGAAAACATTGTCTGCAATTTTACGGAGGGTAATGAATTACAAACATTTAGATTTTATGTACTTTTTTCTTTTTTTTGTATAGATTGAAGAGCTCTGCTGCTATTATAATGTTTTACCCTACATCATGTGTTAGCACTCGTAGCTCTGAACTAATCTTCCTAAGCGCGTATTGGATAGAAATGCGCGTCTATCAATTTAACAGGCCCGAATGAGAGCTTCTGTATTCAATTTTGGGCTTGTCCTAATATTCGACAGTGAACGTGGTTGCAGGAGCCATGTACTCTTTCCCACAAGTAAAGTTGCCCCAGGCTGCTATTGCTGCTGCTAAGAAAGCAGGGAAAGCTCCTGACGTCTTCTATTGCTTGCGGCTTTTGGAAGCTACTGGAATTTCTACTGTTCCAGGTTCAGGATTTGGCCAGAAAGAGGGGTACATCTTCTTGAACTTGCATTCTGTTTCTATGAGAAAAAGAAAAAAAAGAAGAAGAAAAGAAAAGAAAACAGATAACTTATCAGACGATGTCTACCATTCATTTTGAACATCCTTTGAAGATCAAATTAGCTTCGTACGTGGCTAGTCTGCATTCTTTGCGAGATCACCCCTTAATTATGGTCTCTACTTATTGCCCGTTACAAATATTGTTTGCAAGTAGATTATATATTTTTTTAGTATGCTCCATTTTGCGCCGAATACTGGCTGTATAAAACCTCATCATAAAATGTTGTTGTGCAGGACCTTTCACGTGCGGACAACAATTTTACCCTCGGAGAGAGACATGCCTGGAATCATGGAAAGCTTCAAGAAGTTTAACGCGGACTTCATGGCACAACATTCAGACACCAAGTCGAAGCTTTGAGGACACATGATCTCACACTACCTACATCACCAGTTCCTGTGGTGGGGAATGCGCAGACATCACCTGCGTTGCGTATTCGATCTTGGGCTGGATCATTCCATCTCAATTAAGGACAGGCATGACAAGCAATACCCGAAAGACGCACCTCCACGTAGTCATGAAAATATCTCTAGGCTTCTGTAAACTTCTTCTGCTGGTGTCCCTTGAAGCGAGACCCACTCTATAAATCGTCATTTATGACACTGCGAAGCAGACAGATGTAGCATAAAAAAACATCAGCAATTTGACGTTGGAGATTGTATTTTATTCCGAGTTCACGTTGGAATGACATTCTGCATCTCCTAGAGAACAAGGCCAGCTTTCTTCTGGTTGCATGGTTTTTTACAAGTCTTGATGCGACTCCAGCGTTCTTTCTGGTCCATCTGTTTCTTCGCATTGTCAAGTCTATCACCGCCTGAAATCTGATATTGATGTTAATCTAGAATTCGTGCAAAACCTCTGCTAGTTTACACATCAGAGGAAAAGTTGGAAGCCCATTTTCCATATGAAATGTTCAAGGGTGATGGGAACACAGTTGCAATGCGTCCTATGCAAAGAATGCATCCATATATGCCGTGTCCTCTTCCAAACATTCTTTATACACGTCACTATCAAATTTTTATATAGAGAGTTGAAGTAAGATTACAATTTTGTTATCAAATTGCATGTGTCTTTCGAAATGTATGTGGTTGCGACCATTACTAAACCGTTTTCCAAGGCAACAAACTACGCAAGGGAAGTTTTTGGATGTAACTTATTTTAAAATTAAATAATGTCAATTGTTTTTTTGTAAATGAAATCCAAATAATAATATTTACTTTAACACCAAGAGCCAAAGGAAAAGTAAAGGCATCGTGAAAGAATGTGTATTTCTTGGAGCTCCAGGACCACGTTTTCAAATCAGGAGCCGGGCAGACGGGTTCATAAATTTCGGCACGGACCTGAACGGGCAGAGCGGGTGAGCGGGCAGGCACTTCGCCAGCGCGGGTGTGGGGTCCGTCCGTCGCTACCTGTCGCATCGTGGTCCTACTACCGCTCTGGTGCTCTTATCTTTATCTTTTAAGGCTGTGATATCTTTTAGGGATTGATTCTGTTGAGGTGGGTTTGTTTGTTTTTGGATTTCGCCGCCTTGAAGACTCCGCCAATCCGAAGGTACCAAGCACGTCTTCTCTCTGTCTCTCCCTCATTGCTCGGCCAGCCAGCGCTCATTCTTCTTCTTCTTCACCTTCATCGTCATCTATTCGACTTCTAGCGACAGATTCAAGCGCAGCTTGGTTTTGTGTGGCTTTGTTGGTGCGCTGTTTATGTGTTGAACAAGAGATTTGGAATTCGGGGGAGAAAGGATTTTTTGGGGTGAGAAATTGGGTGCCATGTCGTATGCTTACTTGTTCAAGTACATCATCATCGGCGACACAGGTAGCTTCTCTGAATTTTTTTGTTCTGGGTTTTGTTTTTGGTTTTAGATTTTTGGTTTTTTGGTTTTTTGTTTTGTTTTTTTGATATTTTTGTGGATGGGATGGTGAGCAGCGGGGACGTCGTTTGTACTGAGCTGGGGTTAGGGTTTTTAGAAGACTCTGAGAAGTGGATTTTGTTTTTTTGGCGGATTGAGTTTGTGTTGATGGTGGGTGGAATTGGCAGGCGTTGGGAAGTCATGCCTGTTGTTGCAATTCACCGATAAGAGGTTTCAGCCTGTGCATGATCTGACTATTGGTGTGGAATTCGGGGCTCGGATGGTGACGATCGACAATAAGCCCATCAAGCTTCAAATATGGGACACGGTACGTTCTGGCATGATGTTTGCTTTTCACAGAAGACGAGTCTTGGACAAGTCCTGAGAGACAGAGAGAAGGGGACGGAAGAAATTGGCAATGAATCTTGTGCATGGAACTGATTACCGTAGATGTTGACAGAATTAAAATCTACCAAACTATTTGAGGATCGGAGTCTGTGTAGATCAATCGATGGATTGTCCTTAAAGTTTTCAGGGAGTAAAAATTGTATTAAATTAGGCCACTTTTTTTGATTTTGAGCCTGTTTTGCGTCTACATTCAGTTTGTCTATCTTGATTATTTGGTTTACCTGCGTGGACCCCACTTTGGTTTTTCCCCTAAATGTTAAGTATATTGTCGTGTTCGGAATTAACCTGCAAGTAGCTTAGCCAACTATATTAAAGAATACATCGTTTTAATTCAGACGTAATGTATATGAAGAATGAGGGAGATTTGTATGTTTTTGCTGGCCCAGGCTGGTCAAGAGTCATTCAGGTCCATCACGAGATCTTACTACCGGGGAGCTGCCGGGGCTTTACTTGTTTATGACATAACCAGGTATCTGCCTGATGGTTACCTAATTATAGATGATGAGATGTTTTGTACCAAAACTCACGATTTTTCATTTTGTATTTATATTCCTGTACACTCGTATTAATCTTCGGGCACTAAACATTGTAGGAGAGAAACATTCAATCACCTTGCAAGCTGGTTGGAAGACGCCAGACAGCATGCCAATTCCAACATGACTATCATGCTGATTGGGAATAAATGTGACCTGGCACATAGAAGGGCCGTCAGCACTGAAGAAGGCGAACGATTTGCGAAGGAAAATGGTTTAGTATTCATGGAGACCTCTGCAAAGACCGCTCATAATGTGGAAGACGTGAGTGGATAACATATCCCCCTGCACATTTGGTTTACTTCTCTATTCATTTACACCTCTCTAAATTTAACTTGCGATCAAATATTTCGTACAGGCGTTTATCAACACCGCAGCCAAGATTTACCAGAAGATCGAGGAGGGAATATTCGATGTTTCTAATGAGGTTTGTTATTTTTCACCTTAAGACTTCATGTGAAACCTGCACTGTCCAAGTTTGGTGTTTTGTGTGCATGTTTGTTTCTTAAACAATATATCCCGAGAGGTTCGGAAAATAGTTAGAAATTATGAAATTAAGTCGAATGATCCTCAACGTTCTAGAGATTGTGCTCTTCGTGCTTCGTACTCTGCTCTTCAGAAACATTGTGGAGAAAACACGTAGACTATGAAGGTTGTGTACTGGTGGGATCCAAGGAAAAGGTGGCCAAATAAACCTGAAGATCTTTTCAGGATCCAAAGTTTCCTCTGAATGCGCTTTCCGTCATGGGGAAACTACCAAACCATCGTGTTTTGCTTTAGGAGAGCGATTCTGTACTGACGTCGGATGTAATGTATTGGCAGTCATATGGTATCAAGGTTGGGTATGGAGGGACTGCTAGTGCTGGTGCTGGAGCTGCGGGAGGAAGTACCACCGTTCAAAGAAGTGCTTGCTGCGGTTGATGTTAACCTGGCTGTTGAACATTGCACGTTCCGTTTCAGTTTTAGATCACAGGAGAATCTATTCTTTTCATTGTGAAGCAATTCTTCCATATTTTCCTGTTATACATAAGCTTAGGCATACGTCAAGCATAGCTTTTCTAACCCTTACGCATTCGGGGAGCAAGTGCTTAGACTGGTTGGCCATAGTGATCACGCAGTTCGTTTTCAGGTATTGGATATAGTTTTCTCACTCTTTGGGGGCTTCGGAATGTCGCCGTTGTGATTAATATCCTTGAGATCTACCATTGATTATCTTCAATGCTAGAAGCACGGACTGTCTTTGGTTCTGGTAAGGCCTCTATAAAAAGGTGGGATTTGTTGCAGCTGCGGTGAACTTTTCAACAGGCCCGCCCTCGCCCTCATCTGTGCGAGGATGACGGTGTGGATTTGGGATTGATGAACTAGGGTATGCGGTATACCTGATGTATGTTTGTAATCAAGACTTATAATTAAAATTGAAGGTGGACTTGGTATATTTGGAGTTATTTTATATGCTATATTTTTATCGTTATTATTTATATAACGATTCATGACGAGGTGTATGCATTATCTGTTATACGGTATCGAGATAATAGATAGTGGTTGATTATGAGATTATGGATTTGCCATTTTTTTTACCATGGATTGGACTTAAATTTGCGGCTTTATTTACATACATGCATAAAATATTGAGGTGGATTTATTTTATGGGAGTATGTGGGTTGTGTTTCTCAGTCAAGTTGAATTCTATTTTGAGAGCACGAAGCTACAACGACGGTTGTCTTTAGTTATCATTACAGTAAATCAAAATATATTTTTGCATGGCCGTTAGCCCCTAATTTCCAATTCCAATCTGGACGAAGGGTAGGAATAATTAATTTGAACCCTGCAACTGTTTGGTGGACCATGTATGCATTTCTTGGAAGTTGCCAAATTTCCAAATCAAAGCAAAAATAAACATATAAAAAATAACCTGTGAGAATGTGAGATATAAGGAAAATGTGTATCAGTATCACTCAAAACTTAGACATACGCTCACTTCCTCCCCCCACCTTTGGACAAAATTCAAAATCCACTATCTGTTCTAGGATGGCGACAAACATAACTTTTCTATTACGGGTAACTAATCCCTGCGACTTTTCCTGTCGGCTACATCCCCTGCCGTACGACTCTAATCAAGCCACGTCAGTTTCCAAACACGCACTACTGTACAGCCTACGAAAAGGTAATGAATATACCTACCACTATCTGCGGCAGAAGTACGGATTCTGGACTAAACCATTCCATCAGAAAGGGTCAACCGACCTACGAAGCTTCCAGATGGTTTGCTCGTCCCGAACTGGTCCCTGACAAGTACCATAAGGTCAATAAAGAGAAACGTGAGGAAGTTCCAGTACTTGTTGTGATCGTTAAGCACTACGTTGAGGCATGGCGGAAGCTCTACTTGCACTTGCGGCAACAAGAGCATTTGTACAACCCTCACCTCTCGGAAGATGCAAGGTCTTCACCCTCACACAAGTTGACACGAACGACCAGTAAGTGTTGGGCATTGGATCCTAAAAGCCTAAAACCAGAGCCCAAGGCATTGAGAGGACAAGAAATCTGGTCGAAGTTGAATTGAGGTGTGATTGAGGTCACAAAGCAGTGACACTACAATGCGTGTAAGATTCCATCAGAAAATCACTAATGTGAGTTACAGCACCCGCCGGGTGTTCAGTAAGGACCTATTCAATTAACAGAGTCCCTGTTCTGAGGCCTAAACCTCGGGATGTTCTGAAGCTACCTTTTTCTCTAAAGAAAATCAGAATGTTCATCATGATTGAGTAACTCAAAGTTACCTAAATTCCATTGACATGCTGGGCTTTTCCTGTCCAAATGCTTGCTAATTCGTAACCTACTTCAACAAAAATGTAAGTAAAATTCATGGACCTCACCATGAAGAAGAATAGTCGTTTTCAAGTTTCAACATCTTCTTTAATCGTCGTCGTCATCCTCCAGCGGCACCTTCTTTCGTGGCACAGGCGCTTGACACTGCATCTGCAGCTCTTTGAACCTATTGATATCGAAGTTCTGCTTCTTGAATAGCTTCCTTTGCCTTGACTGATAAATCTTTTGCATAAAATCTCGATAACTGGGGTCACGGGATGTGAACATGAAGTACGCGTAGCCGCAGATGAGACCAGTGGCAGTGGTAAAGAAGGCGACAGGCTCCATCACGTCCCATGAAAGATCCCAGAACGTGAGCCGGAAGAAGAGCAAGACCTGCATCGTGAGGCCAAAAAGCCCCGACCACAACACGAGTCGCATTTGTTTATGTGCTTTCCTGTCGATCTCCTCCTTCTTCCGTGCCAGCTCCGTCAATTCTATCCGCCGCTGATCGTCTTCGCCGAGAACAGAGAGCGGGAGGACCTTTGCCACCAGCTCCGCGATCTGCCACGTACACGTAATTCCTTTCTAATTACAAAAACAACAGAAAGATACTAAACCCTGACGAACGCTAAAAAAAAAAAAAAAAAAAAAAAATCACATGACACCGTATTGCCCAGACGAAGGGCAAGAAACACGGCCCTGCGTATCCCAAAAGACATCCAAAACGAAAATCTACACAAATCTCTCGAACCATTGCAATGCGACGATTCGACAGAACGAGTGAGTCACCACTGACCTTCTCAGGGTGCAAATGAACCCTGTCCCGGAAGGTAAACACAACCCCCGACTGGTTAAACACATGCGCCATCACGGCAGCGTCCTCATCCGAGGGCGCCATTCCCACAGTGCGACACAACTGCAAAAACTCCTGATAACTAATTGTGTCGCGAGCATCCTCGCGCAGCACCCGCTTGAGTGCCGCCACATGAGCCTGTTGCACAAACTCCCTCGCCTCCTCATTCGCAATTTTCGCACGCGCTCCATCCCTCTCCACCACTGCGACACCATCTCCACTTGCAACCGCGCCACTACTCACTCCCCCGTTCCGACTCCCGCCATCGATTTCCTCCCCGTCGTCCGCTCTCGACACCGTCGTATGTACAGACCTCTCCACCAAATGACGCCACGACAACCGCCCGCTCCATCCTTCCCCTCGCTCACACCACGTCTCCGAAGTATACGTCCCATTCACAAAGCTCGTCGAAGAAGAAGAAGGCAACAAAAAGTAATAAGAATATGAAGAAGTAGAAGAAGACGAAGAACTAAAGTCGGAATCAAGACGAGATCCACAAGCGCGCTGCAAGAATCCAGACGATGATGCTGATGCTGAGAGCATGCGCTGATGCTGCTGTGCGCGGAGGATGATGCCGAGCAGGCCTCGTCGATAAGCGGCCATCGCTTCTCCTCCCTCCCTCCCGCAGCTCTCTCTCTACAAAACGGCGATGTCCCCCCCCCCCCGGCAACAACCGAAACGCTTCCCGCTACCCCCTAACCCCATACCCGGGGGAACGTCGCGTTCCCATCCCCCGATCACGGGCCGGGTGTCCACAAGTTGCACCGGCGCCTGACTCGAGCCTTGCGGTGCGGGGGGCTGATGTCAGCATTTCGTCTGACATGGACTGGCGTTCGTTCGTTCGTTCGTTCGTTCGTTGGTGCGTCTTTTTGCGGATACGTCTGCTTTAAAGTTACTGCATTCAATTCAATGCCACTTGGTGGATCCTTATGGACGGAGCTGTGACTATTCTTAAAGTACTTATTTGTTTGTTTGGTTGGGTTATGTTAAGAATAGTAATTTTGTAGGCAGGGTGATGTTGATTGGTACAAAGGTGATATCCAAACGGTAGTGTCATTTTCGTATCAAATATGTCACCTTTGGTTGTAACTGATGGTAATGGAGTGGAGAGTGGACAGGTACATAAGATTTAAGTACAGAATGATACATGACATGCATGTATTTTACATATAGCAATAATATTAGTAATATATGGATAATCATACAAATGGATTGATGTGTGTGCATATATATATATATATATATGGTATATGCATCAATCCATTGATGTGTGGATGTATGTATATATATAATATATACATTAATCCATTGATATGTGTGTGTATGTATATGTATAGTAATATATGCATCAATCCATTCATATATGTGTATATATAAATATATATAGTATATGCACCAATCCATTGATATATATATATATATATATATATGAGTATATAAATTAGTACAAGTCTTACTAAAAATAATCTATCATGTATTTGCTAAAATTTCATATTTGGACAATAGATTTATTTTGATGCTCTAATATATGATGCATTTTACACTTATATTCCAATTATAAACTTTTTCTTTACTAAGTTCAATCTTTCACAAATATTTGCAAAATTTGGCCAATGCAAATGATTTGACTTCCAACATTCTTGAATAGACTTAATCAAGTCATCACAATTTGAATGTAAGTTTGGTCTTTTAGTTTTTTAAATTCTTTCTAATATCTATTTCTTTTTAATAGTATTCTCAAATGGATCTTAGAACATATCATTGCAAATGAATAAATATTAGCTTCAAAGTGGCATATTTGTATTGTTTAAAAATTATATTTTAATACCTTTGGAGCCATATAGTTAATAGTATCATAAATATGATTATTCTATGTGGTTTTTGGATTTTTTTCAACTTCAATCTTGGACCATCTAAAAGTCAATTACTTTTATAATAGCATAAGAAATATTTTTATTTAGAATCTTTGATTTTATAATATTAACCAAAATAACCTCAAGTTTTTAATCACAATGAATAATATACATATCATGCAAGTAACACATTCCTTTTGTAATTTGATGCATAATGTCAATAAGAAAAATTTAAGATACTTCTTTTTCTTCTTCCAACATATTGCTCAAATTCTTTGCATCAATTCCATTCCAATATACAAATATTCTTTTTTATCTTTTATCTTAAGAAATTTATTACTTCCATTGGTACTATATTTTATTGCAAAATAATATATTGTCAAATTGGAATGGCTTAAACTTGTTAGAATGCTCACTTCTATGATAATCATTTTATTATGTTCAACATCTATCTTGATTTAAAAACTTTGCTATAATTCTTTTTACTTATGCATTTATAATTTAAAGACTCTTCATGTTTGATGATGGTTTTAAAACATCAAATTTTCCACCTTCTTTGCGAAAAAAACCTTTTAAATTTTGTAGTAGATGCTTTGTTAATCCATAATATTTAATTTAATTTATTTTTTATTTTTTGTACAAGATCGTGTTGTAACACAACTATATGGTAAAAGATAAAAATATGGATTATACTATAGAAGAGCTTAATTGAAAAACATAATAGCAAAACATTGATAAAATACAAGAAGATAATAAATATTTTTAGTATTAATGATGTATTTTTATAAAAAAAGATTCTATTTACTTTGTATGATCATAAATAAAGAAAAACAAAGTAGATTAGAAAAAAAAATAATATAGATTTTTTAAAAAAAAATTTAAGAATAGTTTGTAGTAAAAATCATCTTTAGAGACTAAGAATTAATATCGAGAGAGGACTAATTGAGAATTAGGATCAAAATCAAACTCTAAGATATAAAACCATGTACCTATGGCAATTTTGAGATTCTTTGGCTAATCAAAGAGTAATATTGATTAATTTTTTTTATAGTAGGATTGGTTTAGTGTTAATTTTAAATAATTTGGATGAATAATAAATTTTTGATAGCTTTTCAAATTAAAAAATGATTTATGTGATTTTGGATTTTTAAAAATAAAAAAACTTATATATTGAAGAAATTTTTGAGTTATTATAGTAGGTATACATGTTTATTTTTGTGGGGTATATGAATGTACTTTTCTTAAATATCTTTTGCAAATGTAAGCTCAATCAAATAATTAAATTGAAGGATATGGGAATCAATTTGATTAGGGTCTCAGATATTTGAATTTTAAGATCAATAAGATTTTCTTTTATATTAAGCAATCTGCTGGTTCAATTGAAGCAAGTTTTTTTTAGAGTATATTGGACTTGAATTTCTACACTTTTGATAATTTGAAGAGCAATTGAACTATTTAATAAAGACTAATTGTTGATAGAAAATTAACATTTATGTTGGAGAAGGAAGACGACTGACATCTAAGAGTATTAAGAAATCTTTTTTTCAATTAACAAGTTTAATTTTTGTCAAACTTTGTGTGTTTTTTGTTTGTTCGATGATTGAAATGTGAGAAAAAATTTAGTCAAAATCACGGCTTGGCTTATAGTTATTGGAAATTTACAATTGCTATAGAAATTTGGTTAGGATTTACTTAGGATTTATTTGGGATTTATTTAGGATTTTTAGAGCTATATTAAAATTTATAAATATTTTCTATTTTTAGTATTTAAATATTTATTATTATTTCTTTATGATTATTTTATAAAATTTCTTTAGAATTTCTTAAAAATTAATTAAAATTTGATTTGAATTGCTAAAATTAAATTAGGATTTATTTAGGATTCTATTAGAATCATTAAGAACTTTGTTGTTACGATTTCTAAACTATCTTCTACAACTAAGTTTTTGGTGCATTCTCAAGCAAGACAACATGTTATACAATAACATATGAATCTTTTAAAAAAAATCAATATTATTTCATACTTTATTATATGTTATAACATAAAAAATAATAAAAGAAGTGTCTTTAATTTTATTGGAATAATACTTTAAAAACATACTATTATCTATATCACAATAATATTTTAAATCTATAAATAATTCTCTAAAAGTCTCTTCGTGATTTAATATAAAAACAGCTTCTTTATATTGATTTGATTTTTTATAATTTTTTATTAAATAAAAGTTTTATTTAATGTAAAAAATAACCCCTTCAATAAGAACTTAAATTCTAACTTTTCATTAGTCTAAGTCATTAAGTGATCAAAAATCTTTGTAACATATTCTATTTTAATGAAAAAAAATAATACATTAGTTTCTATTCACAAGTCATTTTTCTTCAATTAAATCTCAAATTCTCCAATATAGACTTTTGATCTTTTTCAAATATCTATACATATACTTTGCATAATTGATACTTTTTTATATTTTTCTATAGTGCTTGAAGATCTTAACATGAAAAATTTGTATTACTTGAATGATTCTAAAAGATATTCTATAAGGATTTAATATAATCTTATATATATATATATATATATATATATATATCTTAATCAATTAAAATAATAATTCAAAAAGTTGCAAATAAAATTAAAATATTTACAATAATAATATAACATAATAATAATGATTTTTTTTTAAAAATTCACCTATCTTACAATTGAATAAAAAAATAAAATCAAGACAAAAAATACCTAATCAAATTATATCTTTTATATAGCTAATTAACTAATAATTTATTTTTATTTTTCTAGATTCTACTAAGAATATCTTTCAATCACTCTATGATTTTTTTAACTTTATATTTAATTATTCAATTAATAAATGAGACTTATTTCTCTATTTCTTTCAATTTTATTTATATTCCTATATATTTCTTTTGTCTCTAATTTCAACTTAAAATTTACATATCTTGATCTTACTTATTAAAATAAAAATAACTATATTTAAACATATAATAGTACTTATTACATTGATTCATTATTTTTTTGGAAATTTATAATTTAAATTAAAAAATATATAAAATACATAAAAAATAAAAAATAAAAAATAATTCTTTATACCAATTCAAATTATTTTTATACCTAAGTATATATTAATTATTTTATATAATTCAACCATCAAGTACAAATATATCTCTTTGTAAAAAGACACATATGCTTTTATAACAAAGAAATTACTTTCACAACAAAGAAAGTGCTTCTACAATAAAGAAATTGCATCTAACTTCAATTCAATATTTCAAAAACCATTGTTATATTTTCTACAAATACTTCTTTAAGTTAGATATAAATATTTATTTAACAAAATAATGAATTCTTTCACTTCAATCACAAAATCAATATGATTCATTTAATCACTAGATAAATTATTAATATATATATATATATATATATATATATATATATATATATATATAAGTCTAAAATTTATTATATATAATATAAAAGAATTAAGTATGATTTATAAGAAACTATGAAATATTAAAAAAATATATTTAAAATAAAAATAAAAAATGCTATAAAAATTTCTATTTTATAAAGATACTTAGTTTTATTTTAATTTTATTCAACTTCTATTTAATTTTTTTTTTCAATATAATACACTTGTACCCTATCACACCACATGCATCTATGGACTACACCTTTTATTGGTCCCAATTTTATCTTGTTGATATTTTTGATCATTGATTCTTTTCCTCAAGTTTTTCAAATTTTATTTATAAATCTTTCATCCTTTGTATAATGTCATCAATGCC